TGTTGAAACACCATTCACATCAGACTGCATTGATCATGAATAGTTAATTGCGCACGGTTCACACCGTCCCACACTCGGAGGCACCCGAGTGAATTTGCAAAACCTTTGATCGAGTTGTTAGCGAGGCGTGGTGGGTGGACCGTGAGAATACTGACCTCCATCATCACGCTCGTCAGTGCTAGGGCCGTCGTCGAGTATACTGCCGCGGAAAGTAGTACTCCCGACAGCGACATAGCCAGAAGCCTGTGCGATACTTAATACAGCTGAGAATGCGGTCAGCTTAGCTTCTCAGGTAGATGCTAGACATAACACGCACAGCCACTCGCGGCAAGCGTCCTGTCCGAATCACGTTCGCGCACATTGAAGTCGAACTTATCTCTCACGTGCGACCAATGATGGCCTCGGAGAGTGCCGTGCGGAAGACCCCACTGTCGTTGAAGCAGCGCCGGCGAAGGACGAATATGCCTGCGAAAGTCTTTTCTCATTTGCTGGAGTCAGGTGTCAGCAATACAAGTCGAGAAGGTATGGAAAGTACAATCTTTACCTGGGCCAAAGCCTCGAAGGCATCTTCGTCGCTGTCACCGTCGACATATGCGTTATCGTCTTGATCGGAGTCCTCGTCGGGAAGGCGCAAAGGCGACCGGTAACGATGCAAAGGTGCGGGATTCGCAGTCGCCTCGGACTTGGGCGTAAATGTTCGTCGCGGCGGCAGATCCTTCCACTGCACGAGATGTACTCGTTAATAGACGAATGACGACCGAACAGACCATCTACGTACCATATCGCCATGCAAGGCATATGTGTATCCGCCATTCTCGTCTTGATCCGAGATTTCGTCGTTACTACTCTCATCGTCAGAGACATCGGCCTCGATGCTCACACTGATGTTCGTGAGGTCGAGCGGTTCGGTCTTGGGGGCGTCAGGTGCGAGAATCTCCTCTATCTCCATGTCATCGTCGTCGATGACGATGGACGAAGACTCTATGACGGGGTTCGTAGCTGGCGTCGCAAGCGGACGAGACCTGTGTCTAGCTTGAGGCGTTATACTCGCGCGAGCCTTGCCTTTATTACGATTGCTGGAAATAGAGCCTCGCGGCGTAGGCGTCTACGTGAACAAAGTTTATTATATTATGCCGATAAAACCGTACAAAAACGCTACATACAGTAATTTCGTCGCTGTCGGAATCGGCTATTGTGATGGTCTCTATCGCAGAGCTCTTCTTCCGCCGTTTGACAGGACCCGACCGGGCATCGGGAGCAGGTCGCTTGAGATTGTCGCCAATGCCCTTATCATACTTGTGCGCCTGCGACAGCGGACCAGGGCCGGAGAGTTTGGTGCGACGAGGAATTTCGGGGACATGAAGAGGCCCAGGAATCCCCGACGCGGACGTGAAGCTTCTACTGCCGGATACGGCTTGACTGGCACTAGGTGCCTGCGGTTGTCTAGAGGGTTTACTGCTAGACGCGAATGAACCCGAGCCAGAAGGTATAGGACGTCCAGGAGCGACAGGTTTACTTCCGGACGCAACCGGTTGCTTCTGCGACGCCGAAGGGTTGGCCGGCCTTCGGGAGGTGAAATCAATTCTGATAGGCGTGAGCTCATCCACGAACTTGTACCTGCGCGAGGTAATTTCCGGTAGAGGCGAGTCCGACTTTTCCTCGTCTGAATCAAGCGTCAAGTCTACCACATCGTTCGGTGGCATGGCGCCCTGCGGACGCCCAGACGCCAGATATGAGAGCTTAACAAGTGATTTTACCACACGAGCGCGAGAAGTGGTACAAGGCGGGGACAGACGGTGATGTTCGAAGGCAAGGCGCGCGACGCGCTCACGGCAGGATCGCGCGACGCGCCTGACCGCGTTCGTCATAAAATGCAGCGCACCCACGCCCGGTCTCACTCTTCTCTACCTCCACCCTTCCTGTCTTTTTCCCACCTCGACGACACGACATGTTGTCTGTCCGGACCGCGGCGCGGCGATTAGCTTCGACCTCTGCTCGTCGCTGGCAGCACCATGCAACACCATCGACACTAAACGCGCCGACGGCCGAAGACGTCGCCCATTTCCGCACTCTACTTCCCGAAAGCGCCGTCCTTTCCACGCTTTCGCCCGCGAGCGCTTCTTCGGACGATCTCGAGCCCTTCAACGTCGATTGGATCGGGCGATACAAGGGACAGGCCCGTACGGTCCTCCGCCCACAAACGACGGAGCAGGTCAGCGCTGTGCTCAAGTACTGCAATGAGCGTCGTATCGGCGTAGTTCCGCAGGGTGGAAACACGGGCTTGGTCGGTGGGAGTGTACCGTTGAAGGACGAGCTGGTCATCAGCCTGGGCAACATGAACAAAGTGCGCTCGTTTGACGAGGTCTCGGGCGCACTCGTCGCGGATGCTGGATGTGTGCTCGAAGCACTTTCCGAGCATATTGCCCCGCATGGGCATATCATGCCGTTGGACCTCGGCGCAAAGGGTAGGTACGACCTTTCAGTGACACTTCAATACATTCATGATGTTGACACTTGCGCCACAGCTGCATGATCGGCGGCAATGTCGCGACAAATGCTGGTGGTCTACGCCTATTACGCTACGGTTCTTTGCACGGGAGCGTCCTCGGCCTCGAAGTTGTCTTGCCAGACGGCACCATCCTTGATGGCCTCTCAACACTCCGCAAGGATAACACCGGCTACGACTTAAAGCAGCTCTTCATCGGTGCGGAGGGTACTCTCGGCATCATCACCGGCGTATCAATCGCCACACCCGTCGCCCCTCAAGCCACCAACAACGTCCTGCTCGCGCTCCCCAGTTTCGACAACGTACTGCCATTACTCAAGACAGCACGCACGCAGCTTAGCGAGGTCTTATCGGCATTCGAGTTCTTCGACCGTACGGCGTACGATCTGAGCGTCAAGCACGGGCAGGGCAAGGCTCTGAGCGAGGAGGAGGCCGAGGGCGCGGAGTGCTTCGTCTTGCTTGAGACGAGCGGTGGAAACAGCGCCCACGACGAGGAGAAGCTCAACGGCTTGCTAGAGTCGCTCATGGAGAGCGATAACCCATTAATCACCACCGGTGTCATCTCCCAGAGCCCTTCCCAATTCGCATCACTATGGCGTCTACGCGAGGGTATCACCGAGGCGGTCAGCAAGGAGGGCAAGGCGTACAAGTACGACATCTCTATCCCGGCACGCGCCTTCAAGGAGGTCGTCGACACAACGCGGGCGCATGTTGAGAAGCATGGGCTGTTGAGGGATGATGCTGTCAAGCATGTACTCGGGTACGGGCACGTCGGTGATGGGAATCTACATCTGAACATCTGTGCGGCGGCGTATACGCCAGAAATTGAGGCAGTTCTTGAGCCATTTGTGTACGAGTTGACCGGTATGTTTCGTTTATATCTCAAGTTGAGAGCATCACTGACATATGCGTTTTAGCGGGCTACAATGGCTCCATCTCGGCCGAGCATGGTCTCGGCGCGATGAAGGCGCACGCAATCCATTACTCGAAGAGCGGAGTGCAGGTTGATCTCATGAAGAAAATCAAAGCGCTTCTCGACCCGAACGGTATTATGAACCCGGGCAAAGTGCTCGAGTAGAGCTACAGTCATCTCTACCAGGATATCTATCAAACATCTCTCCTGTATCTGGTCACTCTTGGTTTATATTTCGTTACGACGCAATTGTGTACATGTGTGTATGACATTGAGCAACACAGCGGTCGAGCGATGGCTAGGTAACACTGAGAGCGAATCAAGGGAAGAATGTCCTATTGACAATGCAACATTGCTCGAACCCTGAGCATCCCCCATACTAGAGTTCAGGCCTTTGAAGCAGCCTCAACGATCCGCTTGCTGTCCGTAACGAATCCATAGCTCTGTGGGCAGGCGTGAGTTGACATAAAAAACGCATAGACAGCTAGCACGTACCCCGCCCGCGTTATAGATGACATTCTCATACCCGCCCTCTGGCGACGTCGTGGCCGTAGCGTCGCTCACAACGATGACATCGTACCCCAGGTAGTACGCGTCGATCAACGTCCCCAGCACGCACTACCAAACTATATCAGCACCCGTGCCACTCATCTCTCACAACATGCATCATCGCTCACCTGGTCAGCATTGACACCAGCAACCAACAACGTCGTAACACCCATCTCCTTCAACACCAAATCCAACGCACTCTGCCCGCCCCAAATCCCGCTCATCCTATTCTTATGCACCCACTTATCCTTCCCCTCCTTCTCGCCCTCTTCATACAGCTTCTGCAACGGCCCGTACAACTCGCTGTTCTTCTCCCCTCTCATCAACAGTCTTCCCCAGTCGCCCGGCATAACGCCGCCGAAGCCACCCGCGCGTTCGGGGCGCGCGAATCCGCGGATTAGGGATGGTGGGAGTGTGTTGAGCTCGGCGTCCGTGAGGCCCCAGTTGACCCAGAGTGGTGTGATGCCCTTGGAGCGGAGAGCGGGGACGGAGGTCAGGAGGGGGTCGACGCAGGCTAGGCCTGTGGGGTGTGCGCGTAGGTCGGGGTGGAGGAAGAAGTTTTGCATGTCGACTATCACGTAGGCTGTCTTTGAGGGGTCGAGGCGGACGGTGCGGTCGCCGTCAACGGGGAGGTCGAGCTGGCCGGATTTGAGGTCGGGCTCGGTGGATGAAGCCGGGAGATGCGTTGTGCGCGTCAGATCAACGAGGCCGGACGGGTCTGTCAGAGTCGTTTCTGTCAGGATGTATAGTATGATGTTGAAGAAGAATGGCGTACATTCAACCCAGAAGTTCGTCGCGTTGCCCCATTCTTGCGCGGACTGCACGCGCGGCCGCGTCTTGAAGCCGAGGATAGGCGTATCGTGGATCGGAGCGCTGGAAGAGGATTGTCCGCCCATGAATGCTGCTGTTGTGGTCAGGGAAGAAAGGGAATAGCGACCGCCATGGAATGGGAGCCGTTAGATAAGGAGGTAGCTGTGGCACGGGAGCCCGTGTGTGTATGTTAGATAGCGACTCCACACGTGACGGACTGCACCCGTGTTGGTGAGGAACGAGGAAGAGTGGCAAGAGTGCGCGCGCGCCCAGATCTCATGAGCCTGGATCCGTGCGAGTATATCGCATGACAGTGCAATGTCCATGAGGATTATACTTTGTTATTCACAGTATCGTAGGTACAAGAACGTCTCACTCAATCATAAGTGACTATGCTGCCGCCGGCCGCAGCATATCGAACACGAGAATACCGAATGCACCGATGATGCATCCAGAACCGAGCACGCTGCCAAGTGTGACGGCGCTCGCACCCGCGCCGAAGAATATGTCGGCGATAAAAACGAGGACGATGGTGAGCAGGTTGCCGACGCTCACGACGATCGGGCCCCATACGTTCAACAGAACCTGAAGAATAGGATGAAGTATTAGTCCTTTAGCATGATAGACATGAGTATGAGATGAAGCGCACCATGAGTCCCGAGTTGAACACAACCCCACTAGCCGCGATCCCCGCAATCGACAGCGTAGTCCACGCATTCGGCGGCGGCCTGAACTCCTCGTACCCCGCCCAGTCCAGCAGCGGTACAAGTGGCGCGAGCAACACAAGCGTGCATAGCCCGATCGCACTCGTCAATAAGTTTGGATGCAGTCCGAACGGTGGAGGCACCGCGGCCGTGAACTCGATGACGTCCTCCGTAGCCGGGGTAGGTACGAGCGAATGAGTCGAACGCGCGGGAGAGTCGAGCGATGCGACGTCCGAGTCGATGCTTAGGCGCTCGTATGGCGGATCGGTGATTAGAGGTTCGGGGTCGGAGGGGAGAGCGGCGTGGCGCTTGTACATGACCTGGTACAAGCCGTACCCGACTGACGCGATAAGCGTGAGCACATCGCCCAGCAGAGGCGCGCTGTACACCGTCCTCTTCGTCACGGCTGTCTCGTCCGGTTCGCCCGCTGATGCTCCGCCGTACACGACAAGCAGTACACCGATCGTGGCAAGCAGGACGGCGGAGAGTTTACGGCGCTCGAAACGAAGTTTGTACAGTCGGACTGTAAAGACGTAGGCAAAGAAAGCGTTGGTGTTCCATATGGCCGTGACGTCGGATATGCTGGCCAGGGAGATCGAGCCGAACCATAGCAGAGCTGGTACAGTGGCGCCGAGCGTGCAGAGGGCTGCGAGGCGGAAGAATTTGTAGCTCGGGAACGGTCCTGTGAGTGCACTGGCGCGTTTGGTCCCCTTCGGTGCTAGGTGACCTTTGATGGCTTGTGATAGGCCTGTCAAGAGTGCGCGGGGGCTATGTCGGCGGATGAGGACGAGGTAGAGGAAGTGGGCGGGGAAGATGGCGATAAAAGCCGAATGCACGACGTAGCTGTATAACAATCAATACACAATTTTCGCATCAGAAGTCGAAGTGCTTACAAGAGAAAGAAGGGCTGGCGGTACCCGAGGCTCGTTTGTACGTACTGCACACAGGGTTGAGCCAAAGAAGCCCTTCGCCGGCGGCCATTGTAGGCGCATGTGGACGACACTCACTTGGGTCAGCTCGGACTCGACGACGAAGCCGAGGAGCATAAAGACGAATAGTGCGCCAGCGACGGCGGCCGCGACGACGGGCTTGCCGTGTACATCGTGTGGCATGGGAGAGTGGACACAGGCCGGGCGCGGATCATATTCGACGCTTTCCGCTTCGACCACCACGAGGAGACGCCCGAGATGCTGCGCGCACTGCTGTCCAACACACGACCCCTCCTCGCTCGTGCACGGCTCGCACAATTACCGTCATTACAACATACCTGTGGACATGCTCACCCTGGAGCGGGTGTGCCGGCGCTGGCGAGGGGCATGAAGGTCCGCTCGTCTGTAAAGCCGCTCTGTGAGGGATGCAGGATCGTCTGCCGCAAGGGCAGGATATATGTTATTTGCGCGAGGAATCCAAGGCATAAGCAGGTATGTCGTGGTATAAGTGAGTGCGAGGGACGAGTGCTAAAGTATGATGCAGCGTCAGGGATGAGCGAAGCTTTGATTCTTATGACGAGCGCGGCTTCGTGGCACTCGGTATGTTCCTGCGTGCTCGCCAGATTGTTCTATATATTGACCATCCGTTATAGGGAACAACCATTATTATCTCGGTGCAAAGCTACCACTTACATTACACTACTGTTCTGTCACTCACTACTGCATGATATTGCTTTGCAAAAATCCCATTATGTGTAGATGCAGCGTGATCGAAAAGCAGAGAGAACACTTCAAGCAAACATCGCAACCTACATACAACTCCTTTATATGGATCTGGCCTATGCCTCCCACTTCCTCGCAACGCTACCCGCCGGTGGCTTGATCGGCACCCTCTCCTTCTTCACCTCATCCCAGTTAGTGCTCAACGCAGTTCCGCCGCTCTCCTGGAAACTCTTCATCATCGCCTTGCGCGTGTCCTCGTCTGCATCCCCGTACAGTTTCTGGAAAAACTCATTCAACGTGTTGTCCCCGTTCACGTTCGGATCCTCTGAAGACGTCTTGGCCTTTTCGGCGTCCAAGGCTGCCTGAGAGACCTTATCCCAGTTCGTGCGTGCCATGGGGAGGGTAGTGTGGCGCGTGCTGGGTGCGGCGGAGTTGGCGAGAGCTGTTGGACGTAGGCGTTAGTATAATCGCCACAGATAATAAAGTGAGGTGTGGCGCACGATCTGGCGCTTCGCCGATGAGGCCGCCCCAGCGTGTGGGTGCGGCTTTGGCGAGCTTGAGCTCGACCTTGACTTTGCCGACGGTGAAAGAGCTCTTGTCGGGGTCGATCTGGCCTTTCAAGGGGCCGAGGTCGAGCTTCTTCTCCCCGTGCGAATACGACACCTGTAGAGGCCATGTTAGCCTATTGTGCTGTGGCACGGTGGCGAACCGTCTGGATGCAGTTGTATTTGCGAGATCAGGATCAGAGACTGACCTGTCGTGCGCCAAAGTCGACCTTGACCTGCGCAGGGTCCGCGCCCTTGTCAAAGATGGAGACGACGACACGCTCGTCCGTCTCGTAGAATTCATGCCTGGATCGCGGCCGTCAGCTCCTCTACCAAAAGCTTAGACATCGCGCATGCGCACCGGATGGTTGGTGTAGCCATAGCAAGTGGTAGATGGAGAACAAGAACGGGTGGCACACGCGCCTAACAAGTACACCTGCAGGCCTTCGAGAAAGTTCGCCGCCCGCGTTACAGACGCGTGCCGTCACGCGATACCCCTAGCCTGTCTGAGACCTACAATCGCGTCCGGGGCCCATGGACCTATACGTGTATGATGCTCCCAGTGAGAACGCATCTTATCGATAGGAACCACCTGATGTTCCCTGAGGCAAGCTCGTAGACTTTGTGGGCGGCTGTAGGCGGGTCATCATCGACATCTTCAAGGCTCGGTGACGTAGGCGCCTCAGCGCACAAACACGAGGCCGGGTTTACCCCGCGTTCAACTCCATCTCGCCGTACTCTCCCTCTTCACACTCTACCACCACCATGTCCGAAGAAACGACGCATATCCCGAAAGCGGTGCTCTATATCGCTAAGCAGCACCCATGGTCAATCGCCGGTGCGTTTGACGGCTTCACTTCATCGAAAACGAAGGACTGATTGGAAGGACTCTGTAGCTCAGGTCTGCTTGTGCGTATAAAGTCTTTCTTGGGTAAAGCTTTTGCTTATGGCCTAAATAGGATTGAGAAGGGGTATGGTGCCGATGAGGTAGATCTGCGACTCGTCGATCTCGGTATGCATGGTTGCGCCTTTGGCGAAACGCGCTTACACGCATCGCACAGGCAAAGGCGAGAACTACGCGCCTACGTTCTTGAGGCTCAACTCGCAGGGTATGGCTATGTCTACATATGATACTACATGAGCTATAATTCCAAATATATAGGCACGGTGCCGACGCTGATCGTCCCATTCGAGAACACGCTGAGCCCTGCGCCGGGCACCGAAGCGCGTTTCAAGGCCGTGACTGACATCGAGGTATACTCTACTTCTGAACTATATTGAGATCACTACTGACGATATATCCCACACAGTCAATTGTCCTTACTCTTGACCGTGCTCGTAGCGCCGCCTCGCGCACGCACACAACCTCCTCAGCGCCCGCGCCTGCTCTTGCACCGGCGACAATCGACTCCAACTCTCGCGCGCGCACGATCATCACTCTCTTGCACAGCGCACCGGCCTCTCCAGAACTGTTGTTCCTCATGAACGCTCGCGACGCTTCGGTGCTGTCCACATACAGCCAAACCCTGCGCCCTTTCCTCTCCGGACGCATCGAGGCCCTCTCGAGCTTCGCCTCGTCTCAAGAATCCGCCAATGTCAAGGTTAGCGCCAAGACGCGCGCTTTTTGGGAGGAGAAGAAGGTCGCTGCGCAAAAGCTGCTGAATGGAGTTGAGAGCGAGGGTAAAGATCGGGAGGAGTACTTTGAGAATTCGAAGGCCGCGTGGGAGGTCGGGCTCGGTGCTGTATTGAACAAGCTGAGCGCCGAGATTGTCGGGCCATTCACTCTCGGTGAGTTTGCTTATCCTGTCTTGATATCCGAAGAGATGGGATGTCTTCAGAGCGAAGAGGCTGATGCACATGGCCCTTGGCTATGTTCATCCGATAATCTTTGTGGGACTGACATGTGCCAAATTGCGATGGGATGGATGGGAATCCGAGCACAGGCTGTGTGCCACGTCCCGCTCTGCATCGGCTAACCGAAGTGTGGCACGAAGTGCGCACAGCTCCGAAGATCTCTAATGGCGTGTTCAAGCCGCTGTGCGACTCGGCTTTGATCAATACTGACTGTATCCGTTATCTTCCCGCAGGCGATCAGTTCAGCACGGCGGACGTGCACCTCTCCGCCTGGTTGGCGTATGTGGTGTATCTTGCCGGCGGCAGCCCGAGCGAGACCGGGGCCGTGGCTATTGAGAAACTGGAGAAACATGTCGGGGGCGGGTTCCTGCTCCCGCGGATCAGCGAAGCCGCGGGGACCGGGTCGGGAGTCAGCGGCGGGGACGAGGCGACGCCCAAGGCGGCCGAGGAGCCGCCGCGGTCGACGACGAAGCTGGGTGTGTTTTGGGACGCTGCGAGGGAGCGGCCGTCGTGGAAGGCCGTCGAGGAGGCGCTGGCTCAGTGATGGACGACGAGGAAACGGAATGTATTGATGTGAATTAAAGTAGTTTGTACACGGGGTTCAAGTTGATCGGAAGGAGCGCCAAGGCTTAAAGTCCGGAGAGAAGGGCCCGCGGGTGTGTTGTGGGGGGCTATGTAGTACTTTTTAGTGCAGAATAGGATAATGATGCGGCTGTGTGCGTTTATGGCCAGGGGCTGAGTAAAGGGGTGTAAGGGCAGGATCACCGGTGCGGACGGGGTGTTGTTAAGGAAGTGGTTTAGTAGAGCGGGCGAAGGCAGACGTTTGCTCTTGACCGCGACGATCGGGATGTTGGATATCCCGCAGGCGCGATACTCTAACCCGTCCTCCTCGTCGACCCGCCACCCGAGACGTCCGCCGCCGTCGCAGGCGTCGAGCCCGGGAGTCTCGCCCGAAATTCCGTTCGCGGGGCCGCCGCCGTACCTGTCCATCTACTCTGCCGTCTCAAACTCGGCTCCTGGCTCATCCCCCATACCCTCCCGCGCGTCCTCACCCCTCCCATTTTTATATTCCAGCGCGCCGTCGTCTGCGAGCTCAGAGCTCGAGAGCGATGGAGAGGCGCCGGTGCTGACCAGGCGGCGGGTCACGCCCAGAGAACGCCCGCCGAGGTGGTGGTTCTCCCAGTCCACGCTCAGGCGACGACGACGGGAGAGCGGTTGGTTCCTGCGGCAGGCGAGGAGATGGACGCGCGCGATAGTCCGCTCGCCGTTCTGCCCGCGTCAGCCGTGGACGATCGTGCGTCATAGTCTACCCGTCTTCACGTACACCAGCTTCTGACACTCCTCCCCCACACGCAGCTCATCACCCTCGTCCTATTCTCTATATTCGCATCTTCTTTGACACTGGGCATAATCTACGCGCTCAATCCGGACAAAGAGGCGCTTCCATGGCGAGCATACTGCGCCGTCGCTATACCCTCTCACGACCCCCCGCTCGTCGACGCGCCGGTAGTCAGCCCAGATATATTCACTATAGGCGCTGCACCTCCGCCACCTGAATTTCCGCCAGCCGGCTTCGACGACTTGCCGCCGGCAGGAGTGTTCCTCGGCGTATTCAGCATTGACAGCTCTTATGATCGGCGCATGCTCATCCGTTCAACCTGGGCTACACACGACAGGTCAAGAAACGGTGCGGGTCCTGGCGATGGAGGCAATGGGACCAGTAGGACACTGGTCAGGTTTATTCTCGGTCAGCCACGCAAAAGCTGGGAGAGGAGAGTACAGCTCGAGATGGACCGTGAGTACCCTTTCCCCTCTTCTCGCTCTCCGAAGGCGCGCATGCATACGGTGCACGGACTTCCGGCTGCGGAGCTGGAGATGCCCGTACATAACTCCATCACGCCCAGAAGACATCCCGCGCGTAGTCATCGCGACTTGCCCGTTTTGAATCGTGGCTCTGCCTTTCCCATCACATGAATCATGGATCATCGCTGACCCTTGGCACAACACAGAATATAACGATATCGTGATCCTGCCCATTGCCGAAAATATGAACTCCGGCAAAAGTCATACTTTCTTCTCTTGGGCGGCGACAATGGCGTATGTTCCACCTGTGCTCGTCGATACACCCCATCCTCGGCCGAAATTCTCGTACGCGAATGACTCGCAGGCAGCACCTTCACCATCAAGGCTCGCCGCACATGATCCTTCGCTTGCAAAATTGGATGCGGCAAGTGCACAGCCTCGGGATTGGGTCAGGCCGGACTTTGTTGTAAAGGCAGACGACGACAGCTTCGTGATGCTCGCCGAGCTCGAAGCGCGTCTTCGCGTCGGGATGTACGACTCTGCTGCCCACCAGAAACGCGCTACGTCCGAAGTTCGCGCTGCGCAAGCACATATGCGCGTCGCACTTGCGCATTCCGGCCAGGCGTCGGTGACGGAGATCGACAACTGGGAACCGGAGGCGGATCCTCTGGTGTATTGGGGATACCTCGTCAAGCAGCGGTTCATGGCTGGCGAGCTCTACGCGTTATCCTGGTCGCTCGTCACGTATGCTGCGACCGACGCGGGGGTACGCACGCATTTGCGAGGAGCAGAGGACAAGCAGACTGCGTCATGGATGCGCATCCACCCACGCGCGGACGCCATCCGATGGATCAACGAGCGCGTATGGATATACGACCATCCACGTGCCGGAACGGTCTACTCTCACGGCTTCCTCTTCCCGTCCGAGGCAGCGAGAGTCAGGAAGGGCATTAAGAGCTATAAGGAACTCAGCGCCACGGTCGACGCGAAGGCTAGCGTTGGCGAGCCCAGTCAAGGCGCGAGTTTGCCGGTGCCGACGGAGTGGTCGGCGAGTAGCGTCAGTACGTTCGGGACGCGGTACGCGGAGCCTGTTGCGGGGCTCACTGCACGGGAGAGTGTTGAGGCGCTCGTTGAGGGTAGCGAAATGTCGAGGTTATACGAAGGTGCGCTCTTTTCCATCGCTCCTTCTCGCGACAACATAGACTGATGGCCTTTTCTGCACAGGGAGCATCCTGACACCGGATCTCGCATGGCGCCAACGCGAAGGTCGTGCGACACGGTACGAGAATAAACGGCTAGGCGGCACCGTCGTCGTGCACTTCATCAAGAAGAACATGTGGTACCTCGAAACGGCACTCGCATTGCTCGAGGGCGAAGACGAGACGGAGCGAGAGCGCGAAACAAGGCTACACCGCGACCGCAAACCAACATGGCCGTGACGCCCGCTCGGGCACGGTCGCGGTAGCAGCGGTCATGCCCATCCCTAATCTTGAACTCCCAGTCCTTTTGCTTCATAAGTAAACCTATACGACCCCCAACTGCATCCCCTGAACCCTCGCGTGCACACGAAACGAGACGCTCTCTCCCTCTCACTATATCACTCACTTTTTCCACGGGCGGAATTTAGATATACCAGCTTTCTTTACCCCTGCAACTACTTACCGCACTTTGAACCCCCACCCCATTCTTATTAGGCTACTTTGATTCGGGAAAAAGGCGATGGAGGGGGAGATTGGAGAGAGATATTTGTATGATAGACTACCTATTGCGACGGCGGTGTAATATAACAGAATCTACCACACGTTCCCTTTGCTCGCGTGCATGCAGAGCACCTTTTCAACCGTAGAGGTCCGGCATGGTGGCAGCGCGGTGGATGGCTGTACATGGGAGGTGTCGAGGGCCTGAGGCCGGCCCGGCAGTGCGAGCAGTTTGGTTGCCGTGCTCGTAGGTCGGTCCGAGTAGGCGCCAGTCGCAAAGACATATGATCGTCGTTGGTCGTCCCAAGTACTACACTAGTACATGTACGGATTTCAGGGTATGTACGTCGGAGTTGGTGAGCGGGCCGCCCGCGCCACGGCCTACAGAGCGCTTGTCAAGTCGCTTTGACATTGAACCCAAACCGCCATCATCAAGCGCCCACCACCCGCGTCCCTCTCCGAGCGGCTATGCACTCTATGAACGTACCCATGCCTTCCTTGTACATGCACATTGCTTCCGGTGCTCTTCCACCAGCGCGAGACGTTCTGTCCATGTCAAGTCTAGGAGCTACGACCACGACCAGATGACGGTCTCTGAGTCCGGTCCTCCCGTGCAAGGCTTGTGACGACCCTTTGCGGTGGGAGCGAGGACGTATCGCTGAGTTGTGCTTGCCAATCGTAACGAGTGCGGGAGCGTGTTCTGTAGCTGCGCTGCGTATATGGCAGGACAACCTTATGTGAGGTATCACATATGCACGACTGCCTACAGTCAGCGCGCGAGCCTTCTCTGCACCCTTATGCCTTGTCCTCCGTGCTTGCTATAAGATGTCCTTGCTCACAATATTACTGAGCTTGCTTGCTGCACTGGCACTTGTGCCAGCTCTGTATCTTATCCGGCAGCATGTGCGACAACGATCGCTACTCAAGATACCCGGTCCGCCCAGCTCCTCATGGCTGAAAGGTGCGCAATGCTGCATGTGCTTGACCGGAGCGATGTCCGGCTTACCGTAGTACAGGGAACTACATGCGATTACATGCACGGGACGCGATATCGTTTCAGGATAACCTCGATGAAACCTACGGCAAGGTGTACAGGATCTCGGGTTACTTCGGTGTACGTCTCCGAGCTCTTGATCGGCATTGCAAGGCCATGGGCTGAAACGAGCACACAGAGTCAAAAGCTCGTCATATCGGATACAACAGCGCTGCACAGCGTGATCGTGAAGAATCTGGATGCATTCGATGTTGCCGAACACTGGCTCGAGTACGATCACTTGGTCTCTATAGCTTATCTATCGACTCATGCTCTCCCTTTAGGTTGCGGCGCCTGCTTTTTGGTCCTGGACTCATCGGTGTCCCCAGGGCTGGTGAGCACATACTCGCCTCATGGCATACCATTCAGCCGATTGATTGGATGACTTAGGTGGCGTCCACGCTAAACATCGCAAGCTCATGAACCCCTCCTTTTCCGTCGGGACACTGAAGAGGCTCATGCCCATCTTCCATTCCGTGTGTAGAAAGGTCAGCCCAATGCACTCCGATATCGAATTGCAGCTTAATTGCTTCTTTATCAGATGCGGGAGGTGATGGTGGCAGATATCAAGCGATGCGGTTGCGAAGAGACGGACGTCCTGGAGTACGCAAGTCGCGGCGCCCTTGAGCTCATAGGACAGGCTGGATTTGGCTACACGTTCGACGCATTCGAAGGTGGACATCACGAGTTCAGTGACGCTCTGAAGCACGTCATGTAAGTTCGAGCTCTCACTGAATGGTTTGGACTTTCTGAAGGTTTGGGTACGCATTTCAGACCAGGGGTTTCTAGAGTGATGAAGTTCCGCCCGTTGCTGCCATACCTGACTTCTATGTTCCCGCCGTGGCTGCTCCGCCGGGTTGGGGAACTTCTACCGATGACATCCGTGCGGGAAATGATAAGGCTCTCAGATGTCATGACGTTCTACTCGACCTCCATCTGGGAAGAGAAGAAGCGCCTGCATACATTGGGAGAGAAGGCCAGCAATGCTTCTTTGGGCGAGGGACGAGACATACTCAGCGTACTCCGTATGTATGAAATGCATGCCTCGCACCCCTTGATACTGATTGTCCGATAGTCAGGGAGAACAACAAAGCGGCTGAGGAAGACCGACTGCCAGACGAGGTTCTCCTCGCCCAAGTCGTTACTTTCCTCTTCGCGGGGACAGACACAACCTCGAATGCTCTCTCTCGGATTCTGTGCATGCTAGCAGTCAACCCGGACGCTCAGGATCGACTTCGTGAGGAGCTGATTGAAGCTGGTGCGCCTGACGCCGATCTCCCATACGAGGTTCTCGACCACCTTCCCTTCCTTGATGCGGTGTGTCGGGAAACTCTGAGGCTACATGCACCGGTAAGACTGATACACCGTCTGTCAGTGACAATGCATAGATGGGCGATACTCGTGACGCTGATCTGATGCCAATAGTGCTAGGGAAGACGGTGTCCTTCCACTTCAAACGCCCATCATGGACGTTGATGGCAATACCATGTCGGAGATCTTCGTCCCGAAGGGTACAGAGATCATGTGCAATGTTGGAGCGGTGAATAAGGACGTCGATATCTGGGGCTCAGACGCAGGCGAGTGGAAGCCTGAGCGGTGGTTGAGTCCGCTTCCACAGACCAATATACCCGGGGTTCTCGCCAATACGTACGTTGTAGATTCTCAAATTGACGACCCAGTACTCATGGAAGTCTTTACAGGCTCACGTTCTCCGGCGGTGGACGCGCTTGCATGTGAGTGACATGCTGCTCTCTGCTCTCGCCTTTGACTGACTGGACCATCACAGCGGCTTCAAGTTCTCACTGCTCGAACTGAGTATGTGCTACTCCATATCTTGTCCTCAGCATGTAGAAGCTGACCGCGATTCCAGAAGCGATGCTTGCCCAGTTCGTTCCTGCTCTGTGCTTCGGGCCATCGACGAAGCATGTTATTTTCTGGAGATACGGTAGTCTAATGTCGTCTGGTCTCAGCCTAGATGGCAAGCCGGAGCTCCCCATGCGCGTTTCATGTGTCTGAGGATTGATGTAGCTTCCTATCTCTAGTCAGAGACCACATGTTGTATAGTCTATGATCAAGTATGCACTGCCTACGGCAGGATGCTAGTCCTATGCTCAGATTACCCTTCCCTCCTCCGTACGAAGGGCTACTTAGGCTTGCGCAACCGACGTTGGGTTGTAACGAAGCGCTAAGTCACATTGAATACGTCAAACCCACATGTTCCAGGGCTTTATGTAGGCCGGTAGAGGTCGTGCGATGAGGGTAGTCGTCAACGTGAGGCGTAAGCGGTGGCCCGAGTGATCGTTCCACGAACGCACCTGAACGCACGCGCAACTCTTTCACGTGACCTTCACGCCAATGGCAACATATCATACATTCAGGCCCGTCCCTCGTCATAGCACACCCTGACTTTGTCTTGTTTAGCATGGCCGCGAGCTCGAGCTCTGCGTCTGCGTCAGCCGTACGAGCAGCCAGTACCAATACAGCCGCGTCACCGGTCGCCGGAGCGCTCCGAACCTTAATAACAGTCGCGTCAGAATCTCAAGCGCCAGCGCTTGACCTTCCACATCCATGAACGTTGCGGAGCGGAAGGGCGATAGCCAACGTCTCAGGGTATCCTTACCCTCAATGCCTCTTCAGACTAGTACTCGTGTGCATGCATAGCGCAGATGCCGTCCACGACGTCGCGAACCGCACGTGCGCCGCCTGAGCGCACAGTCGGCCGATCTTCGTCCTCTGTCGCTCTGGCCCGCCAGCCCGCCCTGCAACCCTCAGGACTGTACATTGGTAGACGTCACCTACACCTGTCTGATTTCAACATGAGTGTTGGGTTTTTACCTATACGTGGGCTGGGAGGGTCGCCGCCCATGATGGTGAACCCTACTTTCGGCAAACGTTGAAGCATGGAGTCGCTCGGCGAACGTGGCGGCCTGGGGGGCACCAAGCACTTCGATGAGAAGCAGACCCAGATCCTGCCACACAATGCCCGCTCGAGGCGCACGTTTCAACTTCGCGAGGTTCTCGGAAGAGCTAGCGACGATCAGGTTCCACGGGCGTGGCCGTATAGACTGCTCTCATATCTATCAAAGACCTGCAGCCGGAATTGCTTTGAGCGATTACAGATGCGCTCTCCTCTTGTCGTAGCGTCTCTTCTTGGCGCGGCGGTGACCTACAAGTGGTTCAAGTTCGTACACAGTACTCTCTTCCAAAGTCGTCCAACTTACCTTACTCGATTGTAGTGGTCTCAAGCATGGCCTCACTGCAGCCACAGGCTCGTCGGCGCTATCTGGTTGGGTCATCTTTGCGACCGGGATCTTGCTCGCTGGTTGCGGCATCTGGTTCCAGTTTCCTTCGCTGTGGCTATTCATCTGGCATTGCTTCCTCGCGCCACTCGGAGACCCGAAGGACCAAAAGTCGCGCCTTGACAAGGTACGTTCGTCGGAAATCCTACACCAGCATGGACATTGACGCAGAGCTAGTTCTATGAGGGCCAGGCTCAAGTATACGACAAGACGCGATCGGGACTCCTACGCGGGCGTAAGACCATGTTGAACATGAGCGCCGCCCACCTTCGAGTGATGAGGGAGAAGAATCCTGCAAAGCGTCTCGTCTGGGTTGATGTCGGTGGTGGAACAGGTTAGATGAATGTGTCTCGCTTCGTCTTACATGACCTAATCATTCTTCAGGCTGGAACATAGAGGCCATGGATGCTTACTTCCCTATCTCTCAATTCGACGCAGTATATCTAGTCGACCTCTGTCAGCCATTGCTTGACATTGCCCAGGCCCGTTTTCGTGCGAGGGGGTGGAAGAACGTCGTATGTCTCTGCCAGGACGCTTCGACCTTCTGGCTTCCTGAATGGAGCGATGGTATACACCCGAAAGGAAGCGTTGGCTTCGTGGGTCTTCTCTCGCATGTGGAGATAGCGTATATCTGAACCTTGTTTCTATCGCAGGTCACTCTCAGTTACTCGTTGTCCATGGTGAGGAGAGCAAGTGCACTCGTAACACGCACTGAAGCTGAATGCATTACCCAGATACCCTCTTATCATACGTTACTTGATCGCATCGATTATCTTCTCTGCCCTGAGCAAGGTCTCCTGTCTGTTGTGGACTTCTACACTGCAGGGAAGACCCCTTCGCTGCATGAGAAGGGTATGTACCTATCTATCTGGGGTTATGACCATCTCTCATCTATACATGTCAGCTATTGGCGGAGAGTTGAAAAAGTGCGGATTCTTATCACGCTGGTTCTGGCAGATGTGGGTCAGTAAACCCGCCCTCCTCGTTCACTGTTGTGAAGCTAATATCTATCGTGCGTTTAGTTCGATCTGGATCATGTCGACTTATCTCCTGGGCGTCGCAGTGAGTCTACTCTTAACACGTCATGTGTCGTACCTCATTCGTCGCAGACTACCTGGAGTACCGCTTCGGCACTGTGAAGTCCTATAACGGCCGGAACAAGTTTGTCGTACCATTGATCGTCCGTATCCCCTACTATATCTGGCTGGGATGCTCTCGCGCGCGCGACACTGCGAGGTTCAAGCACGCGTTCGAAGTGGAAGGAGGAAACATTGTTGGGACGCCCCTTCTCTCACCTACGATTGCACCCGCCTCGCAATCGACGGAGATCGGCCAGCTGGATCTCGGTCCCAGCGCTGTGACTGCTGATGCGTCTCCGGATGCCGTCGTAATCAACATATCGCCGCCACTGAGTTCATTTCACTACCAACTGAAGCATGTGAGTGTTGTAACTAAGATACCGGAGAACCATTCCAACTGAACTACCAGACATGGAGATTACCGTACTTCGAGTCTCCCGTTCACTCTCAATTCCGTACATTCATCTACTCGTTCACGTGGTAAGTCAACGCTTTCAACGTACGACAAGCGGCACTCACGGTGTATAAGGGAGGACCCCGACGTTGACCTTCAACACATGGAGTTGAGCGAGAACGACTCGGTATTTTGTATAGCCAGTGCTGGCGACAACGCCCTCCATTACGCAATCAATGCACGCCCTCATCGCATTCACGCCGTGGATATGAATCCATGGTCAGCTCTTCCTGATCCGAATGCCTCGATCTCAGCGCTGATTGCGACTTTTCTTCAGCCAAGGTCATCTGGTCGAACTCAAGCTCGCCGCGCTCAAAGCTCTCCAATACGACGAGTTCTTTGCTCTGTTCGGAGAAGGCAAGATGTCCTTGCGCAAGTTCCGTGCAATCCTAGATGGCAAGCTCTCGCCGTACCTATCTTCCGCGGCCTATCAGTTCTGGAGAATCAATGCCACTGCTTTCGAGCGCTCCTTCTACAGGCGAGGATACTCGGGTTGGGCTCTCCGTCTGGCACGTGTCTTACTGAGGCTTCATGGCGTCATGGGGGAAATGAAGGCCATGTGCGAAGCGAAGACAATTGAGGAGCAGGACCGCATCTGGAAGAACTCACTCCGTAGGATCTTCGTCGAGAGCTGGCTCGTTCGCGCGATTGTCAACAACCCTATCTTCCTCTGGAACGCTCTGGGGGTACGTATTTGCGCTATCTGTTTGTCCTACTCGCTCACGTACGCTCTCTAGGTCCCGCAAAACCAGAAGGATGCATTGACCAATGAAGGTTCTGTCTCCCAGTTCCTCCGTGACACCTTGGATCCCATCGGGTCGCACGCACTACTGAGCAAAGGGGCCTACCATTATCTCTTGGTACGTGCTCGCCTGCAGATGTTGGGCTCAAGTTGACCGTCATTCAGTGCCTTCTTGGTCGTTACACGCCCGAATCATGCCCTGATTACCTGACGCGTCGTGGGTTCGACGTCTTACACGAGAACCAAGACGGCGTTCTTGATTCTTTCCGCTTGCACACAGATTCCATATTACAGTCAATCATCATTACTGCTTCATTGTGTGCGCCGTACTGATGTCTTACGGCGCAGAGTACTGACCGGTCTGACACCGGGCTCGATAACGCGGATGATCATCATGGACCATCTGGACTGGTACGAACCTTCCCACGACGAGGCCTTGACCGAGATTGCGCAGATGCATCGCGTTCTGCCAAAGGGCGGAATGGTGTTCTGGCGATCGGCGGCGAAGTATCCGTGGTATAATCAGGCATTCGAGCGCGCCGGCTTCAAGCTGACGCCACTCGGCATCCGCGAGGGCCCGGAGAAGGCTATCGACAGAGTGAACATGTACGCATCCTTCTGGAGGGCCGATAAGCTGTAGAGAGGCAACGACTGGAGATTATACCTGTAGATACCAATTACGATTGTATAGTAGAGTAAAGAGACAATGCACGGATCAACGTCTGGATGTAACTCGGTTGTGGCACATATTCACCGCGCTCCGGCGTCGGGCCGCGGCCAATGACGACGCCAATTCGGGTCGGGCACGCGACAATCGCGCTTACCCCGCGCGTAGGTTGCGCATACCGCCGACGTGCTCCAGCTTAGGCCGCACACGATGCCATCTATTGCCGCACCGCCTCTTGACTCTGAACGGCCAGCACCACCCCTGCACATACCTCGAGATGTGCCGTCTGCTCATCTACAAGGGCACTGAGCCCGTGCAGTTGTCTCATGTGCGTGTTCATCCTGCTGCTAATCGCATAGCGTGCTCACTGAGCCCCACGTAGCTCCTGACTCGACCAGCGCACTCCATCATTAACCAGGCCTTTGACTCGCGGTTGCGCGTAGACATGCGTAGGCCCATTAACGGAGATGGCTTCGGTGTGGGCTGGTATGACTCGGTATACGACGAGGAGCTCGGCACCCAGCCTTGCATCTTCACCTCTGTCACTCCGGTAGGCATATCCTGGCTTTCATGCGGGGATACGGGGCTCAAGGCTCTTTGAAGGCATGGAACAACATCAACCTGCAGCGGTTGGCAGAGAAGATCAAGTCGCCCTTAGTCTTGTGCGTTATTGATGCCAGTCTCACGCGTGCCGATGTTAACCTTGATGATAGCGCCCATGTTCGCGCCACTACGGCGGGCTCACTCTCGGAGGATAACTGCCACCCGTTTAAGCATGGAAAGCTTATGGTATGCCTTTCGGCCATGCTGTAGTAAAGCGTGGTTAGCTAATCCGAAGCTAGTTCATGCACAACGGCAGCATCGAGGACTTCCCCAAGATCAAGCGCAAGCTACAGGCTCTCCTCCCTGATGACATCTTCAATGTTGTCCAAGGAAACACAGACTCGGAGCACTGCTTTGCGCTTTTCCTCTCGATGCTACCCAACGCGAACGCGACATGCTTCTCGCATCGCGAGTTGAGACAGGCTATGCTCGACACCATCTCTACTCTCAATAAGCTTGCGAAGGACGCTGGCATCACCCATCCGAGCTTGATGAACTTCTGTGTCACCGATGGCTCGAGCGTTGTCGCGACTCGATACGTCTCCTCTCGTCGCGACGAGGCGGCCTCGCTTTGGTTCTCGTCGGGTACCAGCTTCAGCGAGTATGCGGAGGGCGGTCATTACAAGATGTCGAAGACTGACAAGCGGGAGAATATCATCATGATCGCGAGCGAGCCGCTCACGTTTGAGAAAGGTAAATTCATAGCCTGTCCACTCTTATTCCCTTCCTGAACATCCACTCTCAGCGGACTGGATGGAGATCAAGACGAACATGCTTGTCACGATCACACCGAAGATGAACGTACTTCAAAGCCCCATCATCGACGAGTTTTGGGTGCCACCGTCAGACCCCGCCGCGAAGCAGCGTGGCGTTGACTTGGCCGTCGCAAAGGGCCTCTTGCCCAACCGCGACGGCCGACCCCCTCCGCCGGTCATGCCCACGCCACCGGCGGTGTCTGTGAAGCTTCCACAGCCAGTCGCGGTCGCATAGCACCTATACGTACCAGTCTCATCCCGTCATCCCTGCATATCGTTCGTTATTGTTCTCGCGCGTTCGTGTTATTCTCGTCCTGCAATCGCCCCTCTCTCGTTATCACCGCTGTGGTTTACACTAGAATCTGTTCAGTCTGTACATTACTACACCCATGATTGTCACCCCGAACTGTATATACGACGGCCTCGGAAACTATTTGCCTCAGTTACACGGTGATCGGAGCCAAGGGTCTCAAGCTTTCAGAAGTGGAAACGAGGAGCCACTGGAGTGCGCTTGTTGGACAGGAATGACTTCGTGCCAGGACCCGTGCCCGAGCGCTTGAAGCTGCCGCGCGCACTACAGCCTGCGACACTTCGACTCGCTCCTTGAGCCAAGGCAGCAGACGTCACCTTGTCCCAATACCACCACCACTTCCCATGAGTGGCACAGGCTCGACTTGCTACTTCACCGCATAATCATACCCGACAATCACGACCCACGTACACGAGCTTTCGGACATTGCAACACGCCACCTGACCCTCACATGGGTCCCAAAATCATCCTAGATGCGCTAACCAGTACCGCGAAGTGTGTGGCCTGCGATTCATGTCCTTCTGTCATACTCACTTCACTCATATAGGACTGCGAACTTCGCCCAGATATTGTTGGTTCTCCCCTTGACGCTCTCGACGCTCTCCAAACCGGCTTTCTTACTGTTGTCCCTGCTGCTGTTCGCGGTACGCATGCATTGATTATACCAGCGACCCTAGCGCTGATGTGTTTCTACGTACTAGGAATCAATCGTCCATGGCACCTTCCTCCTCTTCTTCCCAAACACCTCCGCCTTCCACTTCACCCAACTACCCTCGCACGCGCTCCTCCTACTTCTATGCTTCAACGTCTTCGCTCAATCCGTCCACCCAATAATCCTATCCGCTGCCGACTGGTGGGGTGCGATCCTAAACTGGTCAAGCCCGTTCTTCATCTTCCTCGAGGGGATATCTACGCTCCTGGTAGCGCAACGGATGGGGCAAGCGGGAAGGTCGCTCATTGAGGCCGACGATTCGTACCAATTCATCTTCCTCTTCACGAGTGCAGCGACATATGTCGTATCGTGCGCGTGGATCGTCATCGTATGTTCCAATGGTCCATGTACTGGCTCGGTATTAAGTACTGACATCTAATACAGGCATATCCTGATGCAGCGAATTCGCCCCTATCATCCACTCTCCTTGGTGTGGCAATGACAGTACGCCCTTGTGTTCCAGACCTCTCGTGGCACGTTTCTGATATCGATGTAGTGCCTCGTATTCTTGACCGTCATTGGCCTTATCCTCCGACGCACCACGATAATCGAGTCATCTGCTCTCACCCTCTTCGTAGCCTACAACGTCTGGCTCTGCGGCTTCTCCAAGGATTCGCTGTCCGGCATAGTGGGCTTCACATCCTACGCATCCTACGCGCCATTATTCGAGAATCTCCTGCCACACTTGACAACACTGGCGAACTTCATCACGAATACCATGCCGAAGCATGTGCTGGTGTCATTGATATACCGGATTTCCATCCTGCTGGGAGCGGCGAGGATCCTTCCGAGTATCGGAGCAGACTCGAGCTGGGAACTGGCAGTAGACGACGCGGACGCTCGACCGGTATGCCCTCCCTATCCACAACAATCCCGATACCACCGCGACTCACGCACATCCCACAGACGTCCAGACTAGCGCATATACTTCTGATCTACCGACAAGCCATCCTCGTCACCGTATACTCCCACCTCCTCCGTACGTCCCACTCTCACCTTGTGCCTCACGACCGCTCATGGCAACTAAATGACCTTTGCTCACACAGTCCTGGACGAGTCTTCGCACTCGTGGTGGCGGTGGATGAGCGTCTTCGTTACATTATTCTTATGGGGTCTCGAGCTGTTCGTCACGGATGAGGACGACATCACTAAGGACTGGAAAGTGGACTAATTTTCTTTATTCATTGGACTTTCATAATACCATCTCATCCTCCTGTACATCACAGTTGTCGACGGCGTATGCCGAATGTCTTGACACAGGGTTTGGTAAGGGTAGGCCGTACGAGTTGACGGGACCAATCGGAGTGCATTGGGAAGTATTCACTAATGCAGAACGGGGAAAGCAGAGTAGCAACGCAACCAGGAACAGCGGGATCTATGAGCAAACTGCTGGACGGGGTAATACAGAGCGTGTGGGGTAAACGGGTGGTGGAGTAGGATATTGTGGGAAGGTGTATGTCCGCAAGGAAGCGCTTGCATATGCAACGGGCGAGAGAAAAGGAACGTCAAGTGCAGTGCCGGTCGCATGGATGAGGATGAGAAAGCACGCACGTGGATATGGCGGAGCGAGGTGAGAGGGCCAGGAAAGGTAATGAAGGAAAGCATTGTCCCTGATACGGGGCACGGAGATGGATAGCGAGCAGTTCGGAAATAGTATATAATCAACACGACAGACATGATGAATGTAAGAAGGTACGATGCCTATGCCATTGGGTAGAGGTGCCCAGTAAAGAGAAAGAGTATGCGATGCAAGCTAGTAAGCCTATGTAAGGTTCCAGTGAAGAAGATTGTGTAAGCGGGTAGGTAAATGGTGATAAGTGGGTAAAGGCAATTGTCCGCGGGTCGTGAGCAGTTGACTAGTAAAACAACGTTTAGTCCGAATAGCTAGTAACAGTCCTCCAGCCCGCGGACAGACCGCGGGCTGTTTTACATCGCACGAGGCCCGCCTACGTCGTCCTCCGGTGTAGCATTCCGGACGCCGAGCACGGGCCTCGAGTAGTCCATGTCGTCTCTCAATTCCGGATCCGAATCCCGCAGGCCGGGATCAAGTCGCGAGTCAGCGCCGTCGTCCTCGTACACACTCTTCTCGTCATCGCTCTCCCGGTTGGCGGCATCCTGCATGCGACGCGGGTTCCGCGGCGGGGGAGGTGGCGGTGACGGGCTGTCCGGCGTGTCCTTATAGGGCTCAACAGGACTGCCGCCTGCAGAGAAGTTGGCGAGCAGCGGTTCATAACTGCCCGCGCTATAGCTCGGCGTGTGGGCGGAGGCACGCGGCCGTGTCGCGGCGCCGGGAGGTGGGCTGGCGGCACGCCCTGCCGCGCCTGCCCCTGCTGCAGCAAACGCGGCAGGCGCGGCAGCACCGACCGAGGCATACGGGTCAAAGAACTGACCACCGGTACCGGCACCAAGTTCCTCATCCGTCTGTAGCGTCGGGCGCGACGATCCTGACGCCATAGCTGCACTCCCACGTTGTGACATTTGCGGCCCCAGATCTTCATCGTCGATTGGCGCGCGATTGTAGCCCGCCGCAGCCAGTGTGGCCGACACCGCCGTATCATGCTCTAATTTGCGGGTACGGCGACGCCGGCGAACGAAGAAGAATAGGAAAAGGCATATTGCGGCGGCGGCGAGACCGACCACGACGAACACACCGGCGACTGCCCCCTTGTTCTTGAAGAACCTGATGCGAGAAAGAAGGGTTAGGGGAAATAAGCTTTCGGCGCGTGTGGGACATGCGCACTCGTTGGCGGATCCTCCACCGTCTGTCAAGGGTGTCGGGTTGGCCACGACCAGGGTTTGGGTAACGACCATGCCATCGCTTTCTGTCGAGGCAACAAAAGAAGTGATGACCGATGGCGCCACAGAAGTCGGTTGGCCATTTGCGGCAGTTGATAGGACAAAGACGGTCGACTGCAAGGTCGTGCTATGGGAAATTCATTGAGCACACACATGGACACAGAGAAGCAATGAGGCAAGTGATGAACTCACTCCGCAGCCGGGCCGGTCGAGGTCGGGGACGTTCCTGCACTGGATCTGCTTGCTGCAGCAGCCGAGGCGGAACTCGAACTCGCGATAGCTGCGGAACTTGAGGAGGCGGCTATTGCACTCGAGGTCGCAGCCGGCAATGAAGACGTCTGGGAGGGCGATGCCGAGGATGAAGTTGAGGAATCTGAGGAGGCTGGCGTCGACGAAGCAGGCGTCGACGATGCGGGAGTGGAGGAAGAGGAGGAAACAACGTCAGACGTTGGCGCAACGGATGAACTTGAGGAAGGTGTACTTGAAGGAGTGTCAGTGCTCGAGGATGGAGTGGACGTGGGAGTTGTGGATGTGGGCGGATCAGAGGATGTGGGTGGAGTTGAAGTCGGCGACGTCGACGTTGGTGTGGTGGACGTCGCGGGAGTGCTGCTCGGCGTTGTACTCGTGACCGGAGTACTGCTGGGCGTCGTGGACGTGGGCGTTTCCGAAGAAGCATCCGCCGAGGCCGTGGCCGAAGCGGAAGAGGCGCTGAGAACAAGGTGAGACTTTGCCGTGTTTCAGACAAGTCGAACACAATACTCACGAAGAGGCTGGTGTTGTAGATGTAGCAGGGTCGGTAGATGATGATACAGAAGTATTTGTAGCAGAGGCAGCGTCAGAGGTCGTGGACGGAGTGGACATGGCAGCCGAAGATGTAGTTTGGGCGGCAGCCGAAGTAGTTGTTGGTGCGGCCGTGGACGTCGGTGCGGCGGAGGAGGTGGGCGCGGCGGTGGACGTCGGGGCGGGAGTCGAGGTCGGTTGAGTTGTGGAGGCGGCAGGCGTGGATGAATCGGTGGGCGCGGGAGAAGATGAGGAAGCGGGATTATCAGTACTTGAGGCGGACGCTGGAGAGAACAAAGGCTTAGAGACGACTGTTAGCCGCCCCGAGCTGATGGGACTTACCCGAGCTGTCGTCCTGACGCTTGACTAGACCCATCGAACAATGGACATGGAAGTGGTTGGGAGAGAAGGGGAATAAACGATACCAAGGCCGTGCCGCGCCGCAAGCCTGAAGCTTTCAGAAAATGGGCACGCGGAGCCGTGCGCGTGTAACGGCGTCATCGCGATAGCTCCGTCGTCAAGCTGAAATCAATCCCAAGCCTCCACCCCCTCCGTCGACACGGCCGTAGTCGTTGGAGTCGCATAACCTGTTCAACAGCCTCCGTGGAGTGCGAGAGTGAGAGCTCGTGTTTATTCGCCCTGGCCAGCTGCCTATTTTCCCATCTTTACGCCAAGGCTTTTCCCGGCGCTTGATCTTGCACTGCATCTCATGGCCCACGGCCTAGTCTTGTAGTTCCAGTTCCTAGCGACGCGGCTTCCTCGGCGTATATGCCTTGTTTCCGCCCATGACTGTCATTTACGACTCTAAGGATACCCAGGACGGCACGATCGACAAGAAGCGCGACATCCCGCTAGAGCCGCCCACTGCGGGCTCTTCCTCGCGCCTCCAGCTCGCAGGGCCATCTGATGGCGAAGAACTGCCCACCTTCGAACAAAGCACCTCTGACGCGCTTGTTGACCTCAATGCCGACCTGGTGATTCCCGACGGTGGCGAGGCCCCTCCGCCTTCTTTCACACCGTATGAGGCCGAATATACCGTCGCATACGACAACTAGAGCGCTGCGTGCCGCTGCTGAAACCTAGCTTGAGGCCCTTGGTATAGATCTCCTGCTTTTACACAACATCTAGTCTCTACAGGCTCTGTGGTATAGTAGCGACGAGAGCTGATCGCTTCAACCGGGACATTGGAGAACGACGTGTGAGACTGGCTGCGGCATGGCGCGGCGATGCAGATTCGGAATATTCTCGACGAGAGATGCTATCTGCTTATTACTTGTGCTGTCCCACTGTTCAGAACCCGCTGAAAGCTTCGTCACTATTTTCTACCCGAGTGCTGGAGCCGTTCGCTGTTGAACTACAAGCTCAGTATGAGGAAACGAACACGCAACGGAAAGAGCAGAGATTGATCGGATCACGACGTTCAGGCAATCGCCGGTGGACCGGTGCCTGACACGGATTTTGGAAGTGGGAAACCTAGTCAAGCTAGGTAATTATGCATTCCAAGTCAATGCTGGGAGGCACTGTTCTATCAATAATCTCCCGCCGGAGTTGCTGATGGAGATACTTTCGTACATTCCTGCCGCGTTAAACTTCTTGGATCGCGTCCACGTCGACCCCTTCAAGCTCTTAGATTCGGAAGATGAAGGGACAGACTCTGAAGATAACGACGAGAAGGATAGCTCTGAGCCCGGATGGTACACTATGGGGCTAGCTCAAAGCTGCCATGACTACGGCAACTGTCTGGCCGAGCTTCGCTTCCGCAACGGCTGCGCCCGTTTCTGCTCCAGCCGTCCATGGAACTGCTTCGACGTTCTACGCGTATGCAAGCATTGGCGGGCCACTGCTTACTCGTGGCCTCAGTTCTGGACGAACATCGCCATTCAGAACTACGACACCGTCATGCGCTCGCTGAAGTTGTCGGGAACCCTTCCGATCACCATCCATTCATCGAACCCATCGCACGGGGAGATGCGGAAGTCGCCCTCGACCGAAGCTCTCAATGCCGCTCTGAGTGAGCTGCATCGCGTCCGCGTTCTGGACATATCCTTCTTCTCATTCTCCGACTCAAATTGGGGAGAATGGACCAGACCGATCATCTCTCATCTGCGCCGATTGCCAGCTTCTCAGTTGGTCACCCTGCGGCTGAAGTTGGAGCGAAGCTCTTCGGACGAGCCTGTCAAAGTCAAGACCGTCAATTGGACTGAGCAGATGTTCCCGAGATTGCACACTCTCGAACTACATTCGGCAAAGCTCTACGCTCCCTGCGCTCTGATCGCGCCTACGCTCTCGGAGTTGACACTGACAGACTGTGAGGCACCTTGGAACAGTGCTGCCGACTTCTTGCGCGCATTGTCGCTTCTTCCCCAGCTGCAGATACTCTCCATCACAAGAATGGACAACCCAAGAGACTTCGACGACCACCGCCTGAAGCAGCCTGGCGACCTCAGGCTACCGATAGTCATGGCTCATCTTCGCTCGATAGAGCTTTCCGGCTCTTTTCGCTTCGTAAATCGTGTCCTCTCCGTAGTCAAGTTCCCGCTCGACTCCACAACGCTCAAACTGTACTACGAGTACGACGCCCACGGTGTGGACCTCGGTCATGACTCGGACTCAGCCCTCGAGGCAGCGCGTAACATGTTCGCAGAGTACGCGCTTGCGATGCCGCCCCGCTCGTTCTTCGACTCAGTGGACCTCGACTTTGACCTCGACGAGCGCGTAATCGGGATTACCCTCACGCAGCCCGACCCCAGCAACATCACCGTGAGCCTTCGGCACTCTTGGCATGAAGATCACGACCACCACGCTGGCGACATACTATCTTTTATTCGCCAAACGAGCAGTCCGCTCTTCTCGACAGAGCGGATGACATCCTTGGCGATACTCTCGACTGGATACTTCGATACCATCACACAGCATTCGCCCACGTTTACCCCGGACGCATGCTACGATTGGGTGGCTGGCCTGTCGGCGCTTCGTTTCATAAGGCTCTCGAGTCAAGCCGTGACCACCTTCATCGCGTGGATGGTCCACCGATTGAACACGGCCGCGGGCCTTTCGGACTCAGGTGACGATGTCGCAGAAGACGAATCAGACTCCGAGAACGACAACGTCAAGCGATCATACCACAGAAGTCGGTACCTCTCGTTGCTGGACATGCCCAAGCCCAGACGCAGAATCAGGCCCACAATCATATTCCCCGCCCTTCGCTGCCTGCTCCTTAACGAGTGTGATCTCCAGGGCTCGGCTGGCGAGAATGAAGCGGGAGAAGACGACCTCTTGTTCACCTACCTCTGGCTCTACCTCCACGCGCAGACTCCGAAGCTAGTGCTGGTCGATACGGAGTTGACACACCGCATGCTACGCGAGCTGAGGCGTATGTTGGGACCCTCGCGGTTTGAGGAGCGCAGCGTGTGGCCAGTGTCAGATGAACCCTACATTGAGGTATCGCGTAGTTGGGCCAGGAAAGGAGAGGAAGAGTTGCGAATACACGACAAGAGCTGGACGAAGATCATCAAACTACCACGATGGGGTCTTCTACCTGACTCTGAGGTGGACGATGAGAGCAAGGGGTCTTAGTGCTCTGGCCCGGCCAGACGTGCGAATCATGTCTGCTTTATAGGTTCCCTGTGAGTGCCGACGCCGGTACAATCCTCGTAGCCTAGTGCCCGATATATATGGCCATTCGGTAGTATATCTTCTCTAATATACGAACAATCCTGCTCGATTCGTGAATCACAAGGTGCCTGAAGATCGCCAGTTTTCGCACCATTCATGCCGTCCTGCCGATCCCCGGCGGCAACTGCACATCAACGGTGTAATGTGTACGTGCGCTATCGGGTGGCTTCACGTACGTGAGTGTTGCATATACGATACAGAGTCATAGCAAACATACGGGGATAATGCCCTGTGGCGAGAGTGGAACGCCATTGCCCGATTCTTCCGACGAAGAACCTCTAGTGGCCCACGTCCACCGGCTGTTCTCCACCTTCACGCGATGATTCCTCGACTCCTCCTCCCTGTAGGCATGCGCGCGAAGAATGATAAGATACGGACATGTAGCCTAGAAAGAACATCAGCGTTATCGTTCACGTGTCTCGTCTACATCACTTAGTACTCACGCTTACTTGCGTTACGATCCCGACGTTGATGCCTCCGATGTTCGTTCTTGCCAGATAGAAGGCCAGCGAGAGTATAGTCAATACCCCGTAGATCGCGCCACTCTCAACCACGATCCGCAGCGCGTGCCACTCGCGCGACCAAGAGCGCCGATCTCGCCAGTTGATGGTTGCCCAAATTCGCCAGGCAACGAGTCCCGTGGCGCCTAACTGCAAGGCGAGCGAGATGACGGTGAAGGCAAGAACCCAGTTCCCAAGTACGGGATCAAAGACTACACTTCCGGTCGGCAAGTGCGTCAACTGGCGCAGAGAACCGATTAGGGTAGCTGATAGTATCGTTCAGTATCTGGATCATGATGGTGCATCGGACATGAAGCGGCTCACCGAGTAGGCCTAGCCAGACGATAGCCTGCTTGCAACTCAGCTCAATGTTTGTTCAACCTGGAGACTGAACTCACTAAGGGTGCACATAACTTCCAATCACGGCTAGTAATGATATAGGCCCTCCATAACAAGACGCCGCTACCGATCCAATCCTTGCGAAATGGGGATCAGTAAGCTATATCGACCGTGAGGGCGCCCAGGACGCACATTCACGGTATACAAACACTCCTCTGCGACCTCAAATGGGGTATTCGGTACGAAGAAGTACACCTCTCCACGCTGACCGCCTCCCAAAGTGACGAAGCCGTGCCTGTTGATGGCGAGTAGGATGGCAGATGATGCAAAGCAGACCATGACTTGTGCCGTCGACGACACGGCGAGCACCCATCTATCAGATCACATTGTGGGATGAGAAGACGCGCGACGGATGAGTTGAGAGTTTCGGCACACCTTGCCCTTGGGCTGATATCCGGAGATCGCTTGAACAGCACACGCACGCAAAAGAAGTATAAGACAATGCTAACTCTCAGTGTTAGTAACAGTGCCCTTCGTATGCGAAGCAAGGCCATACTTGAAGCCTGTATCAAAGCATCATCAGTAATTGACACCTTGAGATGGACAGATGACCGTACCACAGAGCGTGCTGGAAAACCACCCTTGGACAAGCGACGCCGCACTCTGGCTAAGGTCGCTCATAGTCAGATGGCGGGGAAGAGATACGCTCAGCTGCGGCGGGATGCGCTATATACTCACTCTCGCGCTCTTGGCTCCTCGCGCGCTTGTTCATCAATCCATCTCTACGATGCGACGTTGAGCGCGAATGCTTGATTGGCACAGGCCCATTTCCACAGTTGCATCACAATGGAAGGCCACGGAGCGTCCCGCTCTGCCTGCGATACAGAGACGTATCGAGGAAAACATCAGCGCATGTGGTGAGGCCCGCGGGTTCGACGCGATGGAGTGGGACAGAGACGCCCAAAGCCAGCTGCTTCGTTCTCAGGCCGAGGCTGATTGGACGGAAGAGAAGCTGATTGGATGTCTGTTGAGATCGCGCATTCGGACTCTACCCCGAGTACTTGATACGTCCCCTCTATAGGGCATAGTATAGCCCAGTGACTTGCGCCTGTCTTTTACTTAGTCAGCTTGGCGTGTAGACTGCCGCCCTAAAACAGATCGCTCATCTTGACCTACTGAGCGCCGGCAGTTCTTTTGCTCTCAACAACCTGAGGTCTGACCAATCGGATGCATAAAAGGTCATATGCTGCGAGATCGGAAGGTCGAGCCACTGGAGAGTATTGTTTGGTGCTCAGACTGCGGATGTCGAAGAGCATAGACTGCATGCACTTCCTGCGCACTCCTGCATCGTGGACGACATGATGGAGGTCAAGATATAGCGCCTCGCGCACGCTCACGTCGCTCTGGCGAATGTCCAGAAGCTCACTCTCGGGTAGTATTGCATAGAGTAGAATCTGACTACTTCAAGATGGTGGTCGAGAACGGAGACGTCGTCGGTTTTGCACGGCCGTCGTGTTCACCCGCGATTTGCCGAGAAAAGTCCCACGCGGCTGCACCCACTGAACTTGACGGAGAACCACCATCGTCCTGACCCTTCACATGCATGAGTCTCCCCTCTTGAAGTACTTTACCCTCGAAGAGACTGAAGAATCTCTGAATGCTCACGCCGATGCAAGGCGGAGAAGACAGGTGTGATCGGTACGGCCTTCACGAGCGTGTATTCAGCCTTACGAGTACTTCCACCTATATCAGGTCCTTAACTCAAGCCGGAAGACGCGGCGACATGCACTCTTTCAGACGTCGCTTGTTCATCATAGGTTCTGGATACACTTCAAGAAGCCATGCGTTATCAACGCTCTCCCGACTGAACTACTGATGGAGATACTGTCCTACCTTCCCTCGGTCGCGGAGGGCGCGAATGTTCGGATCCATACCGACCCACTTCCACTCCCCGTTCTCGACGAAGACGCCGACAACCATGAAGATGACGGCCCTCAGAATGAAGGCGAAGACGACGACAATATGATGGATTTCAATGAATATGACTTACAGAGGGCTCGGCGTAGCGCCGATTATGGCACCTGCCTGGCCGAGCTCTATTTCCGGAACGGATGCGCTCGCTTCTGCATGTCAGCGCGCTGGAACTACCTCGACGTTGTTCGCGTGTGCAAGCATTGGAAGGAGACTGTATACGCTTGTCCCCAGTTCTGGGCGAACATCACCCCTCATGACCGTGGATCCGTCTCGCGCTCGCTCACGCTGTCCAGGAACCTGCCGCTCGACATCATTGTCGACGCAAGCAGTGGGACGAAGCGCTCGCTGATGGCATTCGACCTTATACTGCGAGCGCTTCATCGCATTCGCGATTTGGAGATCCGAACTTATAGCACCGACAGCCTCAGTCGCGCAACGTGGGCGAAGACTCTGGTAGACAGGCTCGCGGAATCGCCCGCCCCTCGACTTGGCTCGCTACGGATCAACTCGCGGTACACAAGCGCCATGCAGTATCCGATGTTGACAACGGACTGGGTAGAGCAAGAGTTCCCCTCCTTGCGCGTTCTCCAGCTTTCCGCGATAGAAATGTACTCACCCTGTGCTCTACTAGCCCCAACCCTTACGGAGCTTCAGTTGGCCGACTGCATACCACCATGGGAGACTGCCTCCGCATTCTTCGAAACGTTTTCACGTCTTCCTCAGCTCGAGATTCTTGTTCTCGCTAGATGCCCCAACCCCTCCGACTTTGACAAAGAGCGCCCTCCGGTGCCGAGTTCAACGTCCCTTCCCATCCTCCTCAGATACCTTACGTCAATTGAGCTCGACGGCTCTTTCCGTTTCATCAACCGAGTCCTATCAGCGTTCGCCTTTCCCCTCGGTGCCACGAGCCTGAAGCTATCTTACACGTACGACGAGCGCGGAGTGGATCTCGGCCACGACTCCCCAGCGGAACTCACGAGAGTGTACGACAAGTTCGCCTCTTACGCGCGAGAAATGCAACCTGGCATGCATTTCTCCCACGCCAGCTGCGACTTCGACCTGGACGACAATTGGATCGAGATCACCCTGGAACGAGACGACCCGACCAAAGTCATCGTATCTCTCCGGCACACCTGGGACGAACATCTCCATCGGCACGTTGGCGACATACTCGCGTTCGTGCGCCGAACGAGCGGCGCGCTCTTTTCTCGGACCGACGACACAGCCGTAGAGCTTGACATCACCGGAGACTTCGAGCCGATCACAGCGGCCTCGCCGACCTTTACGCTAGAGGCCTGTCTCGAGCTGTTGGCCGGTCTAAACGGTCTATCGTGGCTGCGCCTCTCAAGCGAAGCCGCCTACGCTTTTATCCCCTGGATGATCCACCGCCTGCATACCACGGCCAACATCCCTCCCGCCGAACAAGATGGCGACACGCTCGACACGGCAGACACCAATCCGGACGACGCGCTCTGGATGGTCCACGCGCGTGACGACCTGCAAAGGAGATCCGCAGCAAAGCGCCAGTCCAAGGTGGACCCTACGCTCCCGTTTCCATCCCTTCGCACGCTCGCCCTCAGTGAATGTAACCTCGGCGAATCCATCCACGAAGACGACTCGCGGCCGGAAGACATCCTATTCTCATATCTTTGGCTTTACCTACATTCCCAGCAGCCACGGCTTATACTCGACACCGTTGAGCTCACGCAGCGCATGTTGGAAGAGCTGAGGAGGAAACTCGGCCCGGAGCATCTGTTAGAGCGAGATATTGTGACTGAGGAGGATGATCCGCATATCAACGTTGTTCACTCGTCGTGGAGTGTGGGGGTAGAGGAGTTGGAAGTGTATGTAGGAAGCCGGATGAAAATTGTGAGGACACCGCGATGGAGTGTGCTTGGAGATGAACAGGAGCATAGTGACTCGGACGGTGGAGACGACGACTCTGATTACTAGGTCTCGGACATTATATTACACAAATACACACCTCCTTATAGTATACTGGGCGATATATCAGTCAGAACGTGCTTCCGTCTATGTGCGGCGCAGGGGACTAGCGCGAAGTTCGAGGATCACAGTACACCGATGTAAGGGGTTTCAAACGAGTAATTGAAGCGGTAAGGCGCCTCTAAGGTACCTCAGCCCATTAAGCAAAGCGTGGGTAAGCGTGTTTAGATCTTACAGCGGTTTGCAAGATGACGTGAAATCGCTCTCCGAAGTTCTTCTCTTTGTATTTTTTGTCCCGTTACTGATGGGCCACGGCCGCCACGTCGGCAATCCCCCTCATCGCCCTATGCATGCAGTTCTGCAGCCAGAGAGATATCAGTGCAGGTCAAGAGTCGTCCGGCCTTGCTGCTCATGGTGCATCTATCATCTTGGTGTCGTCGCATCCTCAGCTTCCTCACCGGACGGAGCACAGTCTATGTCTTCCTCCGTCGTTGAGTTGTCGACGCCGAAGATACCGGCGCACAGTCTACGGTGGGTGGGAACGGGGGCGAAGCCGTCGACGACGACTCCGAATATATGCCCGAATTCACTCCACGAGGTCCCAGTACGAACGCAGGCCCATGCCCTTTTATATGGGCTGCAGGGGCTGTCTGTACAAAGTTCTCAGCGAGTGAGCGCCATATCGCACATGGTAGTCGAGAGGGTGGGCTGGACACGTCTCCGCGTTACTGATGGTCACGAGCAAACAAGTCCAAAGAGAGAATCTGCTGCGCGCGTATTCACGTCATTTTGCAAGCCGCTGTAGCGGGCTCAAGCGCTTGAGGGATTGCTAGGGTGATTTCGACGCTAGCCTCGCGGGTCGCGACGCGTCGCGCGTCCATCAGGTGATCGCGCCAGAGGCACGTGCACCTATCAGGCTACCGCTCACAGCCTCCCACCTGCTACAGCGTCGTAGATATTGCAGGTGTCAACGCACGGCTTCCGTAAGAGACCCTTTTCGTGGGGCGGGCGGTCGTATATCCTCTTCATCTGCTTCTGCCATACCCGCTCGGCGACTCAGCGAACACGACACTTTCCGCCGCGATAATGTACATCTGCTTCGAGCGAGCCGCACCTAGCATTCTGGCAGAGGTGTTCACATAAGATGCGACGGTGAAATTTCCGACGACGACAATGATAATTTTGGCTGGGCATGTCGCATTAGTGAACCTATCATACGCGAATACAGCCGAAGTCCCAGTATCCCAACACGGAGACCCACTCAGTGGTTCCGCTTATCCTCGAAGAAATTCTGTGAACCGTCGTCAGTCCCAACATATCAACATTCAAGCCTCAAGCGTACCCTCAAATGGCGCAGTTGCCAAGCACACGTCACCACCAACACCGCGATCTGCGCGAGCGAATACCACACCGCCCTCCCATTCAACAACTCGCTCAGATTCCTAAAATCCGCCTCGCGCTCGCGCTGATACTGCTGCTCCCTTCTAATATCCTCCAGCTTCAGATTCAGATCCCTGATCTTGCTCGCAAGTTCAGAAATGTGCCCGCGGTCGTGCTCGATGTCGGGCCGGGTGTTGCCGACGACGATGTCGAGGTAGAGGCGGATGTGGGCGGTGGGGCCGAACCAGGACGACGAGTAGTTGGTGGACATGCATATGGAGTGGTCGCCCGAGTCGTGCGATGTGAATGTCCAGCGGCTGTCGGGCGGGCCCCGGGTGGAGGTGACGACGTGGCCGGTGTCCATTTCCTGCGCGCGCGTCGTGATCGTGAGCGGGGAGCACACGCCGCGGGTACAGACAATGAACGTACCGTTATTTCTGTCAGTATACCCAGTTCTGGGTTGATAGCATACACCTGGTCCTTTTCGTTCCACTCCAGCGCGCGGTAGTGTCCTATAGTTTCCAAGATCAATACGAGCACGCGAGCAAAGTTGGCAGTTCACGAACCCTCCACAACCGTCTCATTCGGCAATTCCTCAATAAAACACCGCGTCTCCCCCGCGTCCAAGTATAAGTGTAATGCATTGGCGTACGACGCGGCGGCCAGCGCGAGAATAAGCGTCCGTGGTAGAGGCCAGGTGGCGAACATGATGGTCGTAGACAGAAGCACGCGTGAGAAGACGCGCCTCGGACGCGTCTTTCGCCAAGTCTTCTCCAGACTTTCTTCCAACTCTCTTCACAGCCCAACATGCCTACGAAACGCTTCGAGCCGAAGGAGATCAAGAACAAACATAAGCGCGAGGAGGTCGCGCGAAAGAACAAGAGGGCGAAGGGCCAGGCGAAGCTTGCGCGCAGGCTGGAGCAGGCAAAAGTAGAATCAAAAGATCCTCTTGCGAAAAAGGTGCGCGTTCCATGTGACTTGCCTACATCTCAAGATCTAATACTGTATGCAGAAACGGCTCGCACAAAATGTACCGCGCACACTCGACAACACACGGGAATACGACCCCTCCTTCCTCACCGCAGACCCCGCAACGCACCAGCAGCCCGAAGCGTCCAGTTCCGGCTCAAACTCCAATGTTGCCCCCGCAGACCCGACAGGCGAATCGATGGCCGACATCGCCAGCGACCCCTTTGCCGACTATTTCGAGACCGACGACCCGACGCGCCCGCCGAAAGTGTTGATTACCACGAGCCCGAAAGCCACGCGCGTGAGCTACGAGTTTTGCGAGGAGCTCGTGGGCATTTTCCCGGGTGCGGAGTTCCATAGGAGGCCGAAGGGGCGCGGGTTTGAGATGGGCAAGATCGCGGGGTGGGCGGCGGGGAGGGGGTTTAGCAATTTGATTGTCGTGAATGAGGATACGAAGAAGCTCAGTACGTATTATATGATTTACGCGCGCTGGTATCGAAGCTAATAGGGTATACAGATGCCATGACAGTCGTACACCTTCCCAACGGTCCGACAGCCTACTTCAAGCTCACCTCCATCGAACTCACCAAAAAGCTCCTCGGCCACGCCCGCGCCACGCCTCACTTCCCCGAACTCATCCTCAACAACTTCGCCACCCGCCTCGGCCACACCGTCGGGCGCCTCTTCCAAACGTTCTTCCCGCCCCTACCCGAGTTTCAAGGCCGACAAGCGGTGACGCTGCACAACCAGCGCGATTTCCTGTTCTTCAGGAGACACCGGTACGCGTTCAGGAGCGACGAAAAGGTGGCGCTGCAGGAGATCGGGCCGCGGTTTACGCTCAAGCTGAGGAGCCTGAGGAAGGGGCTGCCGGCTGTTAAGAACTTTGGCGAGGCACCGAGGCCGTTGGAGTTTGATACGTTTGATGAGGATGAGAAGGCGGAGGACAAGGCCGCGGACGAAAATGAGGATGCGGACGCGGCGGCGGCGGAGGGCGAGGAGGATGAGGCTGGTGCGACTGCCGCGACTGCGAGTGCGACGGCCAAGGCACCGCCCAAGAACGATGAGTACGAGTGGTTATGGAAGGTATGTGCCGATCGCCTTACCACGCCAGGCCACAACGCTCACTTTGCCTTTTCAACTTGCAGCCCGAGCTGGAGACATCGAAACGGACGTTCTTCCTGTAAAGCGCTACTGTACTCGATGTTTGCTGCTACCATTCACCTTGTCGGTTATACGCATATGCTGCAACACTCGCATCATATAGTGCGATATTCGTCATCGTCCCGCGGCTCGCCGTAGAGCTGCGTTCGGTACTCATACCGAATCTCATTTGATGGCTTACATACGCACCCGGGCCCGAATACCGAAGAACATCTTTTCCGGACTGTTCGTCAGTCAATGACGTTCCGAGAGTCACCCTCCATACGTGCAGGTCGTATGCAGTAGGTGATTGAGGTAAGGAGCGGCGAAAGCTTGACGGCAGACGAAACACAAACGTGGTCGTTTATTGCCCCTTTCAATTGCTTCAATGCAGCACGCATACCGCTCAAAGCTGGCGCTAATCATCCACAGAACCCTTCTACTGCTGACTGTAAACTCACTCAAAGTATAGCAACTTGGCCTCGGCCTTGTCCATCACATCTTACCAGCTGACTACATCCTCCAATCCCACCTTCATCTTCGTTTGATCTTGCCTTTGCCCACTTAGGCCAGCTTACATACCCCTTTCCACGGCTGACACACCTCTCGAGCGGCGAACTGGCGTGAGTAACAGTACGCAGCTGTTCGTGTCGAACTCTAACATACAGGGTCGCTTGGAGGCACACGCTCTCCGAATCACCGAATGTCAGCGCAACGCGTTACCGTTGCTGGACTGCGTATGGACGGCATACTGTGTTGGCAATAGCGGCGCTCAGTACCAAAGTGGCAACCGTAAGTACGGTTTGGCGCTTATCTCGTTGTATAGTGGCTGATGCTTGGCCCAGCGCTCTCCCTCCAATACCTGACTCCAAGCCACGACAAACCCGCACTCTATTCTCTATACCTCTACACCGCTTGTATAAACAGCCCACCATCGCTATGATCGCCGAAGTACGCACGCCAATAAGCGGCACTCGCTCCAGCCAAGCACGTCCTCGCCGCCTCCGGCCAATTCGCCGCCGGCGTCTATGGGGATATTAGCCCCATCAATTCCACGCAGCCCTCGAAGGGCGGCCATCTTCGCCACGACCATACCAACTCTACATGCTTGCAGGCACCTTACCGCATCGTTTTGCCTCGGGCAGTGATTGCTCGACTTGCCGCCGCCGATGCCGACACGCTCTGTGACTCTGCTCACACCCTCTCTGTACCGCGCGCGCCCGCTTTCTGGTCATTGTAGCGACTCGACGGGGCGCAGTGCGTCTCAGTCAGCTTCGTCACCGAGCCGAGTCGACGTATTTAAGATGGAGGGGATGAGCGTGGAGGTGTTCGTCGTCCAGCTCCTGGTCTTCTGCCTGAGCCCGGCTTCGTCGACATCAACATGGTCCTCGCGTACACCCTCGTCCTCGCGCTCTCTGCGCTGTCCGCTCAGGCGGTCAGCGTTAGCGATGCGTGCAAGCAGATTGCCGATGCTATCTCGAGCAGCTCGGACGTGTATTACCCCGGTTCGTAGCGCGTCGCCTCGAAAGCATGTTGGGCATGGTGTTTACTGATGCTGTGCTGTAGGATCTACCCAGTACGACGCGGACATCTACCATTGGTCTATTGCCAGCACCCAAAACGCGACCTGCTCCGTCGAGCCTGGAACCGTCGAAGACGTCTCTGCAATCGTACGCGTTTTCCTCCCGCCCTCCTATCCCCAGCAGAACTAATCCCATATCTCCGCAGGTCAAGATCGTCGGCGAGACGGGTGTCCCCTTCGCCGTCAAAGGCGGCGGCCACGCCACGAACCAAAACTTCTCCTCAACGACCGGCGTCCAGATCGCCATGAGCCGCTTCAAAGACGTCGTCCTCAGCGACGACAAGAGCACCGTCGCCGTCGGGCCCGGCCTCATCTGGGACGACGTCTACGGCGCGCTCAACGGCACAGGCGTCAACGTCGTCGGCGGCCGTGTGCCGGGCGTCGGCGTAGCCGGCTTCGTGCTCGGCGGCGGATACTCGTACTTGACGAGCCAGTACGGTCTCACGCTCGACAACGTCGCCGCGTTCGACCTCGTGCTGCCCAACGGCACCTTCACGACCGTCACCCCCGCCGACTCAGACCTCTGGTTCGCCCTGCGCGGCGCGGGCGCGGGCAACTTCGGCGTCGTCACGACCTTCCACCTCATCACGCACCCGCAGGGCCAAGTGTGGGGCGGCATCATCGGCATCGACGGATCGAACTTCGACCTCATCACCGCCGCCGCCGCGCGCTTCTCGCTGAACAACACGGACAAGAAGGCCGCGATGATCCCCGCGTACCAGTACGGCGCGGGCGCCGCGTTCGCGAATATCGTGCTGTTCTACGACGGGCCCACGCCGCCGGCGGGCATCTTCGACGACTGGCTCGCGATCCCGACGACGTCGTCCGACCTCGCGACGCGCGACTTCGCATCGTTCATCCAGGCGCTCAGCGCGCTCGCGCCCATCGCGCCCGCGACGCACGCGTACTTCGCGTCGGTGATGCTGCAGGACTACCCCGTCGCGCTGCTCGACTTTTTCAAGGAGCGCACGCTCGCGCTCGGGCCGTCGCTCGCGCAGAACGACTCGGACTTCTTCTTGTCGCTCTACGTCGAGCCGTTCGACACGTCGTACCTCTCGTACAACGACGCGCCCGCTTCGTGGCCCGATAGCCGTACGCGCGGGCTCCAGCCTACGGATGTGTACTTCAGCTGGAAGGACGGCTCGCTCGAGGAGTTCTTCCTTGATGCTATGCGCCAGACTGTTGTCGATATCCGGAATAAGGCGGACGAGCTGGGGCAGGACGTCGGCGACGCGGTCGAGTACCCGAACTATGCGCTTTCGAGTACGCCGTCGGTGAAGGTCTATGGGGAGGACAACTTGAAGAGGTTGCAGGCGGTCCAGGCCGTGATTGACCCGAAGAAGGTGTTTGCGCAGACGGGCGGGTTCAAGATCGATGTGTAGAGTGGCTTGAGTCGAGCAGAGTTTTCGTGATGTAATTGGGTTGTTGGTATCTTGTAGATCTCTTGTAATGCATGGCGGTTCTGAAGAGTACTTTCTCAGCGTGATGTTCTTTCGTGTCGCGTACAGACGTGACGCTCATTCTGCCTGTGGGGCTTGTGAGGGTAGAGCATCGGTCGCTCAACAAGTGTTAGTGTGAGTACAAAACGTAGACATGTCGATCCGCCCGCTGGGAACAAACAGCCCTACCGGCGTATACGGGCATAATCTACGCCTGCTAGTGAGGCCATCTCGCGCCATCGCAGGCGCATCCCTCACACCAAAACAAGGCCGGTAACATGATGTCTAAGAATTTCTTGATAATACAAACAATAACTTCCTCTCCTCCTCAAGCATACATTACAAAGCATAACAAAAGCGGCGAATCTATTACTTCCTGTCATGTCGTCGTCATAGTGCGTACAGCACTGGCGCTATCCACCATGGCGTCCCAAAGCTTGAGCCCGAGGCCGCCCCAAGTGCTCGTTTGGCCCCGGCGTCAGCCCTGGACCTTGTTGCCCTCTGGGTCGTGGAAGTTGAGGGAGACGGAGTTGACGCAGTGGCGCTCATCGGCTGGAAGATGTACGAGTTAGACTAGGAGTCAAGTGTAGAAGGTGAGATGAGGACGTACTGGATGCTGCCTCCTTGAAGCCCTCGCCCTTGAAGACGTGCCCGAGGTGACCGCCGCAACGGGTGCAGGTGATCTCGATGCGGGTCATGCCCCAGCTCTTGTCCTCATGACGGGACACAGCGCCGGGAATGGCTACAAAGCACATAAGCATACTGTATACAAATAGCATAGGTAGAGCGCCGTACCATCGAAGAAAGCCGGCCAGCCGCAACCAGAGTGGAACTTGGTGGTCGACTTGTACAGCGGTGCGTCGCAGGCGCCACAGGTGTACACGCCCTCGTCGTCGGTGTTCTCGAACTTGCCGGATCCGGCAGGCTCGGTGCCCTTCTGGCGGAGGATGCGGAACTGCTCCTTGGAGAGAATAGCGCGCCACTCATCGTCGGACTTCTGGACGGGCTCGGTCTCGGCGTTAGACATTGTGTTCGTGTTGGTATTCGTAGAGTAGGTGGAGGTAGTTATGAAAGGTAGAGTGAGAGCGAGGCTGGTGGTGGTGGTGGAGCGGCGAGAGAGTGATGGAGAAAGACGAAGAGCGAGGGTGGCGTATTTGTAAAGAGCTCGCATGCGGGCTGTGACTTCTGTGAAGATTGCACCCGATTGGTTGTGGCTACGGCGAGATCACCGGCGTATCAGCTATCAAGGAATCAGACTACGGGGGCTGTGATACGGCTGGTGCGCGTCGTCGAGGTCGTTGACGCGGGCGGTGTGAGCTGCAGGTGGAAGATCAAGTTAGGGGTTCGCGGCTGCTGCGATGGAGAGACGTCAGAGGCGAAATATATTCGTTGCTGCGTCGATTCTGGGCAGCAAATCGCGAGGAAAATGTCAGCGGTTCGAATACGTATGTCGTATTCATAGCATAGATCATCAAGGGCTCTTCTCCCTCGGGCGCAGCCACGACGAACATCAACCAGTAGCTGACGGGCTTGCCGGGCCGGCGATGGGTTCTCCTGAGCGTGTGAGCGCCATCAGACGACACTGAATTTCGGGACGCGTCTGGCTGTGCCAGCGCTGTGTCTGTCCGCCATGCACCATCTCCGTCGCGCTGTTCCCCCATCTGCCGCCCGTCTCGCAGCCTCGCGACAAACAGCAGCACATCATGTCACGCCATTAGCCGCTGCCCAACGCGCGCAGTTCAGCGCCAGCGCGAGAAGGGGGAACGAGCTCCCCAAGAGCCCGTTCCAGACTTTTGTCGAGGTTCTGAGGGAGGAGCTCAAGAAGAACAGGGAGCTGCAGGAGAATGTGAAGCAGTTGCAGGGCGATGTGGATAAGTTCCAGGACTCGGAGGCCATGAAGAAGGCCAGGGACGCGTACGAGCGGGCTCGCGTGCGTATACCTTCGGCATCCGAGTCACGCGTACATATTCTAATAATGTGACAGTTATCGACAAGTATCAAGGAGAACCCGAGGTTACGCGCCGCGGCTGAACAGCTCAAGGCGAGCGGCGTCAAGGTCAGCGAGGCCGTGGGAGAGGCACTCAAGACCATGGAGGAGAGCGATGTCGCACGAGCAGTATGTGTTGTTCATTACATTTCACGACGCTGTACTAATCCGTGCTTAGATATCGCGTGCATCTGCCGCACTGGGCAAGACCATCTCTTCTACGACCGAGCCCATACGAAACACCGCCGCCTACAAAACCTTCGCCGAAACGCTAGTCGACGCGCTCGACGACTCTGGTACAGCCAAGCACGCCGGGTTCGAAGAGAAGGAGGCACGGCGACAACGACGCGCAAAGCGACTGGCAAAAGCGGGCATGGAGGGACGCTTAAAGCCGCGCACGCAGGCTAACCCCGACGCGGGTGGCGCCGTCGTATTACACGCCCAGCAACCACGCGAGGAGAAATGGGAAAAGCTCAAAGCGACAAACCCGCTCTTCCGCAAACTCGGCGAGCTCCAAGAAGCGTACCAAGAAAGCGAGAACCCGCTAGTCGCCGGTCTTCGCGGCGTGACGAGCACCGTTGCAGGCTGGTTCGACGAGAACGAGACGGCACAGGTCATGCGCATGATGAAGGCGCACGACCCCTCGTTCACGATGGAGAGCTTCGAGCGCGAGCTGCGGGAGTACATCGTGCCGGAAGTCGTCGACGCGTATCTGAGCGCGGATCAGGAGAGCTTGCGCGCGTGGTGTGGCGAGGCGACGTACAACGTCTTGTGGGCGACGATGGAGCAGTACCTCCGCCAGGGCCTTGTTAGCGATAGCAAGGTCCTGGATATCCGCCAGGTCGACGTTAGCGCTGGCAAGGTGCTCGAGAACGAGATCCCGGTCTTTGTTGTGTCGTTCACGACGCAGGAGGTCCTGCTCTTCCGGAACGTCGCAAGTGGCGAGGTCGTTGTCGGCGCGGAGGACCGCGTTGAGCAGTGCATGTATGCTGCCGTTATCACGCGCGTACCCGAAGAGCTCGACAATGAGCTCACGGGCGGCTGGAAAGTCATCGAGATGGCTCGTCGTTCCGGACGCGCATACTTGTAACCTGCACGCCATCCCACTGTCATACTCAAAAGTTGCTTTACGCCCTTTCATGCTCCCATCCTAGACCCGCTTTGTCCTCGTCGCACTTGCCCCTGCACCTCACATCGCACACCCCACTCTTGCATCTATACATACTTACATACCTTTTACATGTCAACTATTTCAACGTCCTTCTGCTTGCTACCTTGGCATTGCATCGGATCCATAATCAACAGTTTCGTTGCTTCTACGGATTTGCGTGAACCCTCAGGAACTCGACGTCTTACCGGTATGCGATTTGTTTACTGGAGCATACGTGCGCTCACCCATAGATTGCAGTCGTTTTCTCTGTCCTGCTCCGGTCCTGGTCATTCTCAAGCACGCTCCATCGCGGCGTCCTCACGATCTTCATCCGGTTCCCCTCACAAACCTCCAGCTCTTCCACCCCCTCACTCCACGACGATTGCACAACGTTGATGTACGGATCATCATCCTCTGCGAGCCACACACTCCGCTCGTCCAGACGGCCCGAGCCAAGCTTGCGTCTCAGCTCTTGCAACATCCGCGGCGTGAGCTCGACGGTATCGAGGACCAGCCGCGGTTGTTGCGCATGTAGGTATAACCAGATATACGAGAACAAGATGTCCTCCGGCGCCGACTCATCCTCGCGGACTGTGTCGTAGAGCTCGCATTCGCGAAGAACAAGCGTGCGCAAGGATGGGAACAGGAGTGTAGGCTCGACCATGGGTTGGCGCCTCGCTGCGTATTTCCTCTGCAGATCCTGACGTTCCTGCTCCCACCCCGGCGGATCGTCGAGGTCTGCGTCCGCCGTATCGAGCGTCTCGCCATCCTGTTCGTCGACGGGGACGTCGGCCGCAGTATGAAGGCGGCGAACCATCCAGGGGATGAAAGCATGAGCGGCCCGCTCTGAAAGGCGAAGATGAGATACGCCCTTCATCGTGGTTAATAGCTGGAAGCAGGCCTCCGGCGTGAATGTCGGCGAAGCCTCAGTGATTGGCCCGAATGACCCTGCCACGAGCAGCCTCAAGGCTACGTTGTGCTTCCCTGAGAAGAGCGCGCCGCACGTCTGGCGAACGAACGCGAGGATGTCACCTGCATGGCGATCCTGGTTTTCGTCCCATTGATGACTTAGCGAGATGTCGAGTTCGTTCGGGGCACGGCGGGTCAGGGTGACATCTATGCAGTTGTTTTCCAGGTCGACTTCGTATTCGACAGTGGAGCGGCGTATGCCCGACGGTATTGCGTTGGCGTAAGCGGCGAATTTGTCGCGTACTCTTGATAGCGTCGCCTCGGAGTTGGGGCCCAGGTTCGTGCCGTGTTCGTCGAGCTTGTAAGATAGATCAAGTGATGTGACGCTGAGTGGGAACTCGAGTGCCAATAACACGCGAACTATGAAGCGAAATGAGCCTTCGAGCTCGAGTGAAGTGAGACGCTTCAAAGGGATGGGAAGGGCCGTCGTACTCGGCACCGGTGCACGCTCGTCTTCGAAGTCTGGTGGGCTGATACACTTGTGGAGAGAAAGGACCTCAAGTTGAGGTAGATGAGATATCGTCTGGAAGAAGTCGGAGGCAGTTTTCCAAGGCGGAGTGCAATCGATTAAGTTGAGCTCCGTGAGGGTTGGTGCCACCAAAGCACAAGGCGATACCATGTTGACCGAAGCAAGGATGAGAACGCGTAGGGAAGGGAAGTCCTGTTCTATCCAGTCTCGAGTGGCAATAGAGGGTCTACCCGATACTAAGTTGGGTAACTCCAAGTGAAGTGTGTCAAGCTGGGTGGCATGCGAGTGCGCGAGCGCGTCCAATAGGACCTGTGTCAATAGAACGTGGCTGTGAACATCGCTACTGAGAGTGGGCACTTCCAAACTACGAACGCGGTAGAGATGTTCAAGGACGAGAGACATAGCTTCCACTGAGAGCCATTTCCGACGTTCCTTGCTCTCGACGATGCTAAGTGGCAGCTGGCCAGACAGTTCGAGCGAGCGCGCGACAGTCCAGAGGTTCTGAGGTGCGATGTGGGCCCAGAATTGGGGACACCCATACGTGGTGTCTCTCCAGTGCTTGCACACACGAAGGACTTCGAGGTAGTTCCAACGTTGCTGAGAGCAAAAGCGGGCACATCCATTCTGGAAATGGAGCTCAGCCAAACAGGTGCCATAACCGCTGCTGCGTTGTGCTATTCGCATTGCATATGAAGAGATATCGAGGTCGCCCTCATACTCGTCACTGTGACCAATGCCACCAGCTTCATAGCCAGAGTTCTCATCGGGGACTTCGGGGAGTCCAAACGGAGCGGCATGGACTCGGATACCGACGTTCTCCGGAGTCAAAGGAAGGTAGGATAATATCTCCATCAGTAGTTCGGCCGAAAGTCTGTTGATAAGACATGGTTTCCTAAAGTACACCCGGAATTTATAATGGACCAGTGTCGTTTGGAAAAGCTCCGTTCGTCTTGCCTTCTGTGTCGTACCAAGGGCCTATGGTAGACGAAGAGTGAGTGATCACACATTCTTCAACGGCCATACTACTCAGTCTCACCTTTCTTCTTCTCCTAGCCAATGCGTACGCCTCCCGTACCGCACCTGGCTGTTCAAGGGTGAAGTGCTTTAGAAGAGGATTCTTGTCCATGCGGGGAGTGGTCGTGGTGGCCAAGTCCAGATCAAGTGGTTGAGTGATTCCTTTGAGGGCAGCGAGTGCGTGGGAACCAGCCGGCAAACAGCGGGTCGGCCAAGCGGCCGAGCGCTTCGGCCTTCTGCGTCCATGAACTTACTACCACCATCGGTATCTCTCGATGTCGCATGAGTTAACTCGCTGGTTCAACGTACTCAGCCATCCTGATGGGCTTGTGTGTAACGGTTTTGGCCTCTCCTTACACACTTTTGGCTGATTGTAACATGTATAGCCTATTACGAGCAAGGCAACTGACCCGGAGAAGGCGCCAGTCAACACCAAGCGCCCACCGTCGTTCCAAACTTCGTTGACACATTACTTCTCGACCACCCACACACGACCTTGTCACATCAATCGACTTCCTCATGAGCTCCTTGAAGAGATATTCAGCTACATGCCGTACTCCTTTGGTCAAGGACTCTTTACCGCCAAGCATATACAGCCCATGCAACTCCCGGACCCGGACGATGAACGTTCGCACATCCTCTCTGCCGAAGAGGAGGAAGAAATGAGAACATCAAACGGAAGTGGGCAAGGCGACTGTTTGGCAGAGCTCTTCTTCCTCAACGGGTGTCTACGATTCTGTTCGAACAGATACTGGAACTTCCTGTCAATAATGCGCGTATGCAAGCGCTGGAACGCGACGATTCGTATGAGCCCTCGCATCTGGTCCTCAATACCTTCTTTCACCGAAGGAGACGTGCGCCGGGCGGTGGAGCTATCGCAATCAACATCCTTGTATCTTTTCCGAATAGAATCTCACAAGGATTGGCCCTCGAAGGAATGCTTCACATCTGTCCTTTCATCCGAAGTTGCGCGCGTCCGCGAGATATGGCTCGACAGGGAGATCATGCGACTGGCTGACTGGGGGCCAGGCAGTATATTTGACGTCCTCTCTTCCCACGAAGCGCCACAGCTTCGCCGCCTTCGTCTTCTTGCCCACCGCGACAACCACGAACTGAACACCGATAGTTGGACCTCGACCGTGTTCCCCTCTCTAACGTTGGTTGACATGCGCGCCATCACCATGTCGTCTTCATGCGCACTCCTCTCCCCGACGTTGACAGAGCTGGTTCTGACAGATTGTCATATCAATTGGACTTCTGCCGCGGCGCCCGTTTACCTTCTTGCCCGACTTCCCCTTCTGGAGGTTTTCGATCTTTTTCACACACCATTACCCTTTGATCTGGGTCATCGATCCTTTACTGCGCCGTCAGAAATCGTCTATCCACTCACCACCCGTTTACGGGTCATTGGACTGGATGGCTCGCTACGCTCCATCCATCGCGTTCTGGACCTTATCCAGTGCCCACCCGGAGAGAAGAGGATATCCCTGTCCTATCGTCACAGTCCTGGCGACGTAGGCACTGCACATGACATCGCCTGGGCCTGCGAACATATTCGATCCCTTGCCCTCTTGTTCCCTACAAACTTCACCTTTCCGGGCTTGGAGATCGGCTTCGATCTGGAGAAGAGGATTATCAGGACATGGAGCCGGATACCGGACGAAGGATATCGTTGGAATAAGGTTACTTCCAACCCGTGCATCACCGTCGAACATCAATGGCCCGATACCAGTGACAGTATCGCCGTGGACGTCCTCTCTCTGGCCACTCGTATGCATGAGCCGTTCATCGTGAACATCCCGAACATGATCATGGACATCGAAGTCGAAGGATGGCTCGTCAACATCAACAACGCGAATTTCACTCCTGAAACAATCTACGCACACATCGCCTCCTACCTTCCCAAGACGACCGAGCTACGCCTCCGTGGCGCGGCCGCTCACTCCTTCCTTCCGTGGCTCATGACGAAGACCAAAACACCGATCTTCCCTCCCCTACGCTGCCTGGAGCTCTCAGCGGTGAACTTACAGGAGTGCATAGATGTCCGCGAACCGCATCCTACCCATATCCTCTTTGCGGTACTCTGGGCCTTCCTGCACCTGGACGAGCTGAGGGAAATGAAAACTACCGTCGGCTTCGGCGGCGACAGACTGTTCGGCGAGGTCAGCCTGACACCATCCATGGAGACAGAGCTCGCTGTCCTGCTCGGTTCGCACTTGTGTGTGCAGCAATCGTTTTATCATGTCGATGAAGAGGTCGAGATTGAGGTGCGACGAACTCCAGGAGAGTCAGAGGAGACTCTAACCATGCATGCGGGCGGTGATACCTTGAACATAATCGGTCTTAGACTGGAGTCTCCGAGGCCAATCAGCCCACTAGAAGCGAAGGTTCGGGGCTTAGAGAGGTATTGGAGGAAAGCGTGAATAGTTCGCTGGCATTTCGCCCTAGTTACACTTGCGCCTATGTCATCATTTCCAATCATACAGATGTGCCCGCTTCTACCACTGTAAGCAGTGCCATACCAAAAGCACACGCTCGCCAGCGTTCGCAACGATGGATACTGGTTCCGGTCAGATCATCTTTTGACGGGGTGGACGTCACACGCTCGTGGCGACTACGCCCGTGGAAAACTGCTTGCGCCGTAGGATTCGACCGTTCGCCACTGCCATCCTGCCACGTCTCAGGATAGCGAAAGTGAGCAATGATGACGAAGACGCAGGAGGGACGTGCCCTCGCGCCCTGCGCCGCCGATCCTCATGTCGGGATGTCAACTTGTCGAAGATTGCGAAGTGCGCGTCTATTTCGCGAGACCAACCAACGAGCTTCTACGTTCACAAGCACATCTGATGATCGTCGCCTGTCAACCACTCACAGGCATCTTACGTCGTGGAAGCGAACAATCTCCCGGTGGCGCTCCCGACAGTCGAAGAGACCCGCATATAAGAGCAGGCCCTTTCGTATCGCGCGCGCGGCGTCTCCGGATCCTACAGTCTTGACTCTTGATCGCGCAGGCTGGGCCTGTAACTGACGATGGGCGACCTCACCCTAGGCGCAACTTCGCTCGTTGAGAGCTGGTTCTCTAGTACGCTCTGTGGTACGTCAGCGTTGGATTGACATGATGAACAATCGGTCTAACCCGAAACCGCGCTGTATAGGAGTGAAGTGCGTGGACTGATGAGACTGATGAGGACCTATACATGCTCACATCAGCAAGCAGCATAGTTCTATACGTTCTCTGCCTCCGCGCGCTCTTGAGGCGGTCAGAGCAGAGTGCCGGCGGAAGGTGAGCAGAGCCAATTCGGCACGCAGCATACGCTCAACTCTGAACAGATGGTTCCTCTTCGTGGTTTCGACGGTACAGATGTTGATCTGCAGTGCGCAGTCGGCAGTCCTCCTAGCGAGGAACCTGTACGCCTTTGCGTCGCTGAACGGTGGCGAGGCCGCAGCGGAGTACTTCGCGGACCAGGCGGCGGGGCTGCATGTTGCGGACCAGTCTCTGTATACGATCAACGTGCGCAGAGTCCATCAGTCTCAGATGTCATCCCAGACTGAGCGGCTTCCAAGGATTGGATTGGGAGTGGCGTCTTGTTGTGGCGGGCGTGGGCAATCAATGGGCGTAGCTGGAAACTCTGTTCGCCACTGGTGAGAACCCTCAGTGCTCGGGATCGCGACCAGATTAAACTAACCGAGAATACGCACAGCTTGTCCTTTGGGTGTTGCTCTTCGGTGAGTCTGCGTAATTCATCTCTACCGGATGAGTCTGACCGTACTCGGACCTGCAGTCACCATGATCAGTGCCCTAGACCACCTCGGCCACCTGCGTCCGGGATTGGCCGTCTTCGATCCTTCCCTGGCAGGATGGATCATGGCATTCACCATCCTCTCGCTCCTCGTACAAATCGGCGCCACTTCGTTGATCGCGTGGCGCATCTTCGGCAGTATCAGCTGGAGCAACCCACAATGGTGGACGCGCGAGTGGCACGCTCTTCGCATCGTCGTCGAGAGCGGCGCGATGTACGGGGTTCTTACCATTCTGTCCCTCGTCTTCTTCCTTCTGCGCGTGAACTTCGGGGCGATTAACATCGGCGTTCTGGTACAAGTTAGCGTGAGTGCAGTGTCGAAGTTGTGGTACAGGGTTGTCAGCGTGACTGATCGTGGGATACAGGCAACTGCCCCGTTCTTGATGATCGTACGCGCGCAGGCGCATCGAAGGAAGGAGGGTAAGAAACAAGACTTGAAGCTGGATCGTGAGCGCTGGACGCAGTCAGGAATTGACTTCACGCATCCTACCGCGCACGCATCGTCCTTATCTTCTGTCGTTGTACGTCCGAATTTAGTCGTCGGGATACGCACAGATACTGACCGCATCGCAGCCTCCGGACAGCGCTCGAAGCCGCTGGACGATCGAGGTCCAACTCGAAACGGGAGATGCCCCACTGGACGGAGAGTACAAGGTCGATCCCAACAAACTTCGGCCTCCTCATTCACCTCACTCGCACTGGTCGCCTTGATACCCGTCCTAGTGACAAATCCTTTATCCAATCATATTTGAAGCCTTCAGTAAAGCAAACAGTGGTATAGTCGTAGTCGTGCCCAAGACAGACTCGACGAATCCCAGGCAGACGCCGATCCAAGGCTTAGATGGAAGCTTAAGTAGAGTAAGGAATGCGGCAGAGCAAGACGAGAAGCGACGTATGCGGGGTGATATACATTGATCGAAGCGAGGTAGATGATGGGCATTCAGAGACCCTCCATGTTGGAGACGAGCTCGTCGAGCTCGGCCTTGGATGCGCGGTACTTCTCCTGTGCCTCCTGCATTGGGTGTGAGGCAGTGTAACAATAAACATGCGAACATCGGTTGACGAACCTCGTACTTGCGCTCCCATTGGTCACGCTCCTGTTCGACACGTTGTACCTGGCGCTCGAAGTGCTCCGCCTTGACATCAACCTGGCGCAACCTAAGCGAGACGATGCGAGTGATCAATATAATGATTGGCGCAGACAAGCGAACGGTTACACATACTTCTCGACCGTGTCCTTCACGTTCTTCTCCGCCGCATCGAGCTCCTCCTCAAGAAGTTGCACCTTGCGCTGCAGGTTCTCACTCGTCGCCTTTGAAGATTCGCCCTCGACGGAGGCGCCCTTGAGGTCGGCAAGGCTCGTCTCGGCCTTCTCAAGGTCGGTCTCAAGCACGGAGACCTTGTGGGTGAGCGACGTAATCTCCTGGTCCTTCTCGAGCAGCAGCTGCTCGTACTTCTTGTTCTTCGCCTCGGCCTCCTCGGCGCGAACTACCGCGGCATCGGCCTCGGTGCGGAGAGCAGCGAGTTTCTGAACACCACATGTCAAGATCTGAGAATATTATCACAGATCGCGGCATACCTCACGAATCTTGTCCATTGTCAGAGAGTCAGAAGGAGGGTAGAAGTGGGCTGAGGTGGCTGGTGGTGGTCAGAGGGCAAGGGTTCGCTAGCGCGCTCGGCTGTGACGGAGAGCGGGCACTCGAACCAGCCACGCGGCGATAGCCGCGTGCGAGGGGCGAGGCCTCGACAGACCGCCGACTCCGAATCCGAGCTTGTCTCTCGACATTCACCATCGAACGCGGGCCACCCGCTCAACGCCTTTCATCTATCCTAACATGTCCGCTCCGGTATCACAGGAGGGTAGGCCCGATTATACACGCTTCGACTGCGTCTTTTTGGCTAAGTTTGACTTGCAGAGTTGCCTATCCTTGAATCCGTGATCAAGTGAGGATCGCGCTTGACGTCGCTTAGCGAGCGCACCCTAAACGTTTCCCGTGCAGTATCCGCAATAGGCTCAACCTTCTGAAGAAGGATCGCGGCGAATACATCAAGGCCTCCGATGTCAACACCCTCTACCAGGCCGTCATCAAGCAAGGTGCGCGTCGTACATCCACTTGCGCCGTCGGAGGCCCACCGCGGTCCGTAGAGTTGTATCGCTGACTCGAACGTGTCCAGTCAGGAAGCTGAACGACGTACGACAGGACGATGTCGTCTATAATAATCGTCTGGACACCCTTCTTGCCGATGTCTTCAACCTGCTCTCTCTGTTCTTCCTCACGATCGGGAAGACCAAGGAGGCTCCGGCGACTTACTCACAGTTGGCCAGCATGAGGGTAGGTATGAAGAGTTTGCGATACCTCTCCCCTATCTTCACGGCTGCGATGAGTACCGGACCTGCCAAAACCTTGATCCCGAACCTTCCCCTGACTAGGTTGCGTCTTGGCCGCCCATTGGACTTGGCTGCGCCTTGGCTGTGTCAACGTGATCGTACAAGTAACACTGTACTCGGTGTGAAGCGCAATGCCATATTTGACCGCATCGATGATGATCTTGACGACCGCACCCGTATCCGTATGCGCGCTCTACGCCCTTCCGCCGGCTCGCCGGTGTCCGCATATGCTTGTGCTTCCGACATGACGTGTGTCGGTTAATGGATAACATACTGATGCGGCATCTCAGCAAATCCTTGAACACATGAACGAGTCCGCGATCTACAACGAGTCCGACCTCAAGCCCTTTCACCGGCGACTGAACGATCTACGGAACATCATCAGGAACGACGCGGAGACCGGCAAGCACCCCGAGGCCATGACCAAGCTGCTCGAGCGCCAACTAAACGAGTGCGGTGCGTCCATCTCGCCATCGTACGCCCAAGCTACCAATCCATCGCGTCTTTCATCTCCATCGTACTGACATGATCTATCACAGAGTCGTTGCTACGCTCTCTGCAGGAGTCGTTGGCTGTGCTTGACGTCGAGCTTGTGCCCATACACGAGCGTCTCATCGGCATCCGCCGGAAGCTTGTTGCTCTCGCCGCGAAGGATGGCCCACATAAGCAGGAACTGAAGCCGTTCCAGGAGGAACTGCGTAAGATCGACTCGTAAGCTTTACTTCTTCCCACGTGCTCCCATATCTAATATACGGCTTAGTAAACGCGTCGACGGCAAGTTCATGGGACCAGGAGGAACCGTACCCGCCTCTCAAGCCATATGCTCATCTCTTCTCGAGGACTGCTTCGACATCGTTCAGGAGATCCGCGCACAGGAAGAGAGCAAGCACGTACCGCAGACGCTGAAGCCCATACATGAGCGCCTGTCCCAACTCCGTGCGGAACTCGACGGTCTCGCGCTGACGCACAGATGGTCGTTACGCGAGACGGACTTGTTTAACTACTCGTTGTCGTTGCAAGAGATTGACAACATGAGGGTGGATGGCAAGTTCGTCGATACGGAGGGCAATCAGCCAGGTGGACAATACGTGCGTCCGACCGCTTGTACCGAGAGTGGGTAGAGCTGACTATCATGCGCAGGTTCTGCTGTACCTTCTCCGCCGATGTTACGGTGTCATTTACCGCTTACTGTCCTCAAGCGAGCCCGTGTCCGAGGAGCTCATTCCGATCGTATATCTTTCATCTCTCGGTGAGGTTCATCTTATACTGACTCATCGTGTCAGTCCAACAAGCTTTCAACCGTGAAGAAGTGCTTGAACGAAGTGTTGAAATACGGTGGACCCTTCTCACCCCGTGACCTGTACCCGTATCAGCTTGCGCTCTACCAGATCGATCAGATGCGGAAAGACGGCAAGTTCGTCGGCGCGGACGGGTCTGTACCGGAGGGTCAGGGTATCGTCATGGCGCACTTGAATGAGTGCCACGAGCTCGTGGAGATGGTATGCCCACCCATCTACGCGCCCTTCGTGCGTGATACTGATGGTTCGCACAGCTCAAGGAGAACCTCGAAGAGCCCGAGGAGGAAGACGACTACGGTGAAGACGACGAAGAAGACGAGGAGGAGTACAACGAGGACGGATCCGAGTCCGAAGCCGCATAGCGTTACCTCTTCGACTGATCTCCATTGCTCGCGGGCGGTAGATGCGAAGAATCTGTGGTCTTGCGTGAGACGAGCTGTACTGATATTCGTGCTTTGGATATGGACTATGAAATACTGTTTCGCGTATACGTATGTAGAGTTGCGTTGAATCTATGCGCCGCTGCTGGCCCCACCTCTCAGCTCACTACATCCAGCCGGACTCTAGTTCTGCTCGGGCTATTACCACTCTGGCTCTCCGCTTATGTTTGCCGTATCACTTGATCCAACAGATGTGTGATTCCTCGCGAAAGCATGTACAAGACGATGTGTATGCTCGGTCTACGCGGACAGACAGAACCGTGTGTGAGCCAAGTAAGCCACCGGGCCGGGATGGGCCGACCTTAGCCCTGTGGCGGCGTCGCCGAAAAGTCCGGTTCGCGCACTTCACGTCCTTCCATCACCACCACCGACTTCACTCGCGATGATCACCCAGCGCGTGGATACGTAGAGCACGTCATGCCTGCTTACTATGCTTCCCAAACAAACATATCCTTGCCTATCTCAGCTTGACGTGAGAACTAGACTGCGCTACTAGTATGGCGCCGGGTCACTAGCTGTGTCTGAGCGGTGCCTTCCCTCGCAACGGACTGCGAAGATAATGTATGAAACGCTATGCCATTCACACTAATGCTAGGACTCTACTGATGATGCAGTACACACTTGTAGGCCTCGCAGCCAGAGTATCACGGAAACCTGAAGCTTGACCATGGCTTCCCACCACGATTACTCTTCGCAGTTGGCGCGGACGTATACGCGGGGGCATCCCATTGCAAACCCCCAACCTGGAATCGGGAAGGATGGACAGACGTTGCGCCCCATTGGGATCGGGGACGTCGGATACATCTCGTGCGTACTCTAGTGTCTTGACAGTATGAGCGTTTATGAATGTTTGTCTGTGTCAGACATGTCCACGGGAACTTCATCCGAATGTTTAACGTACACCTGGAACCTGGTGTTGACGGGCAACCTGGGTTGGACGACCTTCCCGATGGATTCGAACCTCTATCTCGAGGGCAAATGTCGCTCAGCTATGACAAGACGCCCATATTCAATTCCCAAGGCGTCTCTGCTAGCGGTATCAAGGCTGGTGCTTCTGGGTAAGCAGAACCTTACTTAGCGCTGCACAGGAAGCTGACCTGAAAACCTTCAGTCCATTCTTAGAAGGTTCGATCGTCTTTGGCACCTTGAGCGAGCGCGGCGCAATTCTGGCCACTCCCGATCTCATTGAATGCCACGACGCCCAGAACATCCTCAGTTACAAATCCTACACGAAGGAACACGTCGAGCGCTGGCTGCACTTTGCGGTGCACAAGCTCGGCCTGGAGATCGCTCTCGAGGACGTGATTCTTGTCACCGGCGTCGACCTCACTACGTCTTGGGCAACTGCCACCTTCAGTGGCGTGCATCTGGACGCCAGCTTCGGCCTCGAAGTACAAATCGCCGACACTGGTGAACAGCTTGCCTCTCAGTTCTCGTGGAAGCACGCGCAAGGAGCATCAGTCAATTTCGGCCCTACGACTATGCATCCACGATCACAAGCTACTGCGGGAACGGACACCCCGCGCGATCCGCTCAACACCAATTGCAATCAGTCCCTCTTCATCCGGCATATCCGCGCAAAACGTCGCCCACGCTGGCTTGGTCTCAAGCTGAAGACGAACGGCAAGATTCACGAAGATGGCGACTGCAACGACGGCTCAAGTGGAGATCTGGATAACGATGGTTTGGACCTCATAAACTCCCCGGAGCCTCGCAAGGTAGTCTGCGTAAAGATACGGGGAGTAAACACTCATGATATGCTTCACAGTTTACCAATCATCTGGACCTGATACTGGATTACATACTCGAGGTATGCACATTTTGGTTGTCCTACGTCTTATCACTCATTTGCGTCGCGATAGCGTTCCAATTCCAAGATAGCTATCGCACATGATGAGGATCTCGCGCTATTATCTTCACCAAGGGCGAACCCAATGGTGGACATTTCTGAAGGATTCGGTACGATCAACTGGTCTAAAGCACGAATTTTATTCCTGATCACGCCCCCGTGTTCAGGAATGTTGCGACGGCCATCCTCTCCGCAAACAGCATCGACGACTCATTTAGGACGGGCGAATATGATACCCTCGTCATCGTTGAAGACGATGCGAAACAACAACGGCCCGCCGTCCGGCATTACAGAGCACGCTTCTTCGCCGCTCCCGATCTCTTTACGGACAAGTCATCAGCCCCAGCCCAGCGGTTGCCGTTACGCAAAACATGGAGAACAACATGACGTCTCGCCGATGATCGACCTGTCCCAGATGCCTTTGGGAGTGCAAGGGCGACCAGCAAGTGTTTCTCAACATATGCTCATCCACGGTTACATCGCTACGACGTTTGGGACATACGGCGAGAAGGCTTACTGCGCGATCATCAAGTGTGGGCTGGAGCAGATACCGCTCATGTTCTCGATGCCGGGCTGTACTGGCGTCTACACTGTTCCTCAGAATGCCCTACCGCGTATGTCTCTGCCCCCAGCCTCCACTCCTTGCCAATGAAAATGACGGGTGTATGCAGATCTCCCGCAGGGGCTGCAGTCGGCAGATGGCACACCTGCCGTCCTGCTTGACCGTATCATCGACCAGACGCGCGGACCCGTTGTTCCCCAAGAGGTCTGGATGCCGAAGAGCCCGCGCGTGTACGATCAACATGTGAGTTCATCTGAGGAGAGTGTACTTGATCGCAATTATTGATGAAACACCCGCGTAGGTCTTGAGGGCGGTGCTGCGCCCGCCAATATTTTTCGTGCAGACCGACGGGAGCGTGGGCATACCACTCTCACAAATTATCTTAGGCAACATTGCGGTTCACAACCCAACCACACCAGTAGACGTCGGCCGCAGTTCGATCCATCTGCGCATCAAGGTGCGCAAAGCCGTCTGTCGTGCCCGCTGTCTTGGTAAAGTTGACATGATCCTTTCAGATACAGGGTTATGTTGACCGCAAAAGGCAGTGGCAAACGCAGGAAAGCGGTCAGTGGATACAACTACGACGCCTGATCGGTCACGTAGGACGCGGTGTGGACAAATATCTCAGGGTACGTTCATCGGCCCGAGTTCGGGTGCTTTGCGACTGCCGATGCTCGCTTTGGCTTGGTGAAACGAGCTTCGCTGATCAATATGTTACAGGAAGCTGAATGTGATCCCGAACAGCCCGTACCTCGAATCCGCATAGGTGAAGGTGGTATTGCGACTGTGAATGTCGTTGTTGTAGGAGTGGTGCACGTCAGTTCCGGGAGTTGGATGCCGATTCTTCAGCTTACTCAAGCGTTACCTTGATGGGCAGATCCAGGGAGGCCCGTGATGGTAGCGAACACTCATTATATATGTACGATAACGTATAAGCCAGCAGTCCTTCCTGATACAATATGTCCAGTATTCTTCTGATGTACCGCTCAGTACCATTATAGATCGATGATTCCAGTTATGCAGCGTGTATGTCTTTGCCCGTAGTCTCGACGGCATTGCTACCTCTGTAGACGATACACCGTCAGCGTGTCATGATGACCTCGTCGATGAGCCGGCGCTCACTTGGAATAATGGCCTAGACTAAACGTAGAAGCATAAGCCAAGGTCACAGCGCCAATCGTGGGCGGGCCGCCGGACGGCGCTGTCGCTGTGTAGTCACCCGCTGTTGACCTACGATATCGAGTTGACGTGAGACGTCCGAACTTGACACCGAAAAGACTACTACTCACTCGATGACGTTGGTCTTAAAGTGCAGGGATTGCCCGTCGGCCATGGGATCTTGTCTCTCGGGCGGTTTGATCCCGACGAGGCTGATGATAGCCCAAAAGAGCTGCCCGTATACCGCCCTGGCAGGCTTTGCAAAACCGAATAGCGCGATGATAGCATATCCTAGGATGACAGAAGTCGAGATAGCCATATATTGTTCGATGAGACCTAGGCGACCATCAAGCTTAAGTTCCGCGTACGAGTACGAGAAAGGCGCCCAGTCCGCGTGCATAGCGGCCCATCCGGGATAGAAGATGAAGTCTCCCCCGGACACTGCGCCGTATATCCCATCACCAAGGTTGAAGGCCCCCATGGGAAGGGTCAAGATGATATCAAGGCACCCGAGGATCAGGAGGCGCACGCCCCCATCATGCCACGCTTGGCGAGGGTTGTCGAACTCCTGCGATTGGGCCTCGGCGTGCAGCTTCCTGCGTCCCATGAAGAACCTTATGATGCGCGCTTGAGAGGCAGGGGATCAGCTAAGAACGATGCTTTAGACTGTGGAAAGTACTCACGACAGTAGTATATGGCCGAGAACAGAGGCAGAGTGACGATCCACGAGGGCATGAGCAGGATGGACAGGCCGATCGTTTCCGATACGCTGAAGCAGCCGAACGCTTCGACTATCATGAACCGCGAGGGCTGGACGATATAATCTGTGCTTTGTGTCAACCTGACGACCTTCGTAACTGCAAGATGTATCGTACATAGAGCGCCAGCAACTAGGACAGGCAACCCTACACCAATCGCAAGTTCGATGGTGATGTCCCGTCTTCGCTGTACCGCACGATCATAGTCAGCTCTCGAAGGATTAGTGCGAGAGAACCCCCTCACCTGCTTGATGAAGTTGTTATCCAGAGATCTTGATGTCGTAACGTGATAGAGTTGTCGGGTGATCAACAGCGTGCAAGCTGGCTTCGCTATGTATGAGAACACTTGCACGTGAGTTACTGCGATACCAGTCAGCCATCCGCACATCGAATGCATATGGTACGGGCTGCATACCAATGTCACAGTACACGAAGGCCTTGAGGTCGGCATTGTCAGCCCATATAATTGCGTTGATCCCAATGAACAAGGTTTCGAAGAAGAGAGCGAGAGCTAGGATGTTGACTGCGAAGTTGTAAGCATGCGACCTCCTGACAAAGTTGACTATCAGCAGCGCCAACAGGCCGACCGCACACAACAAGTTCGCGACAGGAACCAAAGGGAAAGTAGGATCTGTGGGTACCATCCTGAGATGAGGATGTGAGACGGTGAGCAGTACAAGAAGTCTTATAACTCGCGAGTGAAAGCGGAAACGTTGATGTTAGTGGAGCGCACTGCACGCCGTTCACCTTCGTCGAAGTTGTCCAACTTCGGAATATGGTTCATGTGCAAAGTGAGACATCCAGAAGCCCTCACTGCCTGTACTAGTGCAATGGAAGCAAGATGACACTCGATGATAGGGCACGAGTACATGCTTCGTTCGCTCCTTATCAGACTGTCGGCGCCCAGGACGCTCGTGGCCACTACCTTACTATGAAACACGACATAGGCTCGCACAAGGAGCATACATCACAAGCAGAGCACCCTTACTCGAGAGATACGACATGTGGTTAGCGTCTGCTATCGAGAACAAGAAGAACAAGAGCGGCGCTTCTCTCCGATCACTTGCCCACCCGCTCCTATCGAGTCGCCGGAAAGCTGATTGAACATCGCCACAACCTTCCGATGCAGCAAGTCGTTGCTTCATGGGGGTACCCAACGCATTTGAGGAGATCCATATCGGTATAGGCCCAGGAGGCGGCAAACCCACAATATTGAGGTACTGGACGCGGATAACGATCAGTACTTCGTCATGTTGTGATGGACTCGTGATGGTACACACGAGGAAGTTACTACTCTATCGGTGTCTCAAGACAAGCGGATATCTCTGAGTTTTGAAACAATGACCCGCATTGTGCGTGTTGAGGATATCGAGAGAACTTGATAGATCAGTCCCCCGGGACTGACGATGCGTGAAGAGAGCTGCATCTTGCGTGTCGCACGCGTAGGTGAGGTCTGCAGTGCACGGCACATCCTACGCATTTGTTGAATACAGCCTCTAACTAGGAAAGACGTGTGGAAGTGGGATGAACATGGGATTGAGGTGGTGCGCTGATGGACACAAGACGCAAGCTGGGTTCTTCCGTCACCGCCATCACCGTGTTTTGACACCCGCGTCCCGACGACTATCTTGGCATTTGCTATGTCGACAACGCACGAGCTGTATGCCTGCCCGCTATTGACATTCATCTCCCAGTTCATGAACGCTACGATCGTGCTCGACACAAGCACGCACCCGCGCTACCCATACGACTGAGAGGCTCTAACCGGCAGTACCATTTAACATCGCCCTACCGTGAAGAAACTCGACGCCCAGTCGACTCCGGCCAGTCGACTCATGTTTACAGGATGAAGAGGATGCATAGAGCGGATGAAAGACACGGAGGAAGCATGCGAGAACAGGCGCGTGATCTCAAATGGACCACGAGCTATTACTGACGCTCGATTATATGTCTTTTCTAGGACGACTAATGGAAGGCGGGAGTGTGGCAGCTGCACCGCCTTTGGCGTGCACAAGTTTCGGAGGGTCGGCCCTTCGTTGCTATGCCGGCGTCGTTGCAGTTCAATTGCCGCCCGAGCGATACCGTCATGGGCCGTCGGTCACTCATATAATACAAGCTTCACTACTACATCATACATTCCGCACTCGATTGGTCAACTCCTACGGTTTCCTTTCCCGACATTACGATTTACCCATCACCTTCTACGGCGTCCAGCACGGACTTCTGCGCGTCCGTAGTTTCCTTGCACTTGGAATCAGCATCGCTCCCACTGCATTCAACAACATATCAATATTATATCAGATGCTGATGAAATACCAACGAACCCTGGAGTGCCTTCGAAGCTCAAGCGGACTTCAAATGTCGTCGTAGGATCCATCGTGACGGCAGTCAGCACCTCGACTTGAACGCCGTGCTCGCCCTTGTTGCGTAACCTATCAAAAAATTCCCGTTATCAGGGCGAACGCGCAATGGATTAGAAGAACTTGCTTCGTCTTGCCCTTCGAGAAGCGAATCGTGGGCAGCTCGGTGACAGACGGATCATGCATCGTCTTCTTCTTGCCGAAGACACCAAGGACGCCCCAGAACAGCTGCACATACGTGGCACGCGTCTGTTTCGTCCAGCCAAAGAGGGCGAAGATGCAGAAACCGAGCACTATGCTTGAGGACTTGGAGAAGTAGAAGTCGACCAGACCCGGCCAGCCCATGAGCGGGAGGTCGGCGTAGATGATGGCTCTTGGTTGCCAGTTGGTGTGGATCTCGTGCCAGCCGGGGTAGAACGAGAACGTCCCGTCTTGGATGGCGCCTGCTACATCGACAATGATGATCAAGAGCCCCACCGGAAGGGACAGGAGTATGTCCAGGCAACCAAGAATGAACAGACGTCTGCCGTGTTCTTGTGTGGCCCAAGGTATGTCGTGGGTTTGCTCGCGACGCGACGGCCCATAGATCTGCTTGTAGAGCCTGCTATGGCGATAGAGGAATAATACAATCCTGGCTGTCATCTGTATTGAGCGATACGTTCGGGCCAGTGGAGCATGTGTGACTTACGAAAGTAGAATAGTACCGAGAACAGAGGTAAGAGAAAGAGCCATAAATATATTGTCATCAAAGTAACGCCGTTCATAGCGATGACATCGGCGCAGCCGAAGCCCTCGATGATGGAGAATCTGCTAGGTTGAACCACGTAGTCTAGATGAAGAGTAAGAGCAAGTCAATATGAATCACGGCGAACGTACAAAGCGGTCCAGCACATAGCGCAGGAAGAATGACGCCTATGCCTATCTCAAACATCAGATCCTCCTTCCTCTGCACGAAGAGCGTTGAGTTCAGGAACTGTCGAGACAGCTGCAGTTCACACCTGCACCGAGGATATGGGCCGAACCGTTCTGACGGCGACGATGTTCTTCAGTTGGCGTGATAGAAGCAGAGTGTAAGCGGGTTTGGCCACAAGATTGAACATGTTGACGTGAGATACTGGGGTGAGCAAGGTGTCTGAGCGAGAAGATCTCGAGTAGTAGTATGATGAGCGGTTTCTTACCTATGTCGCAGAATGCATGCGCCTTGATGTTAGCGTCGTTTGCCCACACAATCATGCCGATGCCATTGAGGAGCGTCTCCCAGAACAAGGAGAAAGACAGAAGGTTCACGACCACATTGAACGCGTGCGACCTCCGGAGCACATTCATGACCAAGAGTAAGAATAGGCATCCTGCGCATAGGATGTTCGCTACAGGGAGCAGAGGATAGCTGGGATCAGCCGCCATAAGGGCATCAGTGAAAGCGTAGGCGGTGGTCAATCAGCGGGCAAGGCCAGCCTTTTGAGAAGCGATGACATGTTTCGTCGAGCGATAAGGCCAACTGCATTGTACAGCTAGGATAGAGCACCGGCAGAGTCCATGTTGGTCTGTCTGTGTAACAGATTGAACCTGTCAGCCGGGATCGTTAGATAGGACACAAAGGGTAAGGACATAGTCAAACTCCGCTTATAGGAAAGTTGTAGCTGCTCGGACTCACATCGGCCGTACAAGTTCCACCTTGACATGGGGAGATCGCAGGGAAGACAGGTAGTAAGCTGGATGCCGTTGTTGATGTCATGGGTGTGATTTGTATTCGTGAGTCAACGGGGCACGTATACAAGTGGGCTTCTTCAGGCATAGAGCCGAGTAACTATCAGCTGCCAACAATCCTCTGTGGAACGAGTATGGTCCATACCCAGACACAAGCTCATGTAGAGTCGATAGAGAAGCGCAGAGATGCAAATGATGTGTCCATTGCACTCGAGCGCCACACGCGACGCTGGACGTCCATCACACGTACAGTACTGCCATCGCCAATCCGCGCGCGCTGAAAGCTTTCCTCCTCCGACAACTTCGATAAGCTTCGGACGTATGCGTATACCCAGTTCCCACGGGCAAGTATAGCTCACGGGACAGTCACGCGGAGATAGACAGGATGAGTTATACATAGTCGTGGTGGAGGCTGGTGGAGGTGGTGGAGGGAGAGCAGTTGAGATCGCAGCCCAATCGCAGCCTCCCATGAACGGTTTGAACGCCGGCGGCATCGGCCACGGACCGATGGTTCCGGTGCGAGCCTCGAGGCGTCTCCCCGAGGCGCAAACGCGACGGGGTTGCGTTCAAAACCACCACTATCGTCCATGCAGTAGCATACGAAATACACGGGTATGTAACGAGCCCCGATAAAGTGCGTAGACATGGTTCTCGTAACGTCTCGTCCTCATCTTGGCCACCTACGTTGACGCGGGTTACAGTGTACGTGTGCCACGGCTAGCACAGCTAGAACCCGCCAGTTGATATTCAGCGGTCGCGGGTACACTCTACGAGCTCCAAACTTCTCATATGCATTGTATCCTCCACCTATACCGTACATGACACGCTACCCACTATTGGAATCTGCCCACGACTGTCACGCGACATCCAGCATGGGCTTCTCCAAGTCCATACCTTTCGCGGAGTTACACTCAACATTGCCCCCACTGCATCTATCTCCGCAATCAGCAATCTATGGGATCCTGAGAAGCTGGTGAACAAACTCTGCAGTGCTTTCAAAGTTCAAGCGAAGTTCGAATGTGTTCGTCGTATCTGTTGACGCGGTCACCACCTCAACTTGCACACCATGTTCGCCCTTCCCGTGCGGCCTGTTGAATAGTCCCCATTGTCAGTACCGGACGCGCGACTCGTTTGAGGAACTCACTTCGAATTGCCCTTCGTGAAGTGGATCGTTGGTAATTCGAACGCAGACGGCTCGTATGTTGTCCTCTTCTTGCCACAGGCGCGAAGGGCACCCCGCAAGAGCTGCATGTACGTGGTACGCGTCTGCTTCGTCCAGCCAAAGAGGGCAAAGATGCAGAAGCCGAGCACTATGGAGGAAGACTTGGAGAAGTAGAAGTCGACTAATCCGGGCCAGCCCATGAGCGGGAGGTCGGCGTAAGCAACTGTCCTTGGCTGCCAATGCGCGTGAATCTCGTTCCATCCAGGGTAGAGGGAGAAAGTTCCGTCCTGGACGGCGCCTGCTACATCGACAATGATGATTAGGAGCCCCACCGGAAGGGACAGGAGGATGTCCAGGCAGCCCAGGATGAACAGTCGCATTCCGTGCTCTTGCGAGGTGCGAGGGATATCCTGGGCTTGTTCTCGGCTGAAAGGCCCGTAGACCTGACGGTAGAGCTTCCGATGGCGGTAGAGGAATAGCACAATTCTGGCTATCGGTGAGAGTCAACATACATTCTATGTTGATAGAGTGTCTGGCTTACGAAAGTAGAATACGATTGAGAAGAGAGGTAGGACAAGCAACCACGAGTAGATAGCCAATAAGGTAACTCCGTTCATAGCGATGACGTCGGCGCAGCCGAAAGCCTCAATCACAGAGAATCTGCTGGGTTGGACCACGTAATCTGATACAGTGATGAGAGCGAGGTAGCGGAAGCCTTAGCATTGTCCACGTACATAATGGTCCGGCACACAATGCAGGTAAGATTATGCCGATGCTTATCTCGAATATAAGGTCTCTCCTTCTCTAGGAGCGATAGCTGTTGAGCTTAGAAAAACGTCTAGAGGTCTGTATCGTTCACCTGTGCTGAGGATAGAGGCCGTACTGTCCTGACGGTGACGATGTTCTTTAGCTGACGAGAGAGTAGAAGCGTGTAGGCGGGTTTGGACACGAGATTGAACATGTTGACGTGAGAAACTGTATAGACGCAGGACGTAAGCAAGGCATGCGACGGTGCAACAGGCGTTCTCGTACCTATGTCACAGAATGGTGCGGCCTTGATTTCTGCATTATCAGCCCATGCAATCATTCCGATCCCGTTGAGCAATGTTTCCCAGAATAAGCAGAAGGCCAGGAGATTCACGACCACATTGAAGGCATGCGACCTCCTGACCAGGTTCACGGCCAGAAGCAAGAACAGGCATCCTGCGCAGAGAATGTTAGCCACAGGAAGCAGAGGATAACTAGGATCCGCGGCCGCCATGAGGGCGCCGGTGGGGCGTGGGCGAAGGTCAACCGACGTGAAGCGCCAGCCTTTTGAGGGGAGTAACGACGCCTTCTGTCCAGCGATAAGGCCGGTTTTGTTGTATAGAGAAAGATGCCGCGCTGTATAAGGCCTTGATCGTCTGTTGGTGTAACAGATTGAACCTGTCAGCCGCAAACGTTAGATAAGACGCAAACGGTCTAGACGTACTTGCAACTCCGCTGTCAGTGCTGCCGCAGATAGTGGCCCTCCCGTCAACCGCGCTATTGTAATCTTGCTATGTCGAGGAGGCGCGGAGGAGGCGCTTGAGCGCTCGAGCTGGGACAAGTCCGTCGTTGATGTCAAATGCGCAGTTGATGTTCGATCGTGTTCCATATTCGAGCAGTACTGAGTGAATGCAGATCAGCACCCGGGCGAAATGCAGTCAGCATTGACCCAGAGAACAACAAGGGCAGGCGGAGGGGGGGGATTGAAGCCAGAAGACGGAATGCAGTACCGTCATCATATTGCCGCCGCAAGCCGGTGCTGCAAGCCTACCCCCGTTGAGTACATGGCGAGAACATGCCCTTTCAATGAATGACGCTAAGTACTCATGCGGGAACGCCTGGAATGTGCAAAGCATGGTCATGGTGAGGGTGCAGTCAAGGTTGCCGCAGCTTGCAGTAGCTGAATACACTGAATACGGGCAACTGTGGGAATTTATCGGACCGATGATCCGGACACTGCATCCACGATACGCGCCGTGTGCTCGCAAGCCTCCTCGACCGGACCCTCCACCGCTCTCGTACCCGGCATTATCATCTTGTGTCTACTCAATGGACAACACGAAAAAGCTCCCGGTAAAAACCTCGTCCACATCGCTGAACTTGTCGGTTCGGCGTGCAGCAATATTTTTTCGACGTGAGTGTTAAGTAGGACTAGCTAGTACGCGTATGAATGCGCCAGATGCCAAAGACGATTACCGACGAAGACGTTCTACGAACATTGGTACAAATTGCATTGGTGAGGCTGGCTTCGCGTCATAATAATCCACTTAGCAGTAGCACGCAGGTTCGCAAATTGGATGAGAGCATGATTGCCCTTCTTGTATCTACTGCCTCCCCATGTATGTCGTACTGGATAGTATTCAAGCTAGAGACACGAGAACGATGGGGATCATGTTGGTGTCTGCTTGAGGACATTGCGTCGCCCCGGCTCATAAAGGCTCGGGGATCGGAGGTCGGCCCGTCGAAGTCCGATCCGCGGCCGAGGTATATGAGCTTGCGCGCAGACCACCATCGTCAGTGTCTCCGCTGAAAGGATCCAGTCAGCGATGGACTTCACCTCTCGCATTCCGACCGAGATCCTCTGCCTTGTATTCCACTTCTGTCGTCGCATAGATGGTGTCCCAACTGTCGACCTATTACGTCGTTCGGTCGACTTGGACAGCATGGCCAGCGACGCTCAGCGCGAAGGACGCGATGCCACACATCTACTTGCTTGGGTCAAAGTTACGCAGGTATGCGCTCGTTGGCGCAAAGTGGCGCTAGAGGACGCGACTCTCTGGACGGACGTCCCCGCTGTCCTTGGAGGTCAATGGATGCGACTATTCCTCTCGCGCAGCAACCAGTCGACCCTCATGGTAGACTGGGGCATCAGGAACACACGTCTTCGGGAACAGATCGATGCTATCATTCTCGAGCATCATACAAGAATGCGCACGTTCACATCGGATAACCTGAAGGGCGATTCCACTACATTCCGGTTGCTCTGTCGTACTTGGCCCGCCCTCGAAGATCTCAAGATATCGATCGAGGGCAACCTACCGCCGGGCCTCACCCTTCTCGATCGTCATGCTCCTTCCCTCCGGCTATTGATCCTCAGAATGCAAACGATATCCGCAAGCTGGTTCTTCCTCGATCACAGCGTATCCGTATTCGGTGGTCTCACTGCCTTTACCCTCGAGTTCGCCGACGGTGCAGAGTCCGAATCAATGAGGCTCTTCCTGCATGCCATGGCTAGCATGCCTCACTTACGACACTTGCGTTTCATATCCAAGTCCTCGTTCGAAGGATCGTCGATATCTGAAACCCGCAGTGGATGCCCAGCCGGAGCTTGTAGAAGAGAATCAATGCCACTGAAGACTCTGACAGTACTATGCGCGGACGCATCCATCGTATCTCATATGCTACGGCATATTCTTCCGTCCCCTGACGTCGCCGTCATCATTTTTACTGATGGTCCACTTGAAGACGGTGAAGAGCATGTATCCGGGCCTTTGCATGGTACTGTGGCTCAGATAGCCGAGTGGAAGGCGAAGTCATTCCCACGATTCCCATTCTCCGCCATGGCGCTTAGTATCAAGGATAACGACAGTGACACGTTGGTCTCCGTACACATCTCTCGAACACCAGAGGCACTGGAAAGCATCATAGCGCCCCTTAACCCCCAGTGGCCGCACGAGCTCTGTGACTACCTAATCTTTGCGTTCCCAGCCCCACAACAGTTCCGCATCCATCACCGTCATGCCCCTCTATATATGTATATCCTGGACACACTGGTGCCGAGCAGCCTTCGTGCCCTTGTCCTTGACCTCGGCGAAGGGTCTCTCCCACCTGGTCTTCATCTCTCGCGCCCTACATTTGCGAACGTCACGGCACTACGCCTGAAAGACTTCCACGTGAACATCATCAAACATCTAGCTCGTACAGACGAAGACGGTCGATTCCTGTTGTTCCCGGCACTCAAGATACTGGACTTCCAGGACTGCGATCTAATCGGCAGTCTCATCTCGTGCAAGTTTCTCATTCGCGACGTCGAGATATGGAACGCCCTGCGTCACATGCTGGAGTGCCGGCGCGAGCGGCACCCTCTGGGTGCACTGTATCTTCGGGTAGGGCCAGACGAAATAGCCAAAGCACGCGAGGAGGGGTTCCAGCCGGTTGGCATCGATGATCCAAACGACGTCCGTCTAGCACGAAAGGTCATCCGGCAATGCATCGATGACATGGAGGAGGCTCCAGAGATCAAGATAATCTCTCCAGAGGAACACGTGGCATCGGACGCCTGATACGAGCACCCCGGCGTCGAGCGACCTCATCAGAATTCTTACCGCTATCGAACGAAGTTGTATCAGTAGTTTCCAGTACATATATCACCAATGCCGAGAGTTCCACCGCGCGAGTGAGTATAAGCCTCGCCATATCATCAACCGAAAGCGTACTCGAGAAAGAAAGAGTCATAGAGCCAAAAACCTATATACGTATCACGTACGTATACGCGCATCATAAGAAGCGTCTGAAGTCAGGCACACGAAAGAAAGATGGGGTTGAGGGGGTATAATCATATCATGGATCGTGGCAGAGGGACATGGGGACATGGATCGAGTTCGTTAGACGAGACGAGGCTTGGAGGGGGGATAATAAGTACTTGAGTCCGTTTGGGAGGGGATATAGCGACAGAGTAAAGAAAGACAAGCAGAACCCTGGACGAGGTGTCTGCGTATATGACAGGGGAGACTTGGAGCATGAATCGGAACGGAACGAGCACAACGACAACGACGACGACAGATCAAAACAACAGCTATAGCAACACTTCCTCCATCTGCACGTTCAGCCCCCATCTCATCTAGGCACCTGTAACGAAGCGCCCATCGCCCCCTGCTGCCCTCCCGCCCCTTGTCCCGGAAAAGCCGGATTGAACGGGCTCCCCGTCGGCCTCGGACTGCTCGGCAGCCCCACATGTCCCCCAGCACCAGCCCCAGGCGGCAACCGACTCGCCCTCTTGCTCTCCGCCGTATTGATGCTCAACCCTCTCCCCGCCGCCAGTGCCCTCGCCCTCCCTTCACGCTCCTTCGCCGCCGCCGCCTCATCTTCCGCATCCGTCGCGGTGCCCTCAGTCCCGCTCTCATCATGAACACTGAGCTCAAGCTCATTATCGTCATCCGTGTCCGTATCGGCTTCCGCTTCAGGCGTAGCGCGCGGTGCACCGATTCCCGGCCCCGCTCCGCGCGACAGCGTACGCCCCGAGAGCCCAAGAAGCCTATCGGCAGCCGCATCAGTGTACTGCCTGCTATTCCTCCTCTCGTCCTGCACCGGCTCCACCTCGACCGGCGCACCGCCGTTGGGATCGTCCACGTCGAACACGCGGTTGAATGCGCCGAGCATGAGACCGAATACACCCGCGGGTATGCCGAGCGTGGGCGAGAAGACGATGCCGACGTTTCGCATCGTCATCTTGTTCTGCGCGTTATTGTCGACGATGAGGATGAGGTGCGCGGAGAGGGCGCGGAGCAGGGAGTAGTTCGCCAACGGAAGAGCGCGGATGAGGCGCGTGAGCTCCGTCAGACGCTCTTCGGCCGATACGTAGTCTATCGTACACCATCGTCAGCTCGCGGTCGACAACGATAGGAGCAAGAGGAAGAAAGACGCACCCATGACCCTCATAAACCGCATATGCAACTGACTCGTCAGGATCGTGCTCGGCAGGTCCCTGAAGAACGTCTTCAACAGCCCCGCAATAGCATGCAGATCCCAATGCTCGTCGGCCGCGAGCAGATCCACATCCCCCTCCGCATTAAACCTGTCCTTCAGCGCCTTCACCACACTGCTGCTCCCGCTCAACCTATATATCCCCTCCTCCTCATGCGCCTTCTTCGCCTCCAGGTACTGTATACACCTGAACACGACCGCGGGCAGTCCGACAACAGACGCGACGTCCAGACTCTCCTCGAGCGTGACGCCGAACACGGCGCGCGCGGGCGCCTTCGATGCGCCGGCACCGCCCTTGTCCTCCTTATCCGAAGACGACGCGCCCTTGTTCCAGCCCCACAGCAGCCTGCTCTTCGCCTTTTCCCTCCTGCTGTCTGCCTTGGGCTGCGCAGCCTGCGCCTGACTAGGCCCGGGCGGGGGCGTCTCCGCCGCGCCGAACTTGTACCCCGCCGGAATCGGCGCGCCCGAGCCGGCCACGGGCCCGGAGATCTTGACTTTGCTCTGCGCTTGCTGCTGCTGCTCTTGTTGCGCCTGTTGCTGGGCTTGAGCAGCAGCAACGGCCGCGGCGGCGGGATGCACGGGCCGCTGTGGTCGTGGACTCGGATCGCGCGGGGGCGTCGCGCCTTGCGGAACAACATTGAGCTGCGGATGATAGCTCTGTCGTTTCTCGCGGCGGCTGGACGGTGTAGGCTGTTGACCTGGCGGCGAGAGGTGCGGATAGTGTCCAAGTTCCGAGTTCGAGCGCGGGCCCGCGAGCGGGATATCCTCCGCCTCTGCTCCAGCGAGCGGCGAAGACGCCGGTAACGACGCGCTGAGGGGTGCATCGTCCGGTAACGACCCAGCCGGTGAGCTCTTCCCCTGCAGAATCCTCTGCGCGTTCTGCGCGTCCGTGTACCCCCCGTCCATCATAGACGTATCGTCCAGACTCGACGTGCTCGCGAAGAGCTTCGCATTGCTCGCGTCGGGCGCCAGCTTCGAGAGCGGGACGGCGTTCGCGACGGAGATGTCGTCCTTGCTCATCCCCCGCGTAGGTTTCGCGCGGCTCGGCACGTCGGGCCTGACGAACTCCGTCTGCGGGCCGCGCGCGTACTCCCCGCTCTGCTGCGAGCGATACACCTCGCTGCTCGTGCTGCTCCTCGGCTGGCCCTGATTACTCGGGCTCGGGCTCGCCGCAAGACTCACAGCCGGCGCGCTCAAGTCTCCATCGTTATACGTACCCGAGACGTACCGCACGAGCATATCGACCCACGCATCGCGCTCGGCGTCCGATTCGGCGCACAGGACGTGTCGGTGCCCCGAGCCCGCGCGCGCTTTGTTGTTGTCGCCGCTTTGGGCGGGTGGAGTGGCAGAGGAGCCGCGGGCTTCGATGACGAGGAAGGCGTGCCGGTATTCGGACTCTTCTTCGGTTTCGCGGCGGTCTTGCGGTTTTTGTTGGCGGCCGATTTGGGCGCCTGTGATGGGGATCACGCCGAGGTGGGTGCCGCCGCGCTGAAGCTGTGTCAGAGACGTGAAGGATACGGAGAGAGGAGAGACGCACGGATTCGTAGTACTCCAGCATTGGGCCTTGCAGGACGAAGAAGCGCGTTTTCCATCCGCCGAAGTTCTTGCCGCGTTTGGTGAGGTAGCCCTCCTGGAACGAGGCATCAGTACAATGCACACTTGCACTCGAGAGGTGAGAAGACCGAGCGGTGCCGACATCTAAGCGCCGAATGCGATGAAAATTGAGATCAGAGAAAGCGTAGCGCCTGTATGAGCGCTCATGCGTATCTAAGCGCCGCGACCAGGGCGACGCAGTCCACAACGACGCGCATGCCGAACGACACGAAAATGGCAACCCAACTGCCCAACACGCTCAATCTCACACAAGATCTAAGCGCCCACCGCGCCAGCCCTCATCATAAGAGCGCCCACGCGACCCGCCCTCGACAGCTTCCATTCCGGCTGCCAACGCTCCCGAAAGACGACAACGCAACCGGCCGACAACAGACCAACCAATAGACATCAAGACATCGAAACGCACCTTGTATCCCGCGCGCCACACAGGCCTGTTGGCGCTCCTGACGATGTCGCTGGTGAGGAATGCGATGGCTTCGTCGTTTGATTTGACGGGGAGGCTGATTAGGGCCCCGAGGTAGGCTTCGAGGACTGCTTTGCGCTGGTCGACGCTGTTTATGTGTGTTAGCGTGTTAGCGTGGGTCATACACGATCGAGAGATGTATGTGGGATGGGGGTATGAGAGTATGAAGGTAGGATAAATGTGGTAGGGGGTTAACACGCAAAATGAGAGCTCCGACGCGCATCATAACGACGAGATGAATGAACAGCGCAAATGAATGAAAAGACACAGAACAAGATCACGTACCGACTGGGTGCATGATCCCTCCACAGCTTCCCATCCGGCAAATGCGGCAGCTTCTTACTAACACTCCGTCCATACCCCGCTCGCACGCGCACATCGAGAGCAGCAACATCGCTGTAAAGCTTCTCGACCGACCAGGAGTCCTAGTATCGCCGCCATCAGCATCAGCTCAGCGCCACAATCCGATCCACATATGGAATGAAGGGCGGGGGTAGGGGGTTAACTGTAGATATAGAAGTAGAACATACCTTTCCGTTGCCCGGATCCACAGATACGACAAAGCTCAACACGTCCTTCCCTCTATCGTTCGGCCTGATCGTGCTAGCCGTCACGCTAACCTTCGTCCTCGGCAAATCATGCGGCAAAAGCGGCAACGCGCGGAACTGCGGCGTCCCCTGCGCGGCCTGTCCGCTCGCCGTCCCAAGACTGGACGGCGCGGTGGAGGTGATAGTCGCGGCCGAACTGGACGGCGTTAAGTTTGACATGGAGGTGGAAGCAGAGGACGAAGAAGGGACGCCGTTGTTAGGCGCCGAGATGGGAGTGGAGAAGGCGCCAGCGGCGGGCACGGCTGTTACCGGCGTATTCAGCGTCGACTGCGAGGCGTTGTACGAGTTGGCGGTGGGCGTCGTGGGCGTGTCCAGCGGCAGCGGCCGTCTCGAATAAACGACCTGTTCCTGGCTGGCAGACGAGCCGGTCGTCCCACGTGAGTCCGAGCGCTGGCGGGGCAGATCGATGCTGTTGTTGTTCAGATGCGGCGGGAGCTCGTCCGCGGGCGAGACGGGCGCGCTCTCGGTCGTGCGGCGGGACTTGATCGTGTCGGCCTGCTCGTCGGACGTGCGCGCGCCGAGCTCGGCATCTTCTTCAGGCTCTTCGATTTCGAGCGTCGGCACGGGACTGGCCGTGACGTCGCGGTCGTCGTTGACGCGCGTGACCTGCGGGTGTTGCGGCGCCCTGGGCGACGGCAGCGGGCTCTCTGTCATGCTCTGGATATATTCCCTCGCCTCGGCCGGGAGCTCGATCCTGCTCTCGTGCCGAAGCTGGTGCGTGTTCGGCCGCAGCGACTGGGGGCTCTCGTGCGCGCTCAGCGGCGAGCCACCCGAGCCGGGTCCCTGCTGGGCCTGTCCCTGGGTGCTGATGCTGATCGCCGGGCCGTGCGACGAGGTCGACGCGGCTGTCATCGGGACGGACGACGAGCGCGGGGGCGCGGCGATCGCGCGCGGCATGCCCCACTCGGGCGTGAGCTTGCCGGTGCCGTTGCTGTCCATGCTCGAGCTTGCCGCCGGCTTGTCGCCCTCCTTGCGCATCTTCCGCTCGCGCTCTCTGAACGCCCGCGCTACCGCGTCCGTGTTCTCGCCCAGATGCTGCAGGCGCGACTTGTAGGCGTCGCGCTCGCCGCGGACGCGCTCGAGGTTCTTGATCGCGTCGCCGTACGCCCCGCGCGACTTCTCGAGCAGCCTCCACAGCTGCCGGTTCTCCGCGCTCAGCGAGTTGCGCTCGTTCACCGCCGCCTCCAGCGCCGCGTCCGTGTTCCCATTGTGCGTCTGCAGGAGCCCGGCGGACGAGATCGGCTCACGTGCGGCTGTGCTCAGCGAGGCGGACGACGTCGACGGGCGGGGGGACGGCCCGGGCGAGTGTGCGGCGTGGTTGTGGTTGTGTGCGGGTGTGGGTGTGAGGAGGGACGAAGACGGCAATTCCTGCGTCTTGCGCGGTGGCGTCGACGCGGACGCGCCGTTCATGCTCGACCCGTCGTGTGGATGGTGATGGTAGAGGGTGAGAGGGTGGGTATGGTGGCCGTAACAGAGGAAGACTGAAGCCCGTCTTCTCTTCCTGCCCTCATCACCTCCACTCCCCCGCAACGTCCAACATGCTCACTTTCTTCCCGATGTAGACCACGTACATATTTACCCGCTCTCACGCTCGCTATTGTTACGACGGAACGGTTGTACAGCCACTATCATACATACATGCGTGTACATACACATACTGTAAAATGAATCAACGTCCGAGTCGCCCGCGCGCTCATGTCCACATCTCGCCTCCGCGGCGGACCAGACCACGCCCGGCGGCACGCGCACGCGACTTCTGTCATCCGCGCCGTCATGACTACAGAGCACCCTAGCCTAGCCCTGCCCTTGTACCTCTCCCCTTGCCCTCACGAGAAAGCCTAATCGCGACGCTCTGCACCCGCATCTTCCATGTACATACACTCGTTGGGGCAAACTCTTTGTTCTACATGTTGATGTTGGGATTCTACGGCCGCCGGCTTCCGAACTCTGCGATAGGTGGCTTGATGGAACAAATTGAACGCAACATTGAACAGCGACGCTTTGCTCCACCCCCGAAATTGCGCGTCTATCTCGAATCAACTCGCATCATGGGCGCAAACATCGCTCCGTATCTCCGCTGCTGTACTGTGCTACTCGTCGCAGTTCGCGAGCGAATAGGGCCGGTATTCGTACTCCGTCGTCGCGCTGGCAGGCCGCGATTCGTCCGCACGACGAGCGACCAACACCAAACGACCAACATTGACAACGTCTTCCAGTCTGATAACGGGATGATCAGCGCCCCAGCTGAGCGTAATAGAGCGTAATGTTCACTCGGGCGGGCGTCGCGCGATAGCAACGAAGAACTTCAAGAAGCCCGCCCGAGCGTGAAAGGATACCGGGGTGGCACGTACCCCGTCCCACCGCCTCTGCGCTTCAAACCGGCGCACACGACCCGCTCCGCCCGTCCGCTATCGCCGCCGCCGCACATCCCGACCCGCTCACTGTCCGCCCAAGCCTCAAGGCCCTGAGTCGTACGAACGTCAAACGGCAGACGTCTCTTTTGCCGTGTGCCGGGTCATCGCGCGCCTGGACCGTCGTGCTTCCCTGTCACTGTCAATGTCTTTGACGGAGGATCAGAGAAGAAAGAAGGCCGGATATCCGCGGGATCGTCGACGTTCATGTTGGGGTTTATGGGCGCTTGAGTCTACGACATAATTCGCGGCGGGCGGCCGCGGAGGGGAGAAGAAGTCGTTCATTGTTCTGCTGTCGCCGTGTCGTGGGCAGCGCGTTCGGGCATCTCGGGCGGGGAGTGTGCCCTTTGCCGTCTGTCGCTCTCGACCTGGCCACAGAACATCACATTGTTTACAGCACTCCTGTGTATGTATACGCAGGCCCACGCGAACTCGCAAACCGCTACGAACCCCCGGTGTGCGCATACCCGGCCTACGAAGGAGTTTGATCGCCGCTCTCTACGACCCTATGTGCCGTCCTAGAGGAAGAGCTTTTACAGAGCTCTTTACGCAATCCAGCGCGACGATATAGCTCGCCAAGTGCGCCGGATTCGGGCGCTCGAGTCGAAGCAAAGGAGTTGGCAGGTTGGCCTGCGCGCGAGTTTGGGCGCTTGAGTCGGACTTCTCGGGTGTAAGTCGCACTACCATCACTCCTATCCTCGTGCTCTCGAAACGCTGATGGCTGCGCTTTCAGGCTCGTATAAGCGCGCTATACAAACCACCACACTACACCTCTGAATGGATCCGCTTTGGCATTCGGAACAGTTCCGCTCGACAACGCGATTCGCGCCATACATAACGATAAGCGCTATCCGTTTCAGTGCTGAGAGTCAGGACGGTCAGTTAAGAAGATAGCAGCCGACAGGAGAATCCCGAGTTCTACGTCCATTTCTCCTCCGCATGCACGCGGAACCATGCGACGACCTTCTTTGGGGACGGCTTGAGCGTTGTACTTAAGTAAGTAGGATGCCCGGTACTTCACGCGCGACCGGACCATCCGACGTTGGTCCAGGCCTCGCTTTCGGATCCAGATGACCAGTGTGTCCCCTAGTACCTCTACCTCTCCTCCAATTTCTTACCTCTCCCTAGTATCCTCACACAGTAACTCTCACTCCCATTGTGTTCGAGGCATACTCCGACAGCGCACACGACGATCTCGGTCTGCCAGGCCGTTTGTGCTAGTATCTTAGCCCCTATTCAGACCACAGAGCTGAACTAGATACTTCAACGGAAGCATTCAAAACTCTCGATACGTCTATCTTGAGCTATGTTTCACTCCTAGTCGTTGACAACAGCGATACCGGGTTTCTTCAAGCCGGGTTGCCTATTCGAGTTGTCGAAGTTCAAGTCCGGCGAGCTACTTATTCGCCGATCGGCGACTTGAACTCGCCATGGCTCGCTTGTCGGTGCGTGATATGGCTCTGAACAAAGTACTTATATACTCATTGGCGCCCTCTGGATTCAGATCGTCGGTCTGCCGCAGAAAGAGACTCCGCAACGCTTCTACTATGGCTGTCGATCCCACTTATCCCTTACTCCCGATCGCCAACATCCTATGCGCTACCCTCTTATTCATCCTACTGGTCATCAACTTCGTCAGGAGATCTCAGGCCTTCAATCTGCCCGTCAACATACTCTCTTTCTGCTTGTTCTGGACCACGCTCTTCACAGGGATCAACATGGTCATTTGGGCAAACGACAGTCATCTCGACTTTCCATTTGCGTATTGCGACGTGGGTCCGTCACATATCCCATGGTATACTCGTAATGCATGTTGGCTTACCATATCGACCTCAGTGTCGCATATGCAGGTGTTCACCTCGATTGCAAGGCCGGCTTGCACTTTACTGATCACCCGCCAATTGAATGGAATCGTCACCATGAGCCCACTAGATGGTTTTTCTCATACCCAAGTGAGCCGGTATACTCGGCCTCATACTATGACTGACACAATTTACAGCGACGCCGTAGCATCATGTTCGAACTTGCTTTAGGATTGTGCTTACCCGCTTTCGTAACTGGAGTCTTGTGTGCGCAATCAGAGAATGAACGCGTGTGTGGCTTACCGATTGTCAATATAAACAGATTATATCGCACAACCCACTCGATTCGAAGTACTCGAGGGATTTGGCTGCGTTGCCCTGGTTACGAACACGGGTTATACCTTGGTGTTTGTACAATCCTGGACTTTGGTATTCCCGCTGTACTCTGGACTAGTGTATTGCCGTACGTCAGACCTGTCACCACGCGACACTTGCCTTATACTCACTAGCTATGTTCTCTAGCCCGGATAGTATACTTTCTCATGCGACGAGAACGGCTTCATGCAAGATTATTTAGGGCGAGGTCTTCTACGCTCGAGGCTTGGCCCCGCGTTCACAACAACGACGGCTTCCGTCTGCTCATTCTCGGTTGTCTTGACCTATGCCTGTCGCTCCCGCTAGCAGCCCTCCATTTCGGCTACACACTGCGGCGAGCTTTGGAATTGGGATCTCTCTTCACTTTCTATGAGGACTGGGCATACATTCACCAGAACTGGGCACCTAGTACCGCCAAATACGCCATGGATGATCCAATAGGCCTGCTACAGAATTATATACCCTCAATCACCTCCGTCGTACTTGGGTTCGTCGTATTCGCACTCTTTGGATGCACCACGCAAGCACGTGCGATGTATGCACGCTTCTTCTGGACAACGCTACGCTTTGGCCGAAGAAGGGTGCCGGAATGCTGCCCATCTACGGGCGGGTTGCCGCCCATGGTCTTCGTCACCGTTACCGCACAGTAAGTGAAGATCACGTCTAGCCAAGATGCGGCTCCTGATCAATCATCACACAGATCTCATAGCGCGTCAATCGACTCGCTTGCGCCGACGCCAATCATCGCGATACCACCCACGGCTGCCATCTTCAACTTCACTTCTCCACTCGCACCCGTACTACACACCATTGCCTCACCCGTCTTTTTCCAACTGATGGCATCCGCATAGGCCCATCGTATACTAGTAAGCGACATCAATGGGGAGTACATCAATGTAGCGCGGAGCGAGGAAGTACAGACCATCCGACACTGGTGCTGATGGCCAGGTTACCCGGGTATCGTACAGATCATATCGTTTCATTGCTCGAAAATATCGGTACAGTATGCCTTTCATTTGTATATAATCAGATAGATCAATCGTATTCACGGGGAGAGACACAGTCCAATACTATATGTAATACTGGCGCAACTCTCCGAGTCAGCTGCACCGTGACCGAAAGGCGAACAGGACTCAGAACTCCGCCAGAGTCCCACGTATCCCGTTCAACAGTACGCGAATGAGCGATCTCTGCTATGATGCATGATGCGCAGGAATGGATGCATCAAGGACTGTCGCAACGGGCGCACCCTCGCGTGAACGTCGATGATTGGAATCTGCTTGATAGGCGACGCGGTCGAGTACAGACTGCCTTTTGTCGACTCCGGTTGGCAGCTGGGCGCTGAGCGTTGAGCACACGAGCGTAAGAGCTCTACTACCTTGAACAAGTAGACAAGAGAAGACAGTCCTCGCGTGCTTGTAGTTAATTCCGATTTAGAGGTGGGCGCCGCGATCATCTCCGTACTTCGAACAGCGGGCCAAGTTGTGATTGAGGATGGCTACATACAGACATAGTAGAGGAGGTCGGGCTCATATCGGGAGAGTCATCGTAGGATTCTGGTTAGGGGCGGACGTACGACGGAAGATGGTGGTCTCCGTCAAGCTCGTGCGAGCTGGATCGCGCCTCATCTCACGCGGTCGGCACTCGGCCCGAACACCACCTGAGTTGGAAATTCCAAGGTAGGTTTGACAGTTGTTCACCGCAACTTTCTCCTCCACACCTCCACGCTCGAGGCACATAACACATTTCTATCGGGCTGAAACATTATACGGGGTTGACTCCCTTTGCTCGATTCATCGCGACGACAACATTTACTACTAGCGGCACTACTGCCAAACGACCTCTAAGCGCTCTCCAAATCGCCTCTCCAATCCTTCTTTCACCGCAGAAGGCACGTCGCAGCCCCATAGCCTCACAAGACAGTCGTCGCCCGTATGCCTCCCCAAGGCACCTTCAATCATCTCCACCTTCCCATATCTCAACGTAGAAAGCATATGCATCTCGGCGGATCGAAACCCTAACACCTTCAATAACGGATAGCTGGATCGTCCAGAAAAGCCGCGTCCTGTGGTCGCATTCGCAAACCAGCATAGACTGTCAAGCGAGGCATCATCCTCAAGCCATAGCTCTGTGACTGTATCGAGACCGTGATTGAACGCGTCGTACCAGCGCTTATGGTAGGTCAAGTCTTCGTTAATCTCATCGTCGTTGGGCTGCCATTCCATGAAGGTGCCGGATTGCACGACACGGAGCGTGTGAGGCGTATGCGCGAAGGGGATGAGCTTGACGACGGAGTCGACACAACTGGATATCAAAGACTGGTGCACGTCCCACTCAGGCACACGAAAAGCCCACTTGATCATCATCGCATCTGGGAGCTTGGTTCCCGTGGTCTCGTTGCCGCCGCGCGGGTGCGAGAAAGTCCAAGCATAGTCGAAATGACCATCAACGGGTAAGATGGTTAAATTGACTGCTATGCGCGAATAACCGGGCCCCTCGGCGGTTGCAGTGCCCATATGACGTCTATAAAAATCGATCATCCCGTCTGGGGGTCCATATCGGAGGGAGGTCTCATCCACTTGGCGCATGTGAAGTTCGACTATTGTCGTGTTTGGGAATGTCACGAACTTCAGTAGACGATGTATGGTGAGATATGGTGCGGCAAGAGACAGGCGTCGTAAATGTTCGAAGTGGACGGGTTGAGGAGGGAGGGCCATGTCTTGCCGACTGGCGAGGTTAGCCAGAGAAGTACTGCGAAGATCCATGACCTCCAGTAGAGGCATTCCACGGAACAGAGCATGGAGGGCATTGGCGTCTCTGAGACGGAAAAGCTGACAATGCGAGAGCGACAATGAGCGCAGAGAAGACCCCAATAGCGCACTCGTCTCCGCAAAGATAAACCCGACCAACTCGACATCGCTCAAGAGCGGATAACTCTTGGTCGCAAATTCGTCACCACCACGAATGTCGCTGTTGTAGATGCGAGTCAAACTAGGATGGTAGTGCAGGCGAAGACGATTCAACATAGGTGGTGACTCGCGAAGGATCGAGGCCATGAGCGATCCAGCGGCCCATACGTCGTCCGTGTTGGGGATGCATAGCAAGTCAACTTCGCGGAGCCGCCATAGGACAGGCAGCACATTGTCTGTGAGCCATTGTACTCTGGTGGCATTCCACCTCCGCACATCACCACTGATGATATGCAAAGGGACGTCGCCTGACAGGGCAATGCTCCGCTTCATCGCCGCCTCGCTCTGCAAGGCGACACGACTATGGAAATGGGGCGACGCGGTTGCAACGTTCCGCCAATGTTGGCATACAGCCATGACGTTCAGCCAGTTCCAACCTTCGGTCATATTCACGAAGGGTTCATCACGAGTGTGGTAGGGATCTCTGAGGTCTGAGTCTGCGAGGTGATCGTCAACGAGAAACGCCGTAAATGTCAATATTTCTTGCAGGAGTTCGGAGGACAGGCCGTGAATCTGGCTCATGACGATGGTAGCCAGGAGGAAGGGAAAGGATGGATTATGAGACGGAAGAGCGTGAAATAGCTCGGGACGATGGTCGTGGTCGAGAGCAACGTGAGTTGACGGTGGGCGCCGTTCTAGACAAATGATTATCGATTTAATCGATTATTGGACTTGGCCATCGGACCGATGGACCGGACACTGATGCCGCCATAGGCATGTTACGCACTTTCCTTCGCTTAGCCTTCTGTACATCCAGCATACTCGCCCAGGTCTCCAGATGAGGGTGATACGTGTACAAGAGTTCGCGCGTTATAGCCAGGCTGACGCCGCATATCGCGTGATCAAGGCTGATAGATATATTTCAGAGTATAAAATAATTCAGAGGTAGAGAAATATTGTATCAGACAGGTGGTATTGCAAGTGGGCACACCGAAGCAGCAATCCCAGCTTCCTGTCGCTCGTAGTTGACAAGCATAGCTGCGACCTCCACGCCGGAATTTCAGGACCCAATCGATCCTGCCCTCCCACACCTCTTCGGAAGCACCGGCATCTCGCTTGCTACCCTTATGTATCTTATTGTCGAATACCCTCGCCATCCAGCTCACAAGTGGAACATTATGCTCCGAAGGGCGGGACTGGATGTCTCGCGAACGAGTTGTTGGGCGCGGGCGCAAGGTGGTGGATGTTTCTGAAGCGGAGACATCGACGAGTAGATTGCGAGTGTAGAGGTGCGGTTTGTAGTCGATAGAGCTCGGTAACCCGCCCTCCGCAGTCCGAACCGCAGTTTGCCATCACGAGGAGTGTCGGCCAGCCACGAAGCTTGAAGGCGCGAAGGGCGATCCGGATGAGGGAGAGGCTGACGCATCCCGTAATTTGCGAGTGCCCGTGCTCGGTGTTGAGGATGATGTCGACAGCAGAGAGAGAAAAGTATCATTTTTGGCGGCAATGCGCGTGAGGGATCGAAAGCGGCGAGTCCTGCGTCTTGCGCAGCGGTGCCGGTGCGCCGTGCATGACGGTGGTGGCGGTGACAGAAGAACTTCGCGCGCTTTCGCACAGTTTCGCACCTTCCCTCCTGCTCTCATCAATGCATCTCATGTTGTATTGACTGTTCATCTCCGACGACGTCCTATGCCGTCGTCTGGAACTGCTCGAGACTGAGAACGTACACGTCGAAGTCACCGCAGCTCATTTCGAACTTCTGCAATGCAACGTCAAATCAAATACTGGGATTACCCCTACATATGGCTCTGATTACATGAATTACGGCCGTACAAGTCAAGGCGAAGACAGGTTATTCGGATGCTCTAGAGATGACTGGTAATACTCAATCAAGATGGAGGGACTACGAAATCAACATCGCTATCGCGCGGAACCACTCGCACTTCCGGAACAGCCTCTATCGCCTCAACTGCGCCCTTAACATCTTGTTCTCCATGCTGAGGATGTGCATGCTGGCCGTTGCGCACGAGTGTAATGGCCTCGGAAAGATGAAGGTAGAGGGCGGACAGCGGGTTTCGCTCGCGTCTCTTCTCTAGCTCGCACACCATCTTGTCCCAATTGGCGTCCGAATCCTGCTTCCCCAAGTATACATCCATGATGTCGGGCGTGCGGACATCTAGCACTTGTATCTCAGGCAGGTAGCCTTGCAGCGCCAGAAGTCCCGGATAAGGTGTTGCAACAGAGAGCGCTTGCACGCGCTGAAAGACTGGGTGGCGCAGGAACTGATATCCTTCGTCTGGAAGGAGTTGGCCTAAGTTGAGTGACAGCCCGCAATACCCATCTGGGGCCAGTTGGCTAATTGTGTCCATTACGACTGCCACCCATATGTTGCGAACGGAGAACGGAAACTCAATCGATAGTTCTGGGTAGAGATCTTCAGTGCCTAGATTCCACAGCCCCCCTCTTGAGGACATGGATAGATGCCCCAGAGAATTGATGGAGCGCGACAGGCTGATCTTCGGGGTCCATAGATCTTTATCTCCCATGATCCCAGCAGCAATGAATGGGGAAGATCTGTCCGATTCAGTGCGAGCAAACCAAGATTGTAGTCTAGAGCACAATATGGCCAACTTCTCTGCGAGGTATGGGCCATCCGGCCTGTCACCGGGCGTGTCTGAAAGCCAAAGCATGACTTTGACGTCTGGTGGCAACATGAGATGCTGCATGATGTGTACCATCGTGTACGGTGTGCTATAGCAAGCAAATGCGCGAAGGGGGACCAAGACTGTCCGTGTCGCGCATGACGAGCATATTCGGGCCGGAGGGTTGATATATGGTAGTTGAGCTTTGATGCGAAGGTGCCTCAGATCGGGCATACGTGTCAGCGCGTCGAGAAAGTCATTCATCGATCTGTCATCTATACCATAAGCGAATCCAATGTCCAGGACTCGTAGGCGATGGAGAGCAGGGATCATCCAGCGCGAGTCGTCAGGCAAACGAACATGCAGTCTCAGACAGCGCAAGGAGGGAGCCCTGCCATCGAGTAGTTTGGCTATAGGAGGACGACTATTGAATCGAAGATCCAGAGTTTCGAGCGCGGGCCATGATAGGGAGAGTGTCGCCGACGCCGGGCATGCTGGCAGGTCGTACGCGACGAGCTTGCGTATTCTGCGGAAACGTTTAGGGATGAGCTCGTTGAGGAAGAAGGTTGCCATCTTCACATCCAGCTGTGAAGACCTAGAGGCGGGGATGTTGATCGACATTGGGGCTGGCCGGCTGCGCTGCACGAATTTATTGGCCCATCGTACACCCAGATCGACTGGTATGTCTGCCCAGAGAGTCGGAGTGCCAAGTGCCACCGCGCGCCAACGTGAGCAGACGTGGCTAGTAGCAGAGATCCACGACATCGTCGGCGAATGAGTCCGTTCCTACAGAAGCGACGTGTGTTGTAAACGACTATACGCTCGCCGTCGTGGGCTGCGAGGTGGCCACTTACATCAGGTTCAACGGCATCGAGAGCTGAATGTACAATCTCGAAGATGTAGACGAGGTTCTCCGTATGTAGCTTCGTTGTATGATCCATTGTGTGGGTGTGGTAGGATGTGCACGTATGCGAGATGATGGAGGTTGGTGGCGCTCGGTGCACTTCTCAGAGAGCTCCGCGCGGCGATTCTTCGGATGATCGGCCCGAAGTTCGTTCAAACACAAACAAAACGTCGATTAGCACTATGAACGATTACAACAGCGTACACCTCCAACTCGAGTACATTACACCCCCCTCTTCACAATCCTAACCTCCCCCAACCCCTCCAACCCGCCCACAAGCCCCACGACATCCTCCAAACTCCTAAACGTCAACACCCACCTAACATCCTCGACCCTCCCCTCCCTCACATCCCGCACATCCTCCTCCATCCTCAGCCACACCCTCTTCAGCCCCACGCCCCTCTCTCTCCGCGCTTTCAGCATGTCGTCGAGGACACCCGGCATCCAGCCGATGACGAAGCCGAGGCGGCATTCGGCGAAGTCGAGCGTTTGGAGGGAGGGGAAGGGGATGTATTGGTTGTGCGAGGGGGTAGGAGAGGGAGTGGTGGGGGAGTGCAGGGAGTGGCCGGGCGTGAGTGCCGAGACGCATTTGAGGAGCGGCCAGTTGAACTGGAGCGTCGTGACGTTTCTGAACAGATCGCGCGTGTAGAAGGGCGTCAACCAGGACTCGGGCAGCTCGTGCGACGGGAACCTCAACGGAAGTGTCAGCGCTAACGCCTTCAGTGTACTCTCCTCCCCGTCCGCATCCGCATCCTCGTTGATGTGGCCGTTACGAGGTTGAAGAGCTTGTAAGACCTGCACGACGTCCTCCGGATTACTCGGCACCGCGTCTCTCCGCATCTTGAACCTCAACTCCGCATCGTTCGGAGTACTCGCGTGCCACTTCTGCGTGAAGGACGGTTCGGAAGGGATTGAAGTCGCCGAGCGCGATAGGCTAAGGTCCACAATGCCTGGACGGCCTGTCGTTGGTCCGAGTATCGCGTGCGCGGAGTGGAAACCCGTAAAGTCCGGATCGGGCTGGTACCACGAGAGCAAGCGGGACGTGTAGACGTTCCAGTTATCGTCGTCCGAAGCATCTAGCAACAGTCTCACCGAAGGCGACGGAAGAACGTGGCGCGTGATATGCGAGATCATACTCCCCGCCGACTCGAATGCCAGAGTCTGCAAATGCGGGAGCGACACGAGCGCGCCCTCCTCACAAGCCAAACACAATTCCGCAGCCTTCTCGCGGTTATCCCTCAACCTCAGATGGCGCAGCCCCGGCATCCTCCCCAGCGCGCCCAGAAAGTCCGGCACAGACGCGCCCCTGATCCCCTGCGCGAACAACAGATCCAGCACGGCCAGATTCCCCAAGAACGACGCGCCCCACGGGAACACCTCCGCGCCCTGCGTCGACAGATACAGACTAAAGCTCAAGCTCCTGAGCCTCGGCGCGCAGTCGTCCAGCAGCCTCTGCGCCGTATAGCGCCCCATAGCGTTGATCTCGAGCTCCTCGAGCGCCGGCCAGGGCAGGCAGAGCAGCTTCGCGATCTTGTTGTCGCCGTCGAAGCCGGTGGTGTACGTGCGCAGGCGCGGGCGGAGGGCCGGCACGATCTCGAGCTCGAGGGACTGTTCCCAGTGCAGGTAGGCCGCGCGGGAGAAGGAGGAGTAGTCGAGCGACACCGGCGCGCTCTTGCTGCGCGATATGAACGACTTGAACCAGCGCGGGCCGAGCACCAGGGGCAGGTCCGTCCACAGGTCCGTCTGGTCTAGCCCGAGCGCGCGCCAGCGGGCGCAGACGTGCGTGACGGATATCCAGGCGAGGCGCTCGGAGGTTGATATGAGCTTGTAGGGCGAGATCTGGAAGGGCGGGAGGGAGAGCTGGGAGGAGAGCGTGCGCCGGCGGTCGTTTTTGAGGAGGCGGAGCTGGTCGGCGGTGGGGATGGGGTCGAGGCGTTTGGTCCAGGTGAAGATCTCGTTGAGGATTTCGGCGGGGAGGAGGGTCGTGTAGTCCATGGTAGCGGTGTGCGCTAGTGGTGAGAGGAGAGAGAGGCGAGGAGGCGAGGAGGTTGAGCACTTGTAGTCGAGAAAGAGGGGGTACCCCTCGCGTCGGGGTTCACCGAGAGGAGTGCTCTACGCATCTCGGGTCGTCGGTGAGTCTACGGGTGAGGTTGATGACGATAGGAGCTGCTGGAAATAGACATGCCGCCTGATATAGTAGGACGAGCCTGGCGAGTTTGAAGTCAGGAGAGTGAAACCAACTTGTTATTCAGACTTACGCGCCCAACCTGTCCGCAAACGTCTTGCATTCTGGCCGCGCCGGTATACCATCCTTGATCGTCTACGACGATGCGAGCGGAAGTTGGGTAGTTGTATGACAGAAGGTTTCATCATGTCAGGGTCATACCAACTCGTTCGCCAGACATCGCCAAACAATAAGTATATGCCCACAAAACGTCTTCTTGCAGATACGTCTCGCAAGTCGTCATACATAGCGTCTGTCGATCCCCGTGGGTCCCTCGCAGTACAAGAGCCCCACACGGCCAACCCGCGCACAAAGATGGCCGCCCTGCGACTTTTGTCGGTCAGAAAAGTCTAGATCTTCCCGCCCACGCAAAACGTCCGAATTTCATCATGCCTGGGAGCTGTAACGACGACGGCCTCTGTACAGACCCAGTGCTGTGCGAAAAGATCTCCCATGGCCGGCCGTTCCGAGGACAATGCCACGAAAGATCCGGCCCGCCGTCCGTTTCTGCCAGTGAACGCGAGCGGCACATATGCAGTCTAGCACAGGAAATGATGTGCAGAGTATGAGAACGAGTGGCCAGGGAATCGATGGGCTGGCCGGTCACAAGGGGCGAGGGACGCGAGGCTGCTGATTCTCTCGTCGAGCTGTAGGCGGTTCGAACAGAAGAGCGGAGGCGATGTCATGGAGCGGCGTGAGGAGGCCGCGGGAAGTACCGACGTCAGCCTATTCCCTCGCCCAGAATTCAATGTATTCAACACAGCTGGACTGGTTCATGGCCAAGCTGGACCGTACGCGATGAGGGCGGAAAGCACAACAGGCGCCGAAAAGAGGGAGCGAAAGATCGGAGCGGGGCACGTGGCTCTCGCGTGATCGGCCCTACGGTCTTCGCGGGGTGAGCGGCGCGAGTGTGACTTGCGCCAGTATACGATGAGCGGCTCGCTGGACCCGCTGCCGTCGCCATGGACGCCGTCGGCCGGCACGATGAGCTCGTCGCCGCGGCAGACCTCGCCCATCGCGCTCGCCCCGGCCTCCTCGCTCCCGCCCCACCAGCCGCCGCCGCCGCAGCTCTCGCGCCCGCCCGCGCGCGCCTCGACGACGGGCAGCCAGGACGAGCAGCCGCGGCCGCGCGTGCAGGTGCCGACGTCGGCGCGGTCGGAGGATCTGCACAGCCACAGCCATAGCTACAATCACACCTACGAGGGGAACGGGAATATCGGGGGCATCGGGCAGGGACTGGGGGGCGCGCAGAGGGAGGGGAGCAGGCAGCGGCTGCTCAGCGCTTCTCGGCCGAGCACGCCGACGAGCGGGAGCGAGCACCGGCACGCGGGGAGCAGCCAGGGCGAGCACGACGGGCCGGGGAGCGCCAACAGCGACCGCGACAGGGCGCCCGTCCCGGCACCCGCATCCGTCGCCTCGTCCAGCTCGACGTGCGTATTTATTTGTTTCGATCGTGCTGATCTGTGCTGATGCGTTATGTGCAGGGTATGTTCTGCGTGCGGGCAGGTGATGACGGGCGCGTTTGTGCGTGCGCTGGGCACGGTGTTCCACCTGCACTGCTTCAAGTGCATGGACTGCGGCGACGTCGTCGCACAGAAGTTCTTCCCCATCGACACGCCCGCCGGCCAGCAGCCCCTCTGCGAGCGCGACTACTTTCGCCGCCTCAACCTCATCTGCGCGTCCTGCGGCTCCGCCCTCCGCGGGTCCTACATCACCGCCTGCAACAAGAAGTACCACGTCGAGCACTTTACCTGCAGCATCTGCCCCACTTTGTTTGGGCCGCAGGACAGCTACTACGAGCACGAGGGCGACGTGTTCTGCCACTATCACTACAGCACCCGATGGGCGACCAAGTGCGCCGGGTGCGACACGGCCATCCTCAAGCAGTTCGTCGAGATCCAGCGGAACCAGCGCGACGAGTGCTGGCACCCCGAGTGCTACATGATCAACAAGGCACGTTGCACGCTCCCGATGATTTCTGATGACGTCTTTTTAATTTGTGCATTTCAGTTTTGGAACGTGAAGATCGTGAGCCGACGGCCGCAGAGCCTCGATCCGCCGCCGGCAGAAGGCGGCCAGCAGCAGCCCTGGGCCGACGAGGAGGCGCGCGAGACCGCCGCCAGTCTCAAGGAGAAGCAGGTCCGCATGGAGCAGCAGGTGTACCGCATCTGGACGTGCGTGCCGCCCCTTGCATGCATCGCCCGACGCCCCGGCTGACGTTTTCCCATGCAGCGTGCTCTCGGCGTTCGAGGAGTCGTCCGCGGCGTGCATCAGCGACATGCTCCGCCAGGTCTCGAACGGGCAGTACCTCGAGGCGATCCGCATGGCCGAGAAGTTCATCCTCCACGTCGAAGTCCTCTTCGCCACCCTCGACGACCTCGAGTTCGCGTTCGCGCGCCTCGGCCTCAAATCGCCCTCGCACGTCCGCGAGGCCCGCCTGCTCTGCCGCAAGACCGTCGACCTCTTCACGCTCCTCAGCCACACCCAAGAGACCGGCGCGCGGCGGATGGGCATGACGCAAGAACTGCTCGCGCTCGTCACCGGGCTGGCACACTACCTCAAGATCCTCATCCGCATCGCGCTCACCGGCGCCCTCAAGCTCGAGCGCGAGCACGCCCAGCGCGACGCCATGTCCTCCTTCCTCGACAAGCTGCACCTCCTCGCCGTGCAAGGCGGCAACCCGGGCGCACGGCGCATCATGGGCCGCGGCCAGCGCGGCGCGCCCGACCAGCTCGCGCTCGAGCCCGTACAACAACAATCGGGCGTGAACGCCGGCACCGCGGGCGTGACGTACGGCTTCCGGAGCCTCGCGCCGGAGAGCGCGGGCGAGAGCCCGTTCGGCGGCGCGCCGCGCGATCCGGCGCTCGCGAATGTGCCCGTCGTGAACCCGCCGAGCGACCTCTGCGCGCGGTGCGGGCTGACGGTCGAGGAGGACTGTGTGCGGCTGGGCACGTACCAGCGCTGGCACAGCGCCTGCATCGCGTGCAAGATGTGCGGCAAGGCCGCCGCCGCCGCGCCCGCGGCCCAGCCGCCTGCATCGGCGAACCCCGCGAACCCGGACGAGCCGCCGAAGATGTCGAGCTCGCGGCGGCCGCCCGCGAACGCGCACTTGTTCGTGTACGACCCGGAGAGCCAGCCGATCAGCATCTTCTGCACGGAGCACGGCGACGCGCGGTGTAGGGGCGGATTCGTGCCCGTGAGCCGGCTGGAGCAGTACGCGTTCCTGTTGAATGTGGCGCTCAGGCGGCTGTATTTGCTGTTGAAGAAGCGGAGGGTCATCACTGGGACACGTGCGTCTTTTCTTTATCCTTTTCATCGCTGGATGTGCGATGTTGAATGTCTACCACAGCTTCACCAGCGCCCGCGCCACCTTCGGCTGTGCCGGACGATCCCTACCGCAACAGCGGCGAGACGATGCGCATGAAGACGGCACACTTGGACCGGAAACTCAGCGCAACGGCCCGTCTACCCAAACGATCGACCGTCGTCGAAAGCCCAAGCGGACGCATGGCACAACCGACGGACGTAGCGATCTCAACGCGCGGCGCAAGTTCGCACGCACAGGCTACAGCACAGACGGCCCAGCAATCCCAAGTAGCGCTGCAGCAGCACGCGCCCACGCCAAACCATCCCGGCGCGGGACAGAGCGCGGAGATGCACGCAAGGTCTCAAGCCCAGACGCACATGCACGCGCCGCTATCGCACCACCCGACGCTCATCCAGACACAACAACAACAACCCCAGTCCCAGCAGCAACAACAACAACAGCAGAAATCATCAGCGCGCACGCCGCCCGGCGACCGCCCGCCCCTGAGCAGGAAAAACACGGACGTGATGATCGTCGACGATCCCCTGCCCGCGCCGTCCTCCCCCGCCGAGCTCGCGCCCGCAAACGGCGGGCTCCCGCTCGCGCCCGTCGTTGCCAGAGAAGGAATCACGTTGGCCGACATTCCGCAGCTCGCCGAGGCTGCTCAAGCGCTCGAGCAGCACCGCGCGCTCCCGCGCCAGCGCGCGACGCCCTTCATCGCCGAGCTCGCGCCGCTCGAGCTGGCCATCGTCAAGCACGCCGCGGTGGTCATCCTCTACCGGTCCGCGCTGCGCGACTCGTTCGAGCTCGACGAGCTGCTCGAGATGGTCGAGGTGCGCAAGGGCGGGTTCTGGGGCAAGCTGTTCAAGGGATCGAAGGGCAAGGCGAAGAAGACGGGCGTGTTCGGCGTGCCGCTCGAGCTGCTCGTGGAGAAGGAGGGCGCGGAGAGCTTGCATGGGGCGACGCGGGAGACGCTGAGGGTGCCGAGCTTTATTGATGATGTCGTTAGTGCGATGCGGCAGATGGGTGCGTCTCTCTCTTCCTCTTTCACTCTGCCATCGCGTGCTGATTGAGGTGGCGTGTAGATATGTCTGTTGAGGGCATATTCAGGAAGAACGGGAACATCAAGCGCCTGAACGATATCGTCGAGGTGTACGATCGCGACCCGGCGAGCGTGGACCTCACGTCGGATAACCCCGTGCAGCTCGCGGCGCTGCTCAAGCGGTTCCTGCGAGAGCTCCCGGACCCGCTGCTCACGTTCAGGTTGCACAAGCTGCTCATTCTCAGCCAGAACGCGCAGAGTACGTCCCTCACATCACCTACTCGTCCATCGTCAAGGATACAGTGCTGATGATGAGATGTGTACAGCGATACCGAACGAGGCGGAGCGCAAGCGCCTGATGCACATGCTCATGCTCGTCCTCCCCAAAGCGCACCGCGACACGCTCGAAGTCCTCTTCGTCTTCCTCAAATGGGTCGCCTCCTTCGCGCACCTCGACGAGCGCACGGGCTCCAAGATGGACCTCCCGAACCTCGCGACCGTCATCTGCCCCTCGATCCTCTACTCCCAGGGCCGCGACGCCGTGCGCGACGACTCGTTCGGCGCCATCCGCGTCGTGCAGGCCCTGTTGGAAAACCAGGACGAGTTTTACACCGTGCCGGAGGAGTTTGCCGCGCTGCTGGGCGACCAGGCGTACTTTGCGGGCTGCATGGAGATGCCGGGGAAGGAGTTTATGAAGAAGGTGGAGACGTATATGCGGCTGAAGGCGAGCGGGCGGCAGTTGGGGACTATGAGCCCGATTGTGGGGGGCCCGCCGTATGCGGGGGGGCATGCGGGGAGGCAGGGCGAGCCTGTCGATGCGAAGTGAGTCCGCTTGCTGTATCGCGCTCGTCGGACGATGCTGACAGTGCGTTACCCTCTTCAGCAGGTTAGGCGCTGCGTTGTCGCGCAGCCCCGAACGGCCAGGTCTCGTCGGCGCCGCGTCCGACTCGTACATGCGCACCGGCGCACCGGCGCAGAACGGATCGAGCTCGCAGTACCCCTCGCCCACAGCCCGCACACCCGCGCTCCCGCACCAGCCCATGTCCTTCCCCCCGCCCGGCCAGACATCGCTCGGCCAGGGCGGCGCCATGCTGAACCAGGCCGCGCTCCCGAACCCGCACCCGCACCCGCACCAGATGCAAGCGCCCCAACCGCGGCCCGCGAACGGGTACCCCGCGGAAGAGTGGCACGGGCCGCGCGCGCCGGCGTTGCAGCCGCCGAGCAGACCGAGCAGCCGGGAGAGGCCGAGCCGGTCGAGCGGGGAGATGTCGCGGAGTCCGGCGCCTGGCACGCCGCTGGGGTATGGGAATGGGCATGGGAACGGGTATGCGGCGCAGCAGCCGAGTTCGGAGAGGTGGTAGTGCTGTTGCTGTGGCTGTGGCGCCCGCTTGGCTTTCATGTCCTTATCTGACCCGCGTCCGCTGTATATTATCTCTCGCTCGCTCATCTGCTCCGTCGGTCCCTCTGTTTATTCGCGCTCGGTCGACTCACAACCAATGTATTCTCAGCTCCTCAGTCCATCCCCCGCCCATGCCCTCCGCCCTCTACTACCCGCTTTGCTCCTACCCCTCCCTCTACCCCTTCTCTTTCAGTCTTACAGTCTTACTGTCATGCTCCGCGACCATGAACTCATCCCCATCTACTGACTCTCGACTCTGGCCCTGGGTCTCGTATTCCCCCATCATCTTCATTTCATTCTGTTCTATGTTTGACTTTCTCGACGGACTAGCGCCTGGTCGTTCATTTTCCTCTTTCTATCCTTTTTCGTCTTTTGCGTCTCTACCGCGGGCAATCACTATCGACGCTTTATACCCTCTCCAACCCCAGGACTCCCGCGAACTCGATTGTGGTCCCAATCGCGATGGCTCTCAGGCAGTACTGTATACATACGCGTGAGTACCAAAGCCCCATCGGTAGGCGACGTTCACATGCGCAGAAGTCGATATGCCGTCATGTTCTCATTGGCGTTGATATATTGACACGATCAGCGGCGCCTTCGTCGCCTGTGCGTTCGCTCGGTGAAACGCGCGCGCAATTGCGCGCATGTTCAGTAAGTGGTCCGCGTATATGCTTGACGACGAGCCGACGTCCGCCAGCGCCTACGTCGCATCCTGCTTCCCGCCACGACGCTCTCATGGGCCTTGCGCTGTCGAGGAACGTTGCCCCTACGACCCCTGCAACCGCGATGGACGAGTCGGCGAAACGACACATCAATGACCTGCCCTTCGAGCTCCTGCAGGAGATCTTGGTCTGCGCGGCGTTCCTCGTCGACGAACATCCCACGCCTTCATTCATGGGCCAGCGCTACGACGATCTGGATCCTGCGCGCGCGAGTTCACAGGCGGTGTGGAACTGGCTGGACGTGATGGCCGTGTGCAAGCTGTGGAGAACCGCTGCGAACGAGTCGCCACAATTCCACAGCCGCGTCGCGCTGCAGAACGCGTTTGCGATGCGGCGCAGTCTCGCCCTTTCGCACGGGGTTCCTCTGCGTATCATCAGTGGACGCGTGCAGAGCTGGATGGAGTTTAAGATGGTTGGGTTGGAGGAGGCTTTGGGTGGGGTTCTGCCGCGGGTCTGCGAGATTGACCTTGTGGCGTCACCGGACGCATTCGGTGTCGTACAGGCAGTCATGATCACTATCCTCAGCAACCCCGCGCCCCTCCTACGTCGTCTCCGCGCGCGTTATCTCCCAGGCGTAGACGGCCCAGCCCTCATTGATGCAGAGCAATACGAACCTAGCGATCGACCTTTACGAGACCTTACTCTCACCGGACTCCAGTTCTCTAAGCGAACCTCGTTCTTCCCCCCTTCCCTGCGCTCTCTGAGTCTCACACAATGCCATCTATTCGAGGACGCAGGTGCTCAGACGCTATGCGACCTACTGGGATCTCTGCCCGACCTCGAAGTCATCGACTTCCGCGACACCGTGCTCGCCGATCTCGCCGAACCAATACGCGTATCCCTCCCGACACATCCCACACATCTACAACGCCTACGTCGTCTCACACTCGACGCGCCATACATGACTGTACACCGCTTCCTCGGGCTTATCACGTTCCCAACTACGACGAGCGTCGAGCTGAGCTTGCAAAGCGTGACGAGCGCCTTACTCACGCTCGGGCCTCCGGACGCGCTGCTCGGGTTCTTGAAGCGCCATGTCGGCGCTGCTTCTGAGTCGGGCTCCGGGTATACGCGGGTGGGGACGCATTTGGATGTATCGCCTTACCATGGGGAGCTGAGCTATGCTTGGACCTTCTCGCGTCCACACAACGCGGACGATACGGCTGTGCTCCCTGGATCGATGACGGTCAAATGGACGTTCAGCGTTAAGCGCCACTACGAGTTTCCGGTCATGGCCGGCTACGTCAAGTTCGTCATTGAACTCATTCCGCATGCGAATGTGCCTCATACGTTGCATGTCCTGCAATCCGGCAGTTTCGCACGATGGCGGCGTGAAGGGGAGGAGCTGAACGAGTATGATTGCTGGTTCACACCATACGAGGTCGGGCTTGAGAGTACTGTCGAGCTTTGGTTTGCGGGTGGTGCGATCCTCGACGCGCTATACTGGTTCGCGAACAATCAACGATGCGGAGGATGGTCCGGACGGTCAGACTACCCCACGCTCAAAGTCCTTGGGTTTCGCAATCCCAGCATGTACCTCGACGAAAGTCTCATTGGCGAACGGGACGGGCAGATCGAAGGAGTTGTACGAAGGCATCCTGGCAAGAACTACGCAGTGAAGTTCTGGAACTGTGAGGTGCCGGACCAGTTGAGGCGGGAGATGGTGGAGGTGTTTGGATGCAATCTGGAGATCATACAGTAACTCGACATCACGAACTAGTCACTATTGCTCAGTACTCCGACGGACAAACTATACCTTACATCAATCTTATACCTTATATACAGCGCACGTTAAGCGAGATACCCTCATACGTGATGGTATGACACTCAGGAGAGCCCGGGCCGAGTACATATCGGTATGGGTGCTTGTCCACATTCTCCTCTGCGGCAGAGAGTAAGTCAAATAGACATTCCATAAAAGCCATGACCAGATGATGAAGGGTCGAGCGAGAGATGCACATCAGTCGCCGCGTTCGGTAGAGACGGCCTTCGGATATCGGGCCGTTGCCGTCAACAAATCAGTGCGCGTTTTCGGCCAATCTGCGACTTACACGTAGACCACCATCACACCGCCAATACATAGTAGTCCAAGAACTCTCAACACGCTCTGACTTGTAGAGCGTGTAAACGGAATGAGGGTTGCGGTACAAGAGACTTCATTTTCGTTTTATATGTACATGAGGATCACAGGCAGCCTGAGTTGATGAAGGAACGGGTAGCTACACAGCACTAGTAGCTGCCGCCAGAGATCTGAAAATGTGGATGAGTACGTTGTAAGCGACGGATGATTGTCATCTGTACTGACCTTCGCGCCACCCGTGAGGACAATGTCCGAGGACTCGCCACCGGTAGCGCTGAGCTGCGACCAGTCCCAGGTGCCAGTGCAGTGTCCGCAGTCGACACCGACGCGGGGGTACTTGCCGCTGGTCGTGACGGTGGTCTTCGAGCCCGTGAAGTTGACGCCGCTGATCGTGCTCTTGGTGCCGGGGGTGCCGAAGTCGTCAGAGTAGCTCTGCGAGACCAGGAAGCCGTACCTAGGTGTGGTCAGACCCAGCACCAAAAGCGTGCGAAGGACAGCGCGCTTACTTGTCATCAGCAGAGATACTGTTGCCCGAGTATGTTACGTCAGAAACGGAGCCGGTAGAGTCGCTAGAAGTTCATTAGATTAGGCTTCCGACAACGTGTAGACAACACTACTCACGACTTGACCTTGATACGCATCCCGTACATGGACTTGACGACAGTGTTTCCGGAGATGGTGATACCAGAAGCCGTCTTCGCATCAGAGATCGAGCCGATCGAGATACCGTGGCCACCCGAGCAGTAGTTGTTCTCGAAGACGAGGTTAGAGCCCTATAGAGTCCATGTCAAAACATATGCGCAGGTATACACCGCGCCTGAACTGACCGAGTTGAACGCAAGGCAGTCATCTTGGTTGTAGACCGTCGAATCCTTGATCGTGACATCATCGGCGGAGACTAGAGGCCAAATGTTCAGACTACAACCTTGCTCGTAGGTTACTTCACGCACCATCGAATCCATCAGTGTTGTGGCCGAGATCACTGGTGTCGCCGTCCAGGTTGTCGACCAAGACGTCACTGAAGACCGCCGATCCACCAGACTGTTCGTGCTTGTCAGACCGGCGCAAGATGTCCAATCAAACGGTGCATACCGTCCCAACAGAGATGGCGTGTGCGGGGGAGTTCTTGATGATGAAGTCAGTGAACGTGCCGTAGCCCTTGAACTTGACGAAGGGGTGAGGCTTAGTAACACCGCCACCTGTAAGGTGGTTCAGCGTACTGCCCAATGTTGAGTCAATGAAATAAGCACTCACCAGTACCCTCGCCGTCCCAGTACAAGTCACCGTTGCCCTTGAAGCTGTAGCCGTTACCGTTGAAGGTCACGTCCTATAAACAGTGAGCCAAGGAAACATCTCGTGACCATGTACAACATACATCCGTGTCCAGCGTGAACAGCGGCCCAGATGAAGTCGTCTTCGAGAACGAGACGGACCCCGTCATGGTGACGGTGGCACCCTTCGCGGCGGAGATGGTGAGCGTGTTGCCGGACGGGACGCTGAAAGCCGTGATGACGACGCTCGAGCATGAGCCGAGGTTGGATGCAGACGCGACGCTGTTGACAGTGCATGTCGCGCGCTTCGCCATCTCGGTGCCGGAGGGCGAGGGCGCCGCGACCGCGAGGGAAGCGAGCGCAGCAAAGACGAAAGAAGTCAGAGCGCGGGTCTGCATGTTGCAAGTACCGATTCAAGCCAACGGGCGAGAGGACAGGTGAGAGCCGGTGAAGGGAATCGTCCGGCATCGAGACCTTATATACTAGAGCTCCCGAGAGCAGCAGGCAAGCGGCGAATAAGCTGCCAAAGATACTGTTCCAGCATGCAGTACTGGTGTACGCGGTCCGCTGTGAGCCGTGTCATGGAGGTCGCCAGTCCGCGTGCTGAGCCGAGCGTGGGTGATGCCAAGGTGCCAAGGACATTATGCCCCGCCGAATGCGCGCGTGTACCCCTGAGTTTTGAGGTTCGGTAACCGATGGTGCTCGGATGCGCGAAATGCAGCAGTCAAGACGACCGGCCAAGAACAAGTTGCTGAAGACAAGGCTCTCGGCGAGCAGACATCATTGTTTGATGCGGCGAGTCCTGTGTATCTTTGGATGCTCGTGCTGTAGCTGCAAGCCACGGGCACGTCTTCAGTGAAGCTCTGTCAGAATGCAGAACGGCCGCAGATCGTACATAAGCGCCGAACTGAGCCCGAGCGTTGGCTACGTGGTCGCGGTAACCTGACCTCCCTGGTATCCTCAGTGAACGCTCGCCCCCGTTAACTTCGCAACTTGGTGTTTAACATAGCACGCCAGCATTCACAGTGTAGAAGTCGTGCATACTCAGGCAGGTGAGTCGGGGAGACGGGCGGGAACGCCCGCTCGTTCAACACACAGCTAGACTACTACAATCGGGCTCTCAGCTTCGTCTTCGATAGATCTGAGAAGACGCACATCCGAACCTCGCGGTACAATCAGCCACTAGGAGCGATCCGACTTTCTACCATAGTGATTCCAATCACGTATGCGCATAAGCCTCGGAAGTGGGCTCGGTGGCTCTGACATGGTCGGAAGACCCTCCCTCATGCAATAGACCGCCTGAACTCGGGCCGGCGACGGTCCGCAGAGAAGTTATTTATATATGCGCGTCCGCACATGAGCGCATGGACCCGTAGTACGCGTCGTCAAGTGGTCGTAGTGCGGATAGACAGTGGAGGTTAGGAACACGCCCGGCACCGAAGAACGGGGGCGCATCAGTTTTTGTGACCGTCACGTTGATCGAGGGATAGCTGCATTCGTTGGTACAGGTTGGTACCCGTCTGCACACTATGGGAGCGCATCATATTAGACACCACTGAATACAGGCACTGTCACAAGAAGACGGTGTAGACCATGGCCATCACTTTCTCCTGCTCAGCGCTCAGCTCTCATAGCTTAGTGCGGTCTAGAGCGCACGCTGCCCTTGCGAATCCGAGTCGCGACCAACGAAGGTTCTGGCTCTGACCACCATGACAGGAACGCTGAGAGACTACTTTCCGGTTACACGTGTAAGCTCGCGCCCCAACTCATCTCTTATACCCTTCTCACGCACCCAGTATCGTGTAGTCCGCTTTCCGAAGGAAGTACCTCCGAAGCAAGAGCCAGCGCAACGGACGCTCGACCAACTATTGCCTGGCATTCGACCGCGCGCAAGCCCCATCCTCTCCCTACCACCGGAGATCTTCTGCGAAATTTTCTCGTACATGATTCACACCACTACGCCCATACGGCGTCATTGCGACCCACTACGCTTACCCGAATCAGAGAACCATGACGACTCTGAGCCCGAAGTACAGTCAACGAACGACTTGGCCGTATGTCCTGCGGAACGACGCTTTCGCGACGGGTGTCGCAAGTACTGCTCTTATGGCGGTGTCTGGAATCATTTGGAGATTATGCGCGTCTGCAAGCGCTTTCACGCGGCTGCACTGGCCTACGCGCCGTGGTGGCAAAATGTGATACTCGTCAACCCTACTGTCACCAAGAGGTGTCTGGACCGATCCACGATTCACCCGCTCTATGTGAAATATGCCGAGGGACGCTCCTTCTCCCGCGTCGATGCGCCGCCGGCGAGCATCGAGGCCTTCAGACTGGCTTTGGAGCAGGGCATGCCTCGCATCCGCGAGCTCTATGTTGAAGTCCGCGCCCATCTCAACGTGCACCAATTATTCCCTCGCCCCCAATCGCTGAACGCTCCGCTACTCGAAACGATTGACTTGTCATTTCCATATCCTCAGCAAAGGGGTGTTCACTCCATGCCGCTGTTGTTCAACCTCACTACGCCCCTCCCTCGTCTACGCTCTCTGCGCTTGTCCCATGTGGACATGCACACCGCGCCTTCCCTCTTCGCGCCTTCCATCACTTCAGTGAATTTGTTTTACTGTCTTGGTCCTTGGGACTCCCTGGAGGACATGATCGAGATCTTAACGAAGTTCCCGTCACTGGAGTACTTATCCCTCAGTGGAGAGCAAACCTATCCGGAAGCCATGCTCCTCCCATTCCTGTCTGCGTCCGCCGCAAATCCACTGGCTCCCACTCTCCGCAATCTTGAGCTCGCGGCGAGCGTGAATATCATCACAAATTTCTTGGATTGCTTCCGCTTTCCCTCGGCTACGTCGCTGTCCCTCGACTTCATACACGAAACTCAGATACCGGATAACATTCAGCGTCTGCTGAACTTCTTCACGCGACACTACGGCGTCGTCGTAGAGGGAGCTCCTTCATTTGAGCGCGCCGATGTTTACCTCGACTACTACACCGAAACTTGCTTCCACCTCAAGCTCGCGCCCGGTGACAAGGTGCCCGACGGCTTGCCCAAACGTCTATCTATCAACCATACTTGGCGTGAAGCTCCCAACCACGACATTGGTGCCATCGAGGCTTTTGCGTGCGCGATCCATGCAGTGCTACCTCTGCATGATGTGCGGCGAATGCATATTTGCGAAGTTGGCTCCGCAAGAGATATCGACTTGGACGACATCGGTCATGACCTCTGGTGGCCCTCTCTTTCGCGTA